CGATGCTATTTTTTTGAGAAGGTTATTAAGCTAGACATGCAAAATGTGTTTGGGTAGTGCAAGGTTTGTATAAAAACTAGGTTTTGATGCAATTGAAGGCGATTTGTCAAATGATAAATCTATTTTGTGAATACTAGTGTTCGAGTAGAAGGTATCTTTGAAAAAATTAAGTTCCGAATGATAAATTTGCATGAGAATGTCTTGATTTTGTTTTTTCTTACCTCCAAGTTAGTTGATGAAAACTTATGATTTGACTATGAGTATTTTAGTAAGGTCATTGTTCATGTTGTATTTTTAGGATGTGTTAGAAAGATTGACTTTGTAGGATCGGAGCGAGATCCGTTAAAAAAAAATCAATTTTTTTTAGTCTTTGTTAATAAGTTGAAGCAGTTTAATAAAAAAATAAACTATTTTTTCAATTTAAATCTAACCGTTCAAATTTAGATAACATGGTACAATATTAGCGATCAAAAACATCTTCTTTTTTTTTTTTTACCATAACTACTAAACTTTTGAATCTCTAATAAAACTTCTTAACTTTCTCTCTCTCTCTCTCTCTCAAAACTCTATTTACACATCTATTTACGCTTTGACTATCCACTTATTTGCTAATTGATTTGTGCTTTACTAACACTCCATGCTCCTCATTCTATGCCTCTTACTATTTATGTCATTTCTATTTAGTTAGTTGATCATTATTTTTACAAATTACAATACTAACTTTTTATATCTTAATTGGTCGATTGATCGATCGGATATGGGTTCTCAAAAATCAATAAAAAATCTCATGTTCGAATATAAACTTTTACTAATTTTTTATATGTCAAAAGACTTACGACCAACTTATTGGATCCTTTATTACTTATTTGGTATGCGATGAGAGACTAGTGATAAGTCTACCATGGTCATTATTAGCTTGTTTTTTGAATTTTATTTTTTTCTATTTCATCTTACATGATTGCACGAACATCTTGCTAACAAGATTGTCTATACAAGGTGTTCGTGCAACGAGCTGAATGTATATGCTCAATTTGTTCATAAAAGCTAGTTAGGTAGTTTAGCTAGATTTATTACGTGCTAATCTATAATATTTTTATTAATTTGACATAGATCCAAACCAAACAACAAATGAATTGAACTAAGAATGAGCTTAAATCAATACAAGGTATTGGATTGCGAGAATGGCCATGGGTATTTTAGCATGACCATTGTTCATGTTTTATTTTTGAAGTATATTAGAAAGATTAGCTTAGAGGGCTCCGTTAAAGAGATACTCAATTATTATTTTCTTAGTTTTTACTAGAAAGTTGAAGTAATTTTGTTTGAAAAAATATAATTTTTTCAATTCAAATATGATAATCTAAATTTAGATCATGTATTATAATATTAAAGGCCAATGATAATATTTTTTCACTATAAATATCAAATTCATATTATTACGAGGGATAAAACTTTTAAATCTCTAGTAAAATCTCTAGATTGTTTTACACACAACTACCTATGCTTCGACTACCCACTTAATTGTCACTTGATTTGCGTTTTACTAGCACTCCATCTTTCTCTTTTCAGGTCTCTTACCATGCACATATTTTATATTTAGTTAATTGATCTGTATTTATATAAATTACCATGTACATATTTTATATTTAACGTATGAAATCCGTAAGATATCCGGACTGCTCATCTGCGCAAATTTTCCACCGCATGCGAATAAACTGTACTGTCTTTCATACGTGACTGTATTACTTTTAACTTTTACAGCAACGTGCTTACTAAAATCCAAATCCAAAGCCAAAGTCAGAAAGATGAAAAGATAGGACGGCACACTCTGCTTCGATCTAAAAAGATTTTTTTTTTAATTTCCCATTATTACCTGACCAAGTCCTTTCTGTTCAATATCTCTCTCGGTGTCATTGGTTGCGTTTCGCTATCTCTCAAGTGATAATAGAACAAAAACAAGGAATCGCCAAAGCCAACATCTCCAAGCTAGTAAGTAATAAATGACAATAATTAATAATTGTAGAAAGTAGTGGTACTTTCTTTGACCTGCTATTGTTTGGTGCACTTTCCTCTATCTGGATCTGGAAAAAGAATTCTCCAACTAGGGTTTGTCTCAGCTTCCTCTCTAAATTTGGCAAAAATGCCGCCAGTTGTAGTGCCCCACTACACGAGTGCCTTGGTTTTCTTTATGTAACAACCCATTTATTCTCTCTGTAGCTTCCCTTTTTCGTTTTGTTTTTGTTTCTTAGCTAAAAATGGCAAGAGAGAGGATTCAGATCAGAAAGATTGATAACGCCACGGCTAGGCAAGTCACGTTTTCAAAACGAAGGAGAGGGCTTTTCAAGAAAGCTGAGGAGCTCTCAGTTCTTTGCGATGCTGATGTTGCTCTCATCATCTTCTCCTCTACCGGCAAGCTCTTTGAATTCTCCAGCTCAAGGTCTTTCTCTCTCCCTATATTTCTATTTACATTTGTGTCGTCTTTCGTTGGATAACATAAGATTATATAGTAATGCGTGTCCTGATATATATATATATATATATATGGAGATCAAGAGTTGGATGTTTTGATTTTCAGGGGTGAGAAATGGGGGAGTTTCTAGGCTATTTCTGTCTCTTTGTTTCATTTTAGTAAGGTGCGAAAACATTAAAATATATAGGATAGGGCAGTGTTGGAGTTATAAATTGTGGTTATTAGATTTTTGGATTTGTGCTATATATTTAATCATATTATACGAGGAGAGACTATTTGTGTACTAACTCTTGCGATGGCTTGAATCATATTATACAAGGAGAGACTATTTGTGTACTAACTCTTGCGATGGCTTGAGGTTAATTACTTTATGTACCATTACGTCTCTCTTGTGTCTAAATATTTATACACGTACATTCATGATAATACTAAATCTTATTATCCAAGATAGCATTTGTTTCCAAGTGTCACTCTCTCAAATGGAAAAGTGGGAGGGTAAATGAGGACACGAGAAAGAGCACTTTATTATATATGTTTCATTAGCAAAGAAAAAGTTTTGATTATATATATGTATATGTAGATACCCCATATCTCTATTGCAAAGTCTAATATAGATGCATTTTAAGGGATAAAAGATTGGGTTACTATGGTCGATTTGTCAATGATCGTTAAACATGTCCAAAATAGCTGAAGCTGTGGTAAAGATGCCAGAAGACAGCAACCTCATGGCTCAAGTTGCAAGCTAGATAGATTTTACAATGGAAGGAGATAAAACCAAGGAAGTTAGTTAAAGAGTTTAGGGTTTTTTTTTTTATTATTTTTTTTATTTTTAGATTAGCCTCTTAAATCTGACTTGAAAAATGGCAAATATGTAGGACATTTAATTAATTTGATGATAAAGGCAACACACATGTAGCTATTCTGACTATAATTAATACTACAAAGCCTCAGCTGTCACTAACATGGTTTTGATTGATGCTGTATAGTAAGTGAGTATCACATCTTTGAAGTCATGTGGAGGAATACTTTTTGTAGCACCCCATCTAACATTTAGAGATTTTTGGAGTGGACTAATGGAAAATAGGATTTGTGCAAAACTGTATTTCTTAATATGACAGGTGCACTACGATGTTCAAATCTGCTTGTATATAGCATATGTCATAGCTAGTCTTCTAAGATGACATTTTTTGCTACATTTTAACGAGGATTAGCCATTAGCAAATAGATTGATTGTGATTCATTTTTTTAATACTTCAGACATTGCTATATTTCTTTCTTTGTTTTTGTGGCTTGATACTTGCATGGAAGACGTGGCATGTCAAACAGTGATTTGTATGTACTCAGTCACACAAAATTGATTCGAGAGGAAAAGTCAGCAAACTGCCTTGTGACAACGCAGGAAAAACTCTTTATAATTAAACTGGCAGCAGAAGAACTAAGGATGATATCATGCCTAGTAGCTTGATTGGACGAAAGATTTAAGACATCAAAACTACAACTGTTAAAACAAAAGATGATACAAGCAAAGAAATTTAGAAATTGGTTCAGTTGTGCTGTTGGTGTTAATTGGAGCAGCTTTTGAGTGTTTATTCCTTTGTTTATGCCCCAAATAGTGATGAAAGTAAGTGTGATCTTTGGGATTTTGTTTCGTTAACTAAAAAATAATGTGAATGTGCCTTGACCTGATAGGATTTTAATGAGACTCAAAATAGTGTGAATATCCCAAACTTTGAACTATTTTTGGATTGATGGTGTTAAGCTGCTGCCTATAGCTACTTGTTCAGGTATCCCATTGAAGAAGAGTGTTAGGTTACTCCTTGATAATTAAGCTTGGATTTGTGTCTCTTTTGCTGAGGTTCTCTTGTTTGCTGGTTCTGCAATTGTTTAGATCTTTTCTGGTATAATTAGCATGGTGCTGATCTTAAGTATTGCTATGGCGTCCGGTTACCTAAGTTCATTGTTGGCATGCAATCATCAGGGCTCTTGTATTTGCAGTTCCTACATCACTGGGAGTTTATTTTGACAAAACCTTCATTTCAGTTCATTCACATGGCTTCCCTAACATTTTGGTTGTGGCTTTTTTTCGCTTCCCTTTGGCTTACATGCATGTGAGCTTCTTGTTTATTATATTGAGCACAGTCCTGGGTTTAAGCTCTGCTTGGCTAGCCTTGCTCTTGCTCTCCTTTCTGCTTGGCTGCCTTTTGGGGCCTATGTGTTTGTTCTATTTCTTTGAGCCAGCAAAAAAAAAAAAAAGAAAAAAAAAAGATTCGCTTCATTCTTTGTTGTATTTATGTGGGAAATAATAGCTTTTGATCAAATTAGTGTTAGTTTGGAGTTTCATTGTAATGTTGCCTATAATTTTTTTTGAAAACCAAATGAGGCAAAGGAATGCCTTCCTGAGTCAATCTCACTTTATATCATCGAATCTTAATTTCTATTGATTCTTGAAATAACTAGCAAACATAAGTTAAATTTTCAAACTTGTGTGCATCCTAGGAAATGACTTTATTATGCTTTTGTTTTTTCAAGCATGAAGGAAATACTAGAAAGGCATGACTTGCACTCGAAGAACCTTGAGAAGCTGGAACAACCATCTCTTGCGTTGCAGGTTGGTTTTTTCCTCTTTGTACTTGATTTGTTGTCTGATTCATATATTAATGATTTGCTGGACAGTGTTTGTGATAGTGCAGAGATTTGAAATATGGGATAACATATAAACGAAGTTCCCCTCGTGACCACATGGATAAACCACCCACCCACCACCACCAAACAGCACCACCGGCCCCCCCCCCCCCCCCCCCCACACACACACACACACACACACACAAAATAATTCTCAACTATGAAGCCTTTTGCTGTTTGAACTTGTATGTATACGATGCCTAGCCTCCAAAAACATGAAGCTAAACTGTTCCTGATTAAATATAAGCCGGCTAGCAATCGAGAATGATAATGTTGGAATGTAGTAATTGAATTTCCAGCGTTTTTATAAGCTTAATTTTGATCTTTCTTTAGAGAGCAATTGAGGCGTTGTCAGTTGCAGATTCGATCTTGTATGATCACAGATTTGACCGATGTTGTCAGTACAGTTTCTACTTCCTAGGGCATGTACTAAAGTGTAAATGCATGGTTTTTCTTTTATCCGGTTTGATATTATGTACATGCACTGTACTTTATTCATCAAGTCCTTCCCCATTTTCCCATTTACTTGCACAATCAATTTCTTGCCTTCCTGACTTCTTTTGGTGGATTATATAAATCATGTAGTTCTTATGTTTTTGTTTTTGTTTACAGCCTAAAAAATGCAATAAAACATTTTATCTTCCTTCATTTAAATCTGTTCTTGCTAATAGAGTGAGAATGTTTGTATCATAGCTGGTAGAGGACAGCACCTATTCCAGCTTGAGTAAGGAAGTTGCCAAGAAAAGCCATCAGCTGAGGTATGTCTTAGTTAGTTAGCTTTTAGTAGCTCTATGCCTTTCCGTTTATTAAATCCAATGTTAAACAGGCAAATGAGAGGAGAAGATCTGCAAGGATTAAATTTAGAGGAATTGCAGCAGCTAGAGAAGTCTCTTGAAGCTGGATTGAGCTGTGTGATACAGAAGAAGGTCCACAAACACGTTGTTCTGTAAATTATGGTTTGATTATAGACTTGCATCACTTAATTCTAATGATAAGTGACAATTCTCTTTTTACTCCTGATTTCAGAGCGAGAAGATTATGAACGAGATCACCAATCTTCAAAGAACGGTCAGATACTCTACTTATGTTTTTTTGACTTGGTTTCTTGGAGGACATTAATTGGATTGGACTGCCATTGTTATGCATCCATTAGATTTTTCTACATGCAATATTGTCTGAAAAAGGTCGGGCTTAAATTAATTGGAGCATCTGTGTGTTCGTTCCAGTCATATTATTGTACAGGTTAAAGCAGATTAATTCTTAATGCATTTGATCATACCATTCAATTATTCATCAACAAAGTTTTTCATGCTTTGGACTATTTCAATGGTAACATACATTTCAAATCTGACACGTGAAATGTCCTTGTCCACTTACATAGCATGCAGCTTAAGTAGAGGTGGATGATTGTTGTTAAACAGGTATCAAATTAACAACCATTATGCTATTTCGGTGATATAAAAATGATGGATACTGGAGGAGTTTGATTTTTCGATGATTATTATCAAGAGTAGAATGGACAGTGAGCAAATAAGATAATTTCAATGCGTATGGTTTATGTTTCTTCTTGCCTTTCATATTACTCTTTCATCCCACCCTGATTCTACTTTGAATTGACGATACATGCAGGGAATGCAATTGATGGAAGAGAATGAGAGACTGAAACAGCAAGTATATCCCTTCCTCTCACGTGTTCTGTGTACATGCTCGCTGTACATGTGTCTTGCTCTAGTTATTTATCTATAGATTTTTCTTAAATATTTGCTTATAGAACTGAAAATGTTCAACTGAAGGTGGTGGAGATATCCAGTGGCCGAAAGCATGTTACAGCTGATTCAGGGAATGTTGGTTACGAGGAAGGACAGTCTTCAGAGTCTGTAAACAATGCATGCAACTCCAATGGCCCTCCACGCGATTATGAAAGCTCTGATACATCCCTCCAGTTGGGGTTAGTTCCACACATACAAAGGATTTTATGCTTGTGTTTGTGTGATGCTAATCCAGTAAACAATGGCTGAATTTTTCAAATTTGGATTTATTTTTCTCTATGCCAAGTTAAGGCCGATCGGCTTGTATTACCAAAAAGATTTGAAATATCTACCCAAAACTTTCGTCTTTCTTTACAGCTAGAACTTTCGTCTGCCATAATTATGATTTGCTTGGTATGTTATTAACTTGAGAATCATTTCTTGCATGAGATGATTGTAGTTTGCTTGAATTTGTGTCATTCATTTCGGAGGAAGTACTATTTATGAACTTGTTGAGGTTTGCTTGAATACTAATATTTTTTTCCTTCTCCTCGTAGGTTGCCATATTCAAGCTGAATGGGAGATTGAAGGAGATTAGTTCAGCCTCAGATGCGGACAAATTATTGCTCGCATGTAAATGGAATATGAACATAACCTAGGCATATAGTATTTGTGTTCCTTGGACAGGTGCAGGAAGACTTTATCGTTTCCATGATTAATCTACCGGATGCGATCCTTGGAGTCTTTCTTATTGTGCATGGGGAGGGGGGAAAAAAAAGAAAGAAAGAAAAACCACATGCAATAATTGTCTTTGCACCTGGTAGATCTGTGTTGCACCTGAAGTACGTAAGTTCGAGGAAACCTTTGAAATATCGGAGGGCCAATGTGACATCGGTATTGTAAAGATAACAAAAACCCTTATGACAGCATTAACTTAAGCCCAAATTGAAATAATAAAAATCTAAAATAAATTTCAATAGAAAAGGAATCCAAGACCAAAAATAAAATAACAAAACCAAAATTAAATAAGGGGGTGCCTGCTTTTGTCTCAAGCTTTTCTGATTGAAAAAATGCTTAGTTCTTGATGTTTCGACTTTATTCTTCGTTATGATATGGTGAAAGATTTATTACATTGAATGTAGCAGAAACATTATGACAAACTTGACACTGCTTGATGTGCCTATACACATCCCTCGATGACAAATGGCAATAAAAACCATTGGCTACAAGATTCAAGGTCTTGTCTCAGACAAAATGCCTAGGAAGGCCTCTGTCATGACACTTGATCAAATTAACTTTTCCTAACGAACACCTTGACACAAACAATTTTTCAAAAACAAATAATCATTATTAATTTGAATTTTTTTTTTTTTAAAAAGGCTCACTACATTGATGCCATATGATGCGAAATTCATCATCATCCTTGTACAAAATTTTGACCACTTTAAATCCGACAACCAAAACCTGTAAGGTAAAAAGTATGGTAGATCATCGCATAAGTGCATCAGCTATTTTGTTCATGGCTCCAGACTTGTGCTTGAGAATATAATGGGATGAAGATAAGAATTCACTCCATGTAGCATACCAACCTTTCAACTTACCTTTGACTGTGGAGATGTTTGAAAGCCTCGTGATCGAAGAACAAGACGAACTTCTTGGCCAACAAATAATGACCCTAATGATCTAAAGCTCTGACCATGACATAAAACTCTTTGTCAGGAGTTGAATATTTCTTCCTAACATCATTCAACTTCTAACTTAAATAAGCCACATGCCATCTCTTCTGATTAAGAACAACTCCAATGCCCATATTACAGACAATACAATTACTTCAAACACGTTCATAAAATAGAAATGAGAAAGAACAAGAGCCTCAGTCACCTTATGTTTCAATAGTTCAAATCTGTTTTGAGCTTTGGATGGCCACTCAAACTTATCTTTCTTCAACAATTCGATAATTGAGGTTTTAATAGAATAGAATTTTTGGTAAAAAGACACCAAGCTATGGATATTTCTCACCTCAATCACAATCCTAGGTTTTAGCCAATCGAGGATGACTTCAACCTTACTATTAACGATATCTCTATCCCTTTGCTCGATACCACATACCCTAAGAAAATTACCTTATCAATAAAGAAAATGACACTTTTCAAGGTTAGTATACAAATTTTGCCTCTTGTAACATCACAAACTTGTTGTAAGTGCTCTAAGTGCTACTTACTATAAATCAAAATATCATCAAAATAAACTACTATGAACTTACCAATAAGTAGTCGAAGAATATGATTAATGAATCTCATGAATATACTCGATGCATTAGACAATTCAAATGGCATTATCATCCATTCGTAGGGACTATTCTTCGTCTTAAAAAGTTATTTTCCACTCAACTTCCAGCCTTATGCAGATCTGATGATAACCACTATCTAAAACAATCTTTAAAAAGGATTGTAAGAAAGATATTTATAATTTAAGGCCTTTTTTTATCTTGCTCTTGCCTCTCAACTTCTTTGTCTTTTCAAATGTTCCCACCGCATGAAAGCATTCTTCTCTAACCTGATGGCCATTATCTTTATCTTTTTGTCATGTGGCAAGTGCTTACAGTCAAACACCTTTTCTACAATGTACATACACTCAATGAAGTCTTCATGATTGAGTTTTCTTTCAAAATTCGAGATATCCACCTTAACATCAAAGTTTTGGCTTCGTTTTCTCCATATATGCTCTCGAGGATGCACCAAACTCGTCTTTCTCTGAAGTTTCGGCTTTGCAGATGATGGAAATGATTTTTTTTCTTCCTCTCTTTCAAACCTTTGTCCTTGCGCCTCACTGCCTCTCTTCTCATACACATCAAGTTTTTACTATATACGCACTAGCTCGTTCTGCAATTCGACCATAGTCAAAATGTTGAGACTAATTTTCAAAAAACTCTTGTATTTATAATATCAAATACATATATACATCACATAACATTTTGAATATATAAAGATCCAACAAAAAATTAAAAGAAACTAAAAGAGATGGGGTTTTGAATAGTGATTTTCATTGTTCATCCCCTCACAAGCTATTATTCATATGCTATAGCTTAGATGGTTTTTTTTTTTAATAATTTAATTGAAGTTGTTTTGAGCATTTATATTTACTTTACATCATGTTTCATTTTGTTCTCTAAAATCTTTAAATAAAAATCTTAATTCCCTAGATGATGCACTACGTTGGGCTTGTAGAAGCCGGGAGCTCGGATATGCTTTTTTTTTTTTTTTTTCCTTTGCTTTTTTTCATCAATTTATGTTTTTTTTTGTTTTATTTAATTTGATGTTAAAATTTAAAAAAATTAATTTTTATTTTTTTTCACACAAACCGACAATTATATAATATATACGATACATTTTTAGATTTTAGAATAAATATATACTAATCTTATTATTTAAAATCAATCTTTTTGATTTATTATAAAAATTCTCATCAAATTAATTTTTATTCTTATTTTTTTATATAATTTTATTTATTAATAATATAATTTATTTTCTATATGTATGTATTCAAATAAGTTTTTTTTTTATAGCTATTTTTATTTGCTTAATTCTTATATAATCAAATTTTATATCAAAATCAATTTTATACTTTTTATTACACTATTAACTTCAATATATATTTTACTATTTAATTTTTTAAAAAATATTTTTTAATTTATGCTACACATTCTCTCCAATTGAATGTGGTCATGACCTATAAAAAATAATAATATTAGAGTCATTGATTTTATTATGAATCAATTATGCATCTACACTCACAATACCGACTATTTACTATTATTTTTTAAAATATTTTAAAATTAATTTTTTCAAATAAAATAATTGAAATAATATTTTGAGAGAATCGTCTAATAATTCAAATACAATTTGTATACTAATATTATTCATTATTTTGTAAATAAATATATACGAATCAAGTATACACATTTAAAAAAAAAATCTTCTCATCGGTAAAAAAGGCTTCATTTGTTAATTTTCATATAAGTTTTTCTATTAATTGTTGCTTTATTTATTCGATGCAATTTAATGAAAAAAATATTAAGATATTTTTTTAAAATTTTATATTAAAATTTGTTTATTATTGGTTTTTATTTAATAATAAATGCATAAGAAATAATAAATCATGTTTTTTTGTCTTCAAAATTTATTCAAAACATAAAAAAAAATAGATAAAATTTTTTGATTAAATATTATAAAAGTAAATAAAATTTTATCTTTTATATTTAATTTAATATATTTTAATTAATCGAAAAAATAACATATGCTATCAAACTGAAATAAATATGTTTAGTTCGGTCTACAGTATAGAATGAAATCGGACTAGTATATTCTAATTTGGGATATATCTTTGATGTTGAGGGATATGGTGATAAATAATCCATGGATTCCTTGTTTAATTTTTTTTTTTTAGTAGGTATTTTGTTTTTCTAAAGGTTCATTTAGTTGGATTGAGTTTTTATACATCTTGTAATTTAAAGTTATTTTTATTTTTTATTTTTAATGTCATTTCATAGGAGTCAATTTCTTTTTTATTATTTTATTTTCCTTTTCACATTCTTTTTTTTAAAATAGAATTTCATCATTTCAAGCCATTTTTTTTTAAAAAAATTTGAAATCAAGTCAAATTGAGTTTAAGAACACGTGTGGTACATATGATGCATAAAAATACTACTAACGACATTATAGATAAATGGTTCTAATTATAAACACAATATATTTTAAAACGACCATACTGATAATATTAATAATAGAAAGATATAGTTAATAAAGAGACCGAAAGTATAATTAACCACCATCAAAGTTGATTGTTAGTCAATAAAATTATTTTTGTAAGTAATTAACATATGGCAATTGATAATAAAAAATAATAAAAATCACTATCTTAATTTTTGAATAATCAAATAAAATAAATATTTAGCTAAAGAAAAAAGACAATCAAGTTATACTAGAAACCATCTATTAAAAAAGAAAAGAAATAAGAAATAAATTCATATAATAAATAGCATGCTATCTCTCGCTCATTTAAAAATATGCAACATTTTCTCTTTCTTAATATATTCACACAAAAAATATGTAATTTTTTCATATTCCAATACATAGATGTAGATAAATGAATTATCTCAAATAATAAACTTGGAAGAGAACATAAATATAAAATAATTGGTACTTCGAAAAAAAAAACACAAAAAACCCTAAATAGTATCCAACCAGAAATTGCCAGCTAAGCAAAACGAGAAAGCTGAAGATAGAAAGAAAATGAGGCGCATGCATTGTCACGTGCACCAGCACAACGCCATTCGCCTTATCTACAAAAACCGAAACGACAAGTCCTGAGAGCGAGACGTAAACAAATAAATACCAACCACGAGGAAACGCAAATACTCTTAAACGATATCGTTTTATGTCTCAGATTGGATTGGATTCTTAGAGGGAAACGAAAAAAAAGAAAAAGAAAAAAAAGAAATGGAAAGCACCAGCAGAAAGAAAGAGTAGTAATGCGAAGAAGTAAAAGTAAAGAGCAAAATTGTTTGTTGAGTGATTAATGGCGGAGCAGAGGAATCGGTGGAACTGGGAGGTGAGTGGCTTCGAGCCGAGGTCGGTAGAGGCGGAGCAGCCGCTTGTGCGGCGGTACTCGATCTCGAAGACGCGAGAGAATTCGGAGTTATCGAAGCAGGCTCTAGCCTCCAAAGTCCACCGATTGGAAGATAAAATCAAGGTTCTAATTTTGATTTTATTATTAGAAGAAGAGAGCATGAAATTAAGAACAAGCACTGATAGTTTTTAGTAAATTATTATTATTATTTTAAAAATTAAACAGCTTGCGAAAGAGGATTACTTGGAGTTGAGACAAGAAGCAAGTGATTTACAGGAGTATTCAAATGCGAAACTTGATCGAGTTACCCGTTATCTAGGAGTCCTTGCTGAAAAAACTCGTAAGCTAGGTATTACTTGTTGAACCATGAATGAGTTTTTCATACATTTTTCACTTTATAAGATGGCGGTGTAAAGAAAATGCTCGTGGCATAGTCCAAGAATTAGTTAATGTTGAATGATTAGGGGAAAAAAAAAATAATTTCTTGGATATTGAATTTGTGATTAATTCAATGTTTATATGCTTCAGTTCACACTGTCTTTGCTTCTTTTCCTCAAGGTTTTGTTGTTGGTGGGTTCTGTTGACGGATTTGAACTTTATCTAAATATAAATGCCAGATCAAGTTGCCTTTGAAACCGAGGCTAGAATATCTCCACTCATCAATGAGAAGAAAAGATTGTTCAATGACTTGTTAACGGCCAAAGGTACTGACTCATCTTCCCCAACTTTGGTTTACTTTCTCTTGCTCTCTCTCAAACCTGCACATTAACATGTATTCTTTCACTGAGCTTAAACGAGTTCTTGATCACTCATTTGGTTTGACAACGCCTTTTATTGTCAGGAAGCATCAAGGTGTTTTGTCGTGCAAGACCATTATTTGAAGATGAAAGCCCTTCTGTTGTTGAATTTCCTGATGATTGCACAATCCGCGTCAATACTGGTGATGATACCATCTCCAACCCCAAAAAAGATTTTGAATTTGACAGAGTTTATGCACCTCATGTGGGACAAGGTTTGCATAAAACTGTTTCTTTGTACATTATTTTTCTCAATTGTTTAATTCTGCCTCAAATGCTTATTCATTTGTTTGTAAAAGGAAGGTGTATTTCGTCTGCTAATACATCTATGTATATACTTGTGTGATGTACATTGTTAGTTCGTTTTTTAAGCAAAGCTTCAATGTTTAATCTTCACTGTGCAGCTGAGCTGTTCACAGATGTTCAACCATTTGTGCAATCTGCTTTGGATGGGTATAATGTTTCTATGTTTGCTTATGGACAAACTCGCTCTGGAAAGACGTACACTATGGTCTCTCTCTCTCTCTCTCTCTCTCTCTCTCTCACATTCATGTGCTTACATACACATGTACACATGGGTTTATACATAGGCATATGCATTTGTGTTATGTGTGTATATCTGGGTGCATGTGAGTATTATCCATCTTCTTTTGGCTTATAAAAGCACGGGACAGTGCTTGTTTCTTTATAGACTAGTATAGAAGTTCTACTATGGGAGGTTGAATGGTAAGATTTGGTGGGGTAGATTCTGATATTCTTGGAAAACTAGCACGATTGCTGATTAAACTAGTTGAATTAATGATTTTTTTCATTGTATAATCTGGTTTTTCTTTGCATGACTGAAGTTTCTCTTCTTCCTCTTTTTTCACTGCTCATGTCGGTCCTTACTAATCGCGGGGCCTTATCGTAGCAGTTTTATGCTTTTTGAGGAATTCTTTGGCGTCTGCATGCTATGTGTGTGTGAATATATTGGCCTAATATTTACTTTTTTGACATAATTTGACTTTTTACAGGAAGGATCTAGCCACGATCGTGGGTTATATTCTCGTTGTTTTGAAGAGTTGTTTGATTTGGCTAACTCAGATTCAACTTCAACTTCTCGGTTCAATTTCTCTGTTACAGTTTTTGAGATCTGCAATGAACAGGTTTTGCATTTTTCATGGTATTTGCCATCATTAGGCTTCCTTTGTCAATATATTCTTTGGGAGTAGGAAGAGGGGTTGGGCAGCAGTGTAATTGATAATTTGAGCACAATATCTTTAAAGCACTCTAATCTTGACTCCTTTCATGCTCTTGTAGATAACTGATTTGCTGTCAGAGTCTGAGAGTACTTTGCAGAAGATACGCTTGGGATCACCAGAATCTTTTATAGAGCTCGGACAAGAAAAAGTTGATAACCCATTGGACTTTTCTAAAACCTTGAAAGCTGCATTTCAGAAACGGGGAAATGACATATCAAAGTTGAACGTTTCTCATTTGTATGGCCTACATCCTTTATTGTCAAAGATTCTTTCTCTCATTCTCGTATGGCAGTCTGTTCAAATGGTGATCATGCTGTCAGAAGTATATTAAGGCCTTATTTTCTATGTTGAAAGATTCCCTATAATGTTGATAGTCATTTCAACTTTTGAGAAATTGTTCCAAAAGAATTCATTGATAACACATAATGATTCCTGGAATGCAATCTGCTGTCAAAATTTTCTAGTTCAGTTCTTCTGTATCATTGGTTACGCATTAGTATATGCGACATATATGGCTCACAGCTAGTATTAATACCCCAATTCTGCAAAGAACCTGTTGAGGTTGAACAGTTTGGAGGTTTGAATGAGTTCTGTGAATTGACGCCAGGCAGCAGCAGAAACATCTCTCTTAGGCTACTTTGCAGTGGTTCAAAGACATCAGATTGTTTTGAATAGAATAACAAATCAAAGATAGAGATTTTCAATGTCTTCAATAGATGAAGGATGTTTTGTTGATAGCTTTTGTGGGTTCTGAGAAGGGGAAGTATTGCTAGATGTTTTGTTTCACAGTGAGTCGGAGTATTTGGATACGAAGAATTCTAAAAATTTCAACTATCATTTACCCTTGCTGCAGGATAAGATAATATTTCTGACTTATCTTTTGTGCACTGCTTCAGGGATTTCTAGTCTTCTTAGTTGACAGTCCCTTGGACTAGGGTAGCTACCTTTCGTTTGGAGTCTCCTCACTGTAATTGTACATTCATTCCATTTGAACAAAGCATTTTACTTGTATAAAAAATAAAACTCTAAGGTCACATTATCATCAAACATGTGATTATGGTTGTGATAGTGATTGAAATAAGTAACTTAAGAAATATCCATTTGTACAAGGAAAGAGTGAACTGCAGGAAAAAATTATGTATCTCATGCATGCTGTGTGATTCTAAGTTTTGATCTCTAATTATATGTGGATTTCTTGTTTTTGCTATGGTCAGGGTTGTAGCAGTGCACATATATTATAACAATCTGATCAGTGGAGAGAACTTGTATAGCAAGCTTTCTCTTGTTGACCTGGCTGGAAGTGAAGGTCTAATAGTAGAAGATGATAGCGGTGAGCGTGTGACCGACATGCTCCATGTGATGAAATCACTCTCAGCGTATGTTACAGTAGCACACATTTTGCTTACTACTTTTCTTGGTGCTGCTGTGGTTAAATAACTGCTTTTTAGACTTGGTTGTGCAACAGAGGTTCTGTGTTATCTTGCAATTAGGTTTATGGATATTCTTACATTATAAATTTTATATAGAGAAGTTTGAGACAGTTGAGGGACTGGGATAGCCCATTTTCTATCTATTTAACTTTTTAGGAACTATGGCAGCAATAATTTTGGCACCCAGGTTCCCATGTTTATGAAGGTCACTCTTATCATATTCTGCCATTATCTTATTGTATTTTATGTTGTACATGTAGGTTGGGAGATGTCATGTCCTCTTTAACTTCAAGGAAGGAAGTTGTTCCTTTTGAAAATTCAATGCTGACAAAAGTTCTTGCTGACTCCTTAGGTATTGCCTTTTTCCACCTTGTATGTATGAAGATTTTTTTGGCATTTTGTCATGCTTAGAATTGGAACATGAATAAATAATTTTTCTGAAAACAGAAGGAAAAAAAATCTTTTTTGTTTTTGGATGCGAAATTGATTTCTTGTGGAGGGAATAAAATAATAGAGTAAAAGAAAATATATCAATTGAAGAAAAGAAAGAATTTATTTTAATTGTGTGCAAGGTGTTAATTTAACACTTGTTATTTCAATTTGATTGTGTTATTTGCATATAGTTGCTCTTAAGATGCTAGTGCATGAGAGAAAAATACGGTGGTGAGATGGCAATTTGCTGAAAGAAGACTTTATAGACCTTACATCATTTTGGTTTTAGATAAAGGTAGATATGCTCAATTACTAGAATTTATCTGATCTCCACCCAAGTTTGATTCTATCACATTGGGCCTCGCTGATCTATCAACCTTAGATGTAGTTTTAGTTGTTCTTTTAATAATGTGCTGAATTATCTCAATCTGCCTTCTTCTTCTTGTTTTTTTTGTTTTTTGTTTTTTTTTTTTTTTGGAGATTTAATTTTTGAATCATTGCTTATTTTTTCTCTAAAACTGATTTTCTTTCTGCAGGGGGAATTCAAAAGCTCTGGTTATACTCAATGTGTGTCCAAGTATTACAAATTTGTCTGAGACATTATCGACTCTCAGCTTTGGTTCTAGGGCTAGAAATGCTACACTAAGCCTTGGAAATCGAGATACAATTAAGAAGTGGAGAGATGTTGTAAGTTCTTGTTTCTTAGTGATCTTTCCGTACCTTTTGCTAACCTCCTTTTTGAATGTGGTCTTTTCATCAATGGGTGCTTCATACTTGCCAGACAAGTGATGTAAGACATTTTTTTAGCTTTTCTCCTGCACATATTTTATGGTGGGCTAGGATTCAGAAACTGGGAATCTCAGTCAGATCGAATAAGAACACGGATTTACAATCTGTAAATTGAACTGCAGGTGCATGAAAAAGACTAAAGCTTCACAATGCCACTAGGAAAGGTTCAAGGAACTGAACCTAGAATAGGAAAGATAAATAGCTAGGGTTGTAGGAGTCATACCTAAGATTGATTGCATAAAAAAATCACGCATGAAATGTTTTTTTTTACTTAAAACAACTAGTTTATGTTTTAGTTCTTGTTTTTAGAATTGCCTTTTGCACAATATAGTTTTTGTAAATAATAATTATTCATTTTCTTACTGGTTTGTTAATTACTAAATTTTCAATAAAAAATAAATTCAAGCAACTTATTTTAATCTTTCAATCAAATTCTTGTTTTTAAATTGTGTTCTTGTTAGCAAATTAAATTAAATAGCACAACACTAGCTTACCAAATAATCAATCAGTTTTACTCACGAACATATCATAACAATTCATTGCCAAACAACATATATGTTTCTTCATTTCATATTACAGCACCACAAAACAGTCATAGCATAACACAGCACAGCATGGTATTATGGGTGCCAACAGGCTGAGTTCTTAGTACTCCTAATTCATTATTGGCTCAGATCTCTAGCTAAGAAAGCAAGACTATTGATGGATTAACTAATTAGAAGGCTCAAAAGAGCACTCTAGAATAAAATCTCAAATTACACAAATGCTGCAATGTGCTTGTGACAAGTAGCAAGGGCATTGTATTGTTGAAATTTTTGTATTCACCTTTTATGGAATATAATGAGATAAAAGAATCATACAGTGCAAACTTTTAGCAGGAATGGGTTTCAGGTGCTATTTCTTCTTAGGAATATTTTTGATGTTTCACTCTTCCACAAAACATCATCTAGAATGCTGTAAATGTTAAGGTCTGTGGTGTTAATTCATTATCTAGATCAGTTATGGAGAGTTCCAATTCTTTAGTTTGTAATGTTTTTGTAGGCAAATGATGCACGGAAGGAGTTATATGAAAAGGAAAAGGAAATTCAAGATCTGAAACAAGAGGTTTTGGGATTGAAGCAAGCACTCAAAGATTCAAATGACCAGTGTGTCTTGCTCTTCAATGAAATTCAGAAGGCTTGGAAAGTTTCTTTCACACTGCAATCGGAATTAAAGGTTTTTTAATTTCATGAATTCGGTATTTTCCCATTCTGTCACGGACTGCATGTTACGCAACTGTTCAGAACAATTTCAGTTTATTGTTTGAATTATTTTTAGCCATTAGCCAATTCAATTTCATTTTTTGTTGAAAACTAGTAATTACTAGGGGAACTTTAAATTTTCAATTTTGTGAAAAATTAAAAGTATACTTCTATACTTTGCTGAGCCATCTGATGGTATACATCAGTGAGGCACGTTCTTCTGTATGTAACATTGAATTTTGTACTTTTTAACTGTGCATATATGGTCGAACTTTTGTTTTGTTGCCACTAGACCTGAAGTTAAGCTGTTTCATGACTCTTATTGATGCAGTCAGAGAATATTATGATTGCTGACAAGCATAATGTGGAAAAGGAACAAAATGCTCAGCTTAGAAATCAAGTAGCTCAACTACTGCAGATCGAGCTGGAACAAAAAATGATGATGGAACAAAAAGATTCCACAATTCAGACATTCCAGGTTTGTCTTATATTTTGCATTTCTTTCGTCCATCTTGAGCTTGTATATATACTGGTTCTAAATTTAGTTTATCCTGCTTCCACATGTTCATTAAGGTTTTTGTGCTCCTATATGCAGTTATGGGTCCTGACAATTTCTTAACTGTAGTTTACATGGCTGTGTCTGGAAGTAATTGGTAGTTTCTCGTCTTTGAGTAATCTGAGCATGTTTTCGGGTTGCAGTTATGTAGTAATTTTGTATTTTCAGTGATTATAGAGCCCATGCACTATTATCAGCAGATAAATGTTACCCTTTAGCTTTTCACAGAAGAGAAAAGGTCACAATTAGCAATCAAAATAAAAACATGCACTTTCTTCTTGTATTCTGTTTTGGGTGTTTTTGTAGGCAAGGGAGTATATTTCTGAGTTTTTTCATTGGAGGTTGATGTTGTTAATTGGATTTGCACACCCCTAATGATGAGGGAAAATTCAGAATTGGTTTCCCTGCTTCCATCTCAGTTCTTTTTTTGTTTATTTTTCTATCAGACAAGAAACAGATTGTGGACTTTGGAGGGGTTTGGTATATTTTCTCAACCCCTCCCCCAAATATCTATCTGGACTCCATGTCCATCTCATTAGTGATTGTCATCTCCCAAGGCAACTTTGAGAGAGAAAATAGTTTTTTCTTGCTTCTTTAGGTCTGCAGCTAATGGGATCTTGAATGGTGTTTCTTTAACTGATATTCAGAGAAACTAAGAATCTCTAGTGTGTTAGAGTTCTGTTTTCTTTCAGCTCATGTTCCATTTAAAGGATGGCTCATGATCTTCCTTTCAGTACTTATGCCAAAGCCCTTCTTCTGATAGCGTTACTTCTTTTATGAAAAAAGAAAAGAAAAATCAATTCTTTTTGCTGTTCTTCTGTTATGCTTCTCACATAAATCCTCTTCTATATGATTGTATCATAATCAGAAAATTCAAATTTGGATGCAGGCCAAAATTAAAAGCATGGAGTCACAGCTCAATGAAGCTCGATCAGCATTTGGCTCAGAACCAGGGCCTGTGATTCCATCAATCTCCAAGACAACTGGGGATGGCATGGATTCTTCAGCAGTAGCCAAGAAACTTGAAGAAGAACTGAAAAAGCGCGATGCATTGATTGAGGTCTGCAATGGTTTACTGAAATGTACTTGAAATTGAGAACTGTTTGCATAAGCATGGACTTATAACAGCTCTTCTTCTAATCTTAAAAAGATTGAGCTGTATGGTAGAGCAAGGTTTATGTAATAATATCTTTACATTTGTTTACCATACGAATGTTATGGAAAAAAAAGGGAGGGAGAGGAAATACCGAGGGAAGAAAATTAAAATAGCTGGAAATGCATATTAGATATATGTGTCTTTTTGTGAAAGGAGAAGCATACTGCTTTCATTTCATGAATCTATTCTTCTTCATACTAACTTTGAACTTTCTTCGTCAGGCAAAGTTTGTCTCACATGATTTGATTATTTGTTTGATTATGCAGAGGTTGCATGAAGAAAATGAGAAATTGTTTGATAGACTAACAGAGAAAGCATCTTTAGCTGGATCTCCCCAGGTAGTTTTTTTCTTTCACTCGATGTTGATGTAATCACTTTTTATAATTTAATTATAGTTTATTTTCCCAAAATTCGCAATTCGCTTGATTGTTGCATTCTTTTGTTCTACTGTGTACTTGTCGTTGCTTCCATCATTTTCCTTTGCTGCGCAAGGGTACAAGTTTAAGATTTATTAGATCATCTACCTGCGATATGCCGCTGGTAAATTTTGAAAATCAATTTTTTTCAATTAAAGCGCTTGAGAAAATATTTAAATTTATTAAATTAGAAAGGCCATTTTTTCACTTTAAATACTTTTAGTTTGATTTTAGGTTGTGAATATTTCACTTTATTTGACATTGTATGTGTACTTTTTAGAAAGCTTAAGTATGATTTATGGGTATGTTGATTTTTCATTAAAAAAAATTCTTTATGATTATCTTCTTTGTTTATTTCAACACCCAACACCCCCTTTTAATGTAAGATTGAACCCAATGAATGGCTCAAAGCGAGCCCAACTACAAATTCCTTGTATTAATTTGATAAAAAATTAAAAAATAAAATCTAGGCCTATATTATTTGAGGTGAATATAATAAATTGAGAAATTCTGATAATTGATGAATAATAGGGGTCAAAAAGTAAATCGGTTGATAGAGTAAATCATTGTAGACCATATAGTAGTATTATAATTATGGCGTTTGTCAAAGATGATTGAATTTTCTGGGTGAGTTTTTCACTTCATATACCTTGATTCATCAAACATTTCAGTTTTTGGGGTGAAGGTTCTGCAGTTTTGCTTCTTTACTCGCAAGATTGTCAAATAGGTGCTGTTCTTTCAACCTATCAATATCTTGCATTTATATGGAGTGCAAGTTCAAAGAACTTAATAATTGAGCTCTGGTATATGACAATGACATCCATACATCTTATTGATTCTAATTAGTTTGGAAAAAAAAAAAAATCTTTCTGTGTAGATGTGCTGAAGATTTTTTCCTTCTTTTCTCTAGAGTTCACGTAAGTGGTTTCAACAGCGGCTTGTTTCTTTTCACAATTGTTTGTAGTCAGATAGACATGTCAGTATATTTAGAATCAAGTTGTCAAAGCATCTATCCTGGTGTTGTAGCAGTTTCTATATGCAACAATTTTTTTTTTTCAAAAAAATAAAAAAATCCCTTAATCTATTTAATATTTCCTCCCATTGCCAGGTACACTGCGTTGGGTGATAATATTTCTTCAATTGCCTGTCAATCAAGTGCCTCCAGATTTCTAACTTGGGTAAATTCCTTTTCAGGTGTCTAGTCCGTTGTCCCTAGGAACTGTGAATGTTCAGTCTCGGGAGCTGGGAAGGTGTTTGCTCGGATTTGATTTTAGTTGTGATTGCTTTGTCTTTTTACCTTCTTCATATATGCATAGCTATAGTAAATGTCTTTGTAATGCTTTGTACAGAAATGAGAACAATAAAGGCCGTTCAATGGATGTTGTTCCTTCACCAGTGGGTGCTGACAAGACTGATGGAACAATCGCTTTGGTTAAATCAGGTTCTGAGAAGGTTAAATCCACCCCAGCAGGAGAATATCTTACAGCTGCACTAAATGACTTTGACCCTGAACAACATGACAGCCTTGCTGCCATTTCAGATGGGGCAAACAAGCTTTTGATGTTGGTATGCTTAGTGATTGCCTGTTCTGTCTGGACTGAAAATTTACAGTTTAACTTCGATGTATATCTTGTTCAAGTGAATATTTATGTCAGCCTGATCTTTTGTTCTCCAATTTGAAATGGAGATAAAAGGGTCCTTCTAATGTTGACCAGGGGGACACTAGATCTCTGTGTGGTTCTGTCATCGTCAACTGCTTTTATTTAAGTTCATCTTTGAACAGTGGTTTAATTCCAAAATTGTTGTTAGAAAACTTAAGTGGCAGGTTTATTTAAGTTCATCTTTGAACGGTGGTTTAATTCCAAAATTGTTGTTAGAAAACTTCAGTGGCAGGAATTGTTTAACTCTGGGCATCTTTGTTATGATTATAGGTGTGTTTACCCCTCAGAACTGGGCATGCTGGAAATCTGCATTTGCTATGATTGATATAGAGAATCGGTTTCTTAGACTATCTTTTAACTTCCAAGCATTTGTCTTTGGTTTAGACATGGTGCTCTTTGAATGTTTAACTGGTTTTTATTTTGGCTTAGTTATTTTTTTTCTTTTTAATTTTAGTAAGTCTTTTAATGCTAACAATTTTGGTGATACCATTTGCTAAGCGACGTGGGATTTAATTATATAGGAAAGTCTTTTAAAATCAAAGCGACATGGCTATTAGCACATTCATGGTGATCCATATTATAAGCTGCTACATCAGTTAGTAAAAATGAGTTACTCCAAAGATAAATAAATTATAATATATGAATAAAAATACTTATGATTGAATATTTCTTATGCTATAGCTGAAAAGTTTTCATTGCGCAGCCTTCTATATTCCCTTCACTGGGAATTTTATGCTTTTCTTAATAATATCTTGCGTGGTGGCTGCCAATATTTTGCAGGTTCTGGCAGCAGTCATTAAAGCAGGTGCTTCTAGAGAGCATGAAATACTTGCTGAAATCAGAGATGCTGTTTTCTCTTTTATTCGCAAAATGGAACCAAAGAGGGTAATGGATACCATGCTTGTTTCCCGTGTCAGAATTTTGTACATAAGATCTTTGCTTGCCAGGTCACCGGAGCTGCAGTCCATCAAGGTAACAGTGCACTAGATGCTCGTTTCTTTCGTTTCTTTTGCTGAGCATACATGCAGTCATCTGCATCTTATTGAGATTACTGTGTCTATTCTCTTTTTTGCTTTATTCTGCAGGTTTCTCCTGTCGAGTGCTTTTTGGAAAAGGCTAATACTGGACGAAGTAGAAGCTCCAGCCGAGGCAACAGTCCTGGAAGATCTCCTGTGCGTTATGTGGAGGGGCAGATCCAAGGCTTTAAAGTGAACATAAAGCCAGAGAGGAAGTCTAAGTTGTCGTCAGTTGTTTTGAGAATGAGAGGGATTGATCAGGTTGCTGCCATTTGTTATCTTTTTCTCCTTTTGTTTTGTTTTACTTTTCCTTTTCTTCTGCCAACTTTCTAGAATAACTTGCTGCCCTGTCCCATCTTTTTTCTGTTAATTTTCCAGCCAAACATGCAATAGAAATAATTTCATGTAGGGTACATAAGAACACAAACAAACTAAATCTAGCCCAACAGGAAAGAGGCTAGAAGAGACTTATTTGAATGAAAAACAAAGATTTTTGGACTGTTGTTTGAATGAAAAACAATGAATTTTGAACTGTTATTTCCCTTGTCTTGTGAAATGTTGTGTTATTATCAATTGCTGATGTGCTTATTAAGATTATTATGTACTCACAAATCTCTTGTATGGGACATAGGGTTCTGCTATATATATTTGTTCATGTTGCTAATTGACTTCAATGATCTTATTATGATATCTGTAGGATGCGTGGAGGCAGCAGGTAACTGGTGGAAAACTAAGGGAAATTCAAGAGGAAGCAAAAAGTTTTGCAATAGGAAACAAAGCTCTTGCTGCTCTCTTTGTTCATACTCCAGCTGGCGAGCTGCAGAGGCAAATTAGGTCCTGGCTTGCGGAGAATTTTGAGTTTCTTTCGGTTACGGGAGATGATGCATCGGGAGGGACCACTGGTCAATTAGAACTCCTTTCAACTGCAATTATGGATGGTTGGATGGCTGGACTGGGTGCTGCATTGCCTCCCAGTACAGATGCTCTCGGCCAGCTTCTATCTGAGTATGCAAAGCGGGTTTTTACTTCTCAATTGCAACACTTGAAGGTATTTCTTTTCATTAGCTGAGATTTACTCTTTTATTGCTCCTTATCAGTTTCATTGTGTGCTATAGATGCCCAAATTGTTAATATGCGGAATACCTTTCTTTCATATATTCTAATCATATATATACAAGATACAAGGACCTATACATGGTGAATAGATCAAACCTACAGCTGTGTGTATATTCCTAATTTAAGAGAAAACTATATAGGAAATATACATGATAGGAAATAGGAAAGAATACAGCTCATTCCCGCTAACTGCCCAGGTACAGGACCTGGCAGTCATCTTCTTTGCATGGTTTGGTTACTCGCATCCAAGTACATACACAGTGCAGTTGCTTCCCTTTTGTGTAGAGTTGCTGTTATACTTGAGAAACTTATTGCTTCATGGAATTGTTTCTGGTTAATATTGTAGCACTTTGATTCCTGTGACTGTCTTTTCCTAACAAACACTGATTTGATCTGATTGCATTATTCCTTCTGTAAAAGCTCTTCCGGACAAGGGCTCTGATAATTCTGATCAGAAAGTGAGAATATGTATCATTAGTTAAACTTAGCTCAGGGTTTTGATCTCAGAGAAATTTGTTGGTTTTGGAGAGGAGCCATGTTCTATCTTTTGAAAAGAGAGCATGATTGAGCATTAGTAGTGGATGGACTATACCATTTATGCTGTCCCTGATGATAGAGATGCTTGGGAACTTGTCATAAGAAGTTGGCTGTGGAATTTGGCAAGTAAAAAATTAGATTCACATTTCCTCTGCCCGTGGAATCATGCTGAGGAATCATCTAAAGAAGAGTGTTGCACCTATATGGCTAACTGCACTCCTCGAGTACAAATGTGCAATAAGGATACTTTTCTTTTCTAAAGAAAGTGCCTGTAGCCTCTGAATAATTTTGACATTATGGTCTTCAAGGAGAGCTGATTTCACCATGGTCATGGAAAGAACACATGGGATTAGAATAAACCTAATTAATTGGAAAACCAAAAAATAATTCATTTGAAGCAATTGTTATTAATGAGCTGACAGAAGATGGTGTATGTTTCAAAATTTTATTTACAGTTCCACTTTGCTGTTATGTTCATTTTCAGGACTCTTAATCCTCATATTCATAAGGTCTTTGTCACTTCATCCTCAAGAGAGTTTGAAAACCTTTGTCCCTTCTGCTCCAGAGAGTGCCTGTCTTTATCTGGCCCTATCCTACTAGCACCCTCAACGAATCATCTAAATAGCAAAACTTTGAGGGAAAAAGACTTTTTTTATACTTTAGGCATTGAACTTAATTGAAGGTGTGAATAGTGCCTGAATAGTGCATATTAGATAGTACTCTATATGGTGTTTTTCTTATTTATTTTCCAGCACATTCCATATAGTGCCAAAATATTTTCAGAGATTTATTTGTTTTGGTGCATATGATCTTACTTCAGAAAACAAATTGTGATTTCTCACTATCTCTCATTTTTTTCTTTGTTTTGAACCTGTTTTATTTGCTCATGAGGATGTGTTTACAACCATGAGCACTATTTGAACATAGCCTTAATCTCTCCCTTTTTTTCAGGATATTGCCGGGACGTTAGCATCAGAAGAGGCAGAAGATGCAGCACAGGTAGCGAAACTGCGTTCAGCTCTTGAGTCTGTTGATCACAAAAGAAGAAAGGTAGTTATTTTCATCTGAAAAAAATGTTTTGTCTCTACCCTTAAATATCTTACAGTTACCTTTCTTTACTGAACATTATTAGATTCCATTGTAAAGTCAAATATTGTAAATGTGGATTCTTTTTACCGTATGTCCAGCATACAAAATTTCTAGTTACATTAAAATTAAACTTAATCAGCATTTAAATTAGGATTTAATTGTCAAAAGGAGAAGTTGATTCATTAACTGCAACTTCCAACCTTTTACCAGTATCACATAGGAGAAACAACATCAGGATATATTCAACGAGGTAAAAAAAGAAAATCAATGTCTATAAGCAATCAGTAACATCATGTGGAGATGATTGGATTTTAGGTCTATAGCATCTAGATGCAAATTCAAGATGATAAAGCCATGAAGAGAGATGGAGTCAGTAAGAAGTTTCCTGGTTGAATTGCAAGTGTCTCTGCCAAGAGATCGGTAATGAGACCTGTCCAAAGGAAGATAAAAAGTTTGACCATCGCAAAACACTTGGTAGAATGGTTGGTGGATAGCAAATTTTTTCAGTCACGATAGGAGCTCAAGTAGAGGAGCTAGATGCTACTTCAAATTTCTGGTTCTGAAAGTGATGGCTCTATGCTGATGTTTACTAACAAGATATGAGCAATCATGATAGTCTTAAAGCTGAGTAAACTAGAGATGGCACATAGTACCTGAAGGTTTGGTTATCATATTCCTTACATTCTGAACATGGGTAGAGTATTTTACCTAAAGTTTTATAGCATGGTTAGATTTTGAATTGAAAACCCTCCCTCTTCAAGATTGCAAATAAATAGTGAATTGTGAATGTTCTTGTTTCTTAAATATTCAATGGACATTCATCTTCATGTGCATTTTCTGGATTCTGAAATTTGTGCTCAGTTGTCAATCTTTTGTCACCTCTTGATATTAAAATGTTCATTGAGCTGATAATGCAAAGTTTATTAGGCCTTCATGGCATAGCTCAAAAGATTTTTCTTTTCTATTTTTTATGTGTTTATTTATTTTGTTTCTGTTTTTAGTTATTAAATTCTTTCTTTATCTATTCACTTCTTGGACTGAGAGATACTTTGCATTTAGTGCATTTGTGCTGTGACAATTGTGTTTTTTGTTTTTCGTTTGGTAGTAATGTGTGGATTAATTCTGCATGATTTTGTCCTTCCATACATTTTTCCTTGGGTTTAAAAAAAATACTTCTTTGCATGTCTTGATGTTATTCTTTGTTATCCTTAGATTTTGCAACAAATGAGAAGTGATGCAGCTTTATTAACGTTGGAAGATGGTGGTTTGCCTGTTCAAAATCCTTCCACTGCTGCCGAAGATGCACGATTGGCATCTCTTATTTCTCTTGATGGCATATTGAAGCAAGCGAAGGTTTTCTTCTTCTCGTATGAAATTATTGTTTATTTGCATAACGTAGCCATTCTGACTATTTGCATGATCATTGAGTTAAAATAGAATCAGTAACAACCGATTTTTAAACAGGATGTATTGAGGCAATCCTCTGTGAACACCTTGAGTAAATCGAAGAAGAAAATCCTGCTTGGTTCTCTGGATGAACTTGGGGAAAGGATGCCTTCTCTTCTTAACATTGATCATCCATGTGCCCAAAGGCAAATTGCAGAAGCTCGTCACGTGATTGAGGTATGTGTGTGTGTGGTGGCGTTGGTATGCTAAAGAGTAAAAACATTGAAAGTATGGCTAAAAACTGAACAGAAATTGAAGAGAGGAGAACAGTAAAAAGAGCAAAGAACAATAAAAATAAGGCTAAAAATTGAAAAGAAATTGAAGTTGGAACAAGAGATTACATATAGAGTTATTAGGAAACCTCTAACTTCACTACATTTTAATAAAGCAAATCTAGTGTTATAAAATAGCTCTACTAGCCTATTTATAGCCCTGACCCTTGTAGGAAAGAAATAAAGTCCCATGCTACCCACATGATGGATAGAAAATCCAGATAACATAAAGATTCCTAATAAACTAACAGGGGAAAAAAAAAAAAGAAAGAAAGAAGGAAGGAAATCAAAATCAGCAAGGAAACTTGGAAGCTCCTTTGCCATGCTAATAGTGGTAGTGGTGGAAGTAGGCACAGTATGGAGCATGCTGTCTTGTAAATGATTAAGGGTGCAAGTAAATCTAGAAACCAAGTTTGTTGTAAATTAAAATGGATGATTGCCAACAGAAGCCTGAGAACGTGAAGAGTGAATATCTTCTCCTTTTCCCATCCTTTGAAACACTGCTTCGATAGTGGTATTGTCAAAATCATTCCATCTTGGCAGTTTCAATATTTTATTTTATCTGGTATATGATTAATTGAAAATCAATTAGAGGATCATTAATGTGATTAAACAATGAATTTATGTTATTGTTAAATGAGGGGAAAAAAAAATAGAGACCGTTACAGCACGCTACTGCTTACTCTTGCATTTTTCCATGCGTGCATGCTTTTTTTTTTTTTTTAATATATATAAAAAGATTAAATTAATTAGAGAAGAAAAGGAACCAAAAAAGGCAATTTACATAATGGGGAGGATGAGCTCTTATATGTGTGGAGCCAATCCCAAGAATAGAACTTAAGACCTCCAAATCCTGAATTGCTACTGGATTGTTCCCAGAATAATACTGGATGCAGTGCTCTGATCCGAGGGAGAAGGGAGTGAGTCAAGCTCCCAAACCCATGGGAACTTTTAACATTCCCTTCCTACTGCCCAATTGAATGAGGCTCTCTTTAAGTACATATGAGATGCCATGGAATGCCATACTTTTTGATATAAATAGTTGAAATACTAGAATATTTTGTAGGATTTTCTTGCACATGTGGATTGTGACTCAATTTTGCATTTGATTATAATTTGGTAAACTTCCTTCACCTAATTGTTTCAATCTCATGTGAACTACTGCAGTCAATTCCTGAAGAAGATGACAGCCTTCATGAGTTGGCACATGCTCGAAAATCTTCTGCTGATTTAGGGTCTGGTACAGAAACCGATGTGGCACAGTGGAATGTTTTGCAATTTAACACGGGCTCTACAACCCCGTTTATCATCAAGTGTGGAGCAAACTCAAACTCGGAACTGGTTATTAAGGCTGATGCCCGAGTTCAGGAACCTAAAGGTGGTGAAATTGTGAGGGTAGTTCCAAGACCATCTATTTTGGAAAATATGAGCTTGGATGACATGAAACATATATTCTCTCAACTTCCTGAAGCTTTAAGTTTGCTTGCTCTAGCAAGGACTGCAGATGGTACCCGAGCGAGGTATTCTCGACTCTATAGAACTTTAGCTATGAAGGTTCCCTCATTGAGGGACCTAGTTGGTGAGCTTGAGAAAGGGGGAGTGCTGAAAGATGTGAAGTCATGAATTTAAAGAATGTTGAGAAATCAGTGCATGCCTTGTATCATATGATTGGTTGCGCTTGCCGAGGTGTTCATATTATTATTGTTGTTGTTATTATTACTACTATTACAATTCCTGTTACAATTTTTTGCTGGAGGGGTAGGATTCACGGTTGAATTGTTTTTGGTTGAAACAAGTTGGCTTTGCAGCTCCATTGTGATTTGTTTGGCAAAGAAAGCCGGTGTTTTGAGACTTGTATTACAGTTATAATGTATCATATGAGACATCCTACGAAATTCCTCATTCAAGGTAGTATTAGGAATTTAATATCTCCATAAAGATCTATTAAGAGATCCATTTTAATAATCCCATCGTTCTTCCAAATAACAATGCCACTGTAAATCTGAATCTAAGACCATATTCGTAGGTTCTTGAGTACTAATTTTTGGTCTAAAGAAAATGCAACCAGCGTCCTTCATTAGTCTCTACGACTCACATTTGAAGTGCGATAGCCACCATCCATAAACTTCAAAAACTCTTGAGGCCATCTCCATTTAACTTCTATACGATTAGTGTGTGTAGATATAAAAGGAAAAAAACATTTTATTTCTAACTCTGAAATAATTTTCAAAGAACAGTATGTCAACAAATAAGTACATAATCCAAATGGCATGCCAGAAATCAAAAGCTACAAAAATTGTACTTGATACGAGATAAAACAAAAGAGAGAAGAAGAAGGATGTTGAGAAACCCTTACTAATCACTATAGGGTCGGCTACTTCTCCTATAACTATAGACTATGATGTTGCAATAGGTATTATTATCTTCATATAGTAAGACAATGCTAATTATAGAAAGAATTATGGTCAATTTAAAATAATTAAGTTTCTAATCTCAATAACTATAAGGTGGTAGCCTGTCGATAAGTAAGCGTCGATTTATAGATCAAATTTAAGATTCGAATTTTGTAATCAACATTCTTGAGAATTTATTTTCAAAATACTCAAGGTGTGCATTGAGAAGTGTCTCATAGCTACATCCATAAAAGGATTAGTCTCGAAATGCATAAAACCGATCCGGAAACACTCTACGGCTAAACTTAAAAAAAAAAAAATTAATCTCAATGATTTTTTCTTTTTTCATGATCGGTTTCCTTAACATTCCTCTTATACAAAGAATCATGTTGTAGTCAATTTACAACGTTTGAGTTTCTAATCTCAATGTTGTTTCCTTAACATTTTTCCTCAATCTCATGGGAATGGGAAGAACATGAACGTTGTCTTTGAGCATTAGAAACTTAAGAGGTGAAGAGAGCTTTAGTGACCAAAGTTGCCATCTCACCATTAGTGTCAATTATCTTATCTCAAAATTCTTTATAGGAATCTAATCATGAACAAAGTGAGTCAATTTAGACTTTTCTTTTTTGTGCAAGCATGCGTCCGATTATGACAAAGTTACGTGGGATCGATGTTATCACACCAAAGTAATAGACTTCGAGGAAGAAAAACTTTAAACTCAAACAATAAGAGGTTATAGTTATGTTACTACTTTTATCAAGAATTGAATTATAGTTAAGAGCATTCGAGAAAACTTTAATTTGCCGCTAAATTTAAATCCTCCAAATAGCCAAAGAAACCAAAACTTCCTTTAAAAAAAAATAGCTGAACCAAAAATTACAACTTAAATTTGTGTTTATACCAAAACTTTAAGCTTGATGGCTATGATTGATTTTGGTAAAGATTAAATCAAACTCCATTACAATCTAGTTAAGTGATTTAGCTTAAGATAATTTTAGTAAGATTAAAATCCCATTACACCCTTGGTTGGATTGGTTGATTGTTAACATCACTTTGATTGATCAAGTTTAAGGATATAAAATACAAACTCTAAGTAAGCACAAATTAGTTAGTATCAAAGATGTATTTTTCTGCAAAATATATGATCCTATTTATATTAGTATATTTAGACATCAAGGATCGATGATTCCTTATTACGTTTAGCCAAAACTTAAAAAAAAAAAAAACTTATTCAACATGAATTACAAAATCTTTATTTTAAATCAACTAAGAAGTTTGACTCCAATCTAAACTTAACGAGAACTTAATTTTTTTGAAAAAAAGACTCGATGTAACATCTAACCTTCGAACTATGTGACGTAAACTAGGTATCCTAGATGAAACAAGACAACCCAAATCAATTTATGGCAACCTAGATTGCAGACATAAATTTGGTCGACGTAGAATAAGAAACTCTTCGGCCTAAATGATTATGACTTTAGGCCTAGTTAAGATTCTTGGACCACACTTCTGTGTCAAGCACCTCGTGTTGAATAAGGCTCATCCTCGATGTCTTGATCTTGACTTTTTTCTTCGATGATAAATTGACAATATTGAATGTAGTTGTAACATTGTAGTCCTTTGGTAACTCGAAAAAGACTAACCCCACATGATTTAAGTTTGCAAATTAGAAACCTTTTCTTCTGCAAGTAAATCCATACCAAGTGTTCTTCTTTGAATGCTGCAGTCTTTCTAAACTTGTTTGCTTGTGTTTTGTACTTCTCATTTTATTTTTTGATTATTTACCTCACCTGTTCATGAAACTTCTTGATCTCTTTAGATCTTTCATCAACATCCGAACTAAGATCTTTCAATGTTCGCTCCGGTTGGAGTTCAATTGGTAAGTATGGTTTAATAATTCGAAAGAGTAAGCAAAACCCAATTTATATCGATAACAGGAAGGCATGAATATATATTTTTTTCAACAAATAAGGGAACACTTTGAGGCATGCTGTGGTTGAAACGCTCGAACGACTGGCCAATTTGTATAAGAAAATCAGTACTACCGTAGAAATTTGATTGGTTGCTTCTCTTTGCTGAATCTAACTAATTAACTCAAAAAATGAGGATAAAAATAATAATAGGCGCACTTATGCTTCAAATCATTGGTCTTTCACTCTTCGTCTTCGGCTTCTTCCCCGTCAAACCAGCTCTCTCCGGCGTCAGGTCGGTCTCTCTCTCTCTCTCTCTCTCTCTCTGATTTCTTTCTCAATCAACTTCTCTGTGTATACTTGTGTAATTGAATAATTTTGAGTGACAATGTCAGCGGTCCTGAGAGTTTTTACTACGACGCCGACGACGATTCCGTTGCAAATCAGACGCAGACGTCTTTGCCTCCTCCTTATCACCTTAAATCGCTCTATCAGGTCTTTTTTTTAATTGTATATAATTAGATCAAATCCTTAAAATCAGAATTAAAAATTCAGTTTCAATAAATTCTGATGATATTTTTTAATTAGGAGCTATCCGGAATCCCTCCTTTGTTCGACCGACTAATTTTGATGGTAAGTAAACTTTTTTTTTTAATTTTTCCTTCAAATGAATTTAGTTTAGTGATATTATTATTATTATTATCTAGTTGGTTGATAGAGAACAAGTTGAATGATGATGAAGCATGTGATGTGAGTTAGGTTATTGATGGTCTTCCAGCTGAATTTGTGCTCGGTAAGGACGGCCAGCCTCCACCGGAGGATTTTGTCAAAGCCATGCCGTATACTCACTCATTGCTTTCTAATGGAATGGCAATTGGCTACCATGCAAAGGCTGCACCTCCTACTGTTACCATGCCTCGTTTGAAGGTTTTTTTTTTTTTTAATCTGTCTTGTATACTTACTACTTTTATTTACTCTGCTATCATGTCATTATTACTTGCAGGCTATGGTTTCTGGTGCGATAGGGGGATTCTTAGACGTGGCTTTCAATTTTAACACACAAGCTATGTTAGATGATAATCTTCTTGGTTAGTTGTGAGAGAGAATCATTTTCTAATTCCCTACATCTCATGGATGCATCTTCTGCTTGTTCTAACTTTTGGTTTTCAGGTCAATTTCTTAGGATCGGTTGGAAAATGGTGATACTTGGTGATGAAACTTGGCTCAAATTGTTTCCAGGATTATTCATGAGACATGATGGAGTTAGCAGTTTTTATGTAGGTTCAGTCTTTTTTATTTTTTATTATTTGACTTCATATTTTATCTGATCAGCATAGTTTGCTATTCCATTACCTTTTCTTCTCCCTCTATCTCCAGCTCCTCTCTCTCTCTCTCTCTCTCAGAGTCTTAACATGTTATGGTGCTGGTTGACAGCTGTTTTTAGGATGTTCAGATATTCCCTGATCAATATGGTTCATAAGGGCTTGCTCGTGAAAATGATGATGCTCCTTTCTCATATTTTGTAGAAATCTGGAGAGATATCTTTATATTATCTTTGAAATGGTGGCTCATCCACTTAGTGTGTAAATTCTCACTGCTTTAGAGAGAAACTTCAGCCCAAAAAATGAAATGTTGGTTGCTGTTAACCGTGTCAGTTTTTTTTTTGTCAGTCCTTCTAAACGCTTGTCATAGGATTGAGACTCTTTTCTTATAGTGGTGAATATTCAGCTGTGAAGGGTTTTTAGTCCCACTTTCTTCTGCTACTTAAGTTCCTTCTTTATACAGGTTAAAGACACGGTACAGGTAGATCAAAATGTTTCTCGAAATTTGGAGAGTGAGCTTAACAGAGACGATTGGAATCTTCTGGTGAGTTGTTTTATTTCTTGTCAATAATTTAAATTCTTGTTGCTTCAATTTTGGGTGCAGCTGGTTTTAGTTGCCTTCTTTTTCCCCTTCTGTCATCAGAAACACCCTACAATTTAGTTTCTCTTGCACAAGTTTTCCTTTGTTTCCAGAAATTCTATTACATTGTTATTTGGAATGTTTATATTAGCTGATTTATTATATACAACATAGCATTTATGTACTTTTTTGGGTTTGGATTACATCTGCGTTGGTTTTAAAGTTGGGGATTTTAGTGATGCTTTCAGTTTTCCATACTGAGTTGTTTTATTATGTTATGGTTTTCCATACTGGTTGTTCTTTTTAGATTCTTCATTATCTGGGTTTGGATCATGTTGGGCATATTGGGGGACGCAGCAGGTATTGCCTTATTCAGCTGCACTGGTAATTCTGTAAATGTATTTTTCCTCTTATTTCTGGATCTTCACATAAGATTTTTTTTTTTTCCAACTTCAGTATTTTGATGGCTCCAAAACTTAAGGAGATGGATGAAGTGGTGAAAATGATTCATTTGAGCACTATCCAGACTCAAGATAATGGTCGAGGAAAGACACTTCTGGTCTGTGCTACTGCATTTCTACTGTTTATCATTGTTTTCAAGATGTTTGTCTCTGCGATATGTATTTGTCATTTGTTCTGTGTAACATATGTAGGTGGTAGTAAGCGATCATGGCATGACTGAGAATGGGAATCATGGGGGCTCTTCATATGAAGAAACTGACTCATTAGCTCTTTTTGTTGGCCTTAAAAATGATTTCTTTGATCATGCACCGTCCTCTTATAATTCCATTTACCAGGTAATTCAAGTATTACAAGTTCCCTTCCTTTGCACTCTGCCAAAAACTTCTTTCTAATTCATTGGCCTAAATTGCATCTGCATCTGGCATAGATTTGACAATCTAGAGATGCCATTACCTTTAAGCCTTTAAATTTTTCTTATTTATTTTCCTATATGAGCTTTGTATAGCTATAAGTTTTGTTAAAGGCAGTCTTTTTTCCTTCCACCACCACCCATCAAAATATTTTGGCTCTTTGTGAGTTTGTATTGACACAAAATACATGGTTGTCAACAGACTGCTGAAAGAACTAGTTGGCTTGTTACAACAGCTGTTTATTCCTGCTTTCCAAGTTGTTCCTCCCTTCCCATTTGATACTGCAATGTTTTTCTACTTTCATTTCTCTTCAAATATAACCTAGTTATAAGGAATTTTTTCTTCAAAACTCCTTTAACTATAAGGAAATTTGTTGTCTTGGAATTTTTTAGCAAATAAGTTCATATATGGTCCAGGTTGACATTGCTCCAACATTAGCTCTTCTACTTGGTGTGCCGATTCCTAAGAACAATGTTGGTGTTCTGATTTCAGAAGCATTTGATTTATTGACAGGTCAGTTCTCACTCTTTTTCTTTGTATGTGTCATTTGGGTATGCATGCTCGGGTGCCCATTTGAATGGATAAAAAAAATTATTGTAAAATTAAAGAGATCAAAGACATATAGATAAAAATGTACAGATAATGAATCAGAATCAAGTTATATGAATTTTGATACTTACCTTTACAAATGACATGTTAGTAAATAACACTAAAACCATTTTTTTGTGGAAATCACAAGGGATCAAGCATTTATCTGCAAGAATGATAGTTTTGGAGTCTATGAAAATAGTAAGGATGGTTGTATCTTTGTAACAGCTATACAATTTAATAACCTTGTTGTGTGACAGTTAGGACCTAGTAGTGTCTACCCATTGCCAGAGCTGAAAATCTACATATTGCTCTTTAGGGCGTGCCTGCCTGCCCGCCCACCCATGGGGGGTGCAGGTGCCTAGCACTAATGGTTCTCAGCGCAGGGGCTTTGTGAGTGGTGCTTTAGCACCCAGTGTCAATGGTGTTTAGTTGCTGTAGCTGGTGAACTTTTCCAGCCATGCTGAAAATACTTTTCTTTCCATGAATATTGACCCTATGCTTATATATAATTTCTTGAAATTTGACATTTCATGAAGCTATAGTTTATTGTGTGCATATCAATCACCTGATTATCTGCATTCAACTAAAGAGGCTGCCATGGAGAGTAGTGGGTGCTTCTAAAGTGTTGACAATCGACTTACTCTTTTTGAAGGGATCCATAAGACGTTTATAAGAAATCAATACCTGCATGAAACAAAGAATAGAAAGTATACTTTCTTGGCCTAAAGTTTGAACCGACCTTTATTGTCAAGCCTGGTTGAAATTTAATGTGTAAAATTCATTGAAAAGTAAGCTAGTTGCTAAGTACATCCTAAAGTACCATTGGTGCTTGTTTATATAAAAACTTACTATATTTTTTATGGTCTTTTCACAAATTGCATCTAGGATAGAGTTTTCTGCAGTATTCTATTTTGAAACCTTGGGAATGGGATTTAGAACATCAAGTGTGAGTGAAATTTTTGCTGCATTCAATATTTTGGCCATTTTTAGGCTTTCAGCCATCCACTCCTAGTCATTTAGGATGCATTCTCACATGTTATTAAGCCCTCTCTCCCTCTCTATTATGCTTTGTTTCAGCATGGTTTGGGAGATTGTTGGCTTGTCTTTTGTTTCAGATGCTTGGTCTAGTTTATTCTATGTTTCATATATATATAGTTGCTGTAGAAAATAGTATATTGGCGTTTCAATATTTTCAGTCTAACTACATCTTGATCAATGACCTAGCTGCATTGTATATGCTTATTGTGTTAGGGACTGGAACTGCAGGCTAATATATGAAAGCTGAATAGAATAACTGTAATCAAGTGTCACCCAGCCTCACATGTGCATCTCTTTCTGCGCAGATGTACTTTTGTAGTTCCAATCATACGTCAACGTGCTTGGCTCATGCTGGCTTGATTTAGACCATTGAAAAATTTAGGTAATTGTGTCTATAAAAAGATAAAATTTATATGGGCTTGCATTGAAATGAGTGCATAGATTGAAATATTATTCTTTCGTTTATTTTTATGCCATAGAATATGGAAAAAATTTAAATCCTTTGATGCTCATATTGTTTGATGTTTTATTTCATAAATTTCCTTGTGCCTGATTAATCAGATGATAAAAAACTGAGAGCATTGGAATTGAATTCCTGGCAGCTGCTCCGATTAATCCAAGCACAATTACCAGGTTTCTCATGCCGAAACTTGCCAAGTCACTATGGCTTTACAGATGGTTTTGCGTCTACAAGTGTAGAATGCAGTGGTAGTATGGAGAAGATGTTGTGTTGCCTATATATGAAAGCCGTAAATCTTCACAGTTCCTGGAAGTCAAAGTCAGTCTCCAGGTGTGTTTTATACATGGGATACTGTCTGCTATTATTACCATGAAACAAAATTCTATTGGAACTGTTTCTGATACCTCTGTTGCTTTCAGTATAATTCATATTAATACCTGTGTTGCTTTCTTTGGAATTTCTGTAAATAGGTCTAAGAGTAGGGATGATTACAGCTGCACTGTTGCAGCATATCTTCAGTTTCTGAAAACTGCAAGTGAGTGGTTATCACGCAGAGTCACTGATGTATGTATATTCATTGATAGCAGTTACCAATTTGCAAAATATCTTACTCAATAAAGAAATAAACTGTGATTTGCAATTTTTTGTAAAGGGTATAACAATGTGGATTGTTCCTTTTTTCTTTTTGCTATCATTTTTATTTTTTGTTTTTCTATGTTTTTATTTATTTATTTTTTGGCAGAAACCTGTTGGCTTACTTGCTGTTGGGATTGTGGCAATGGCCTTATCATCTCTAATATTATTAGGCCTTATGATTTGCATGAGTACAGACGATCGATCTGGAGAGAACCAACACCTTTGTAACTCAAGCACTGGCATGCACAAGTGGTCTGTAGATGAGATCTTTATATTGGGTGTTGTTTTAATTCTTGTTATGAGTATGGCTTCGAGTTCTATGGTAGAGGAAGAGCAATATATTTGGCATTTTGTTTTATCCACATCATATGTGCTATTACTCCGAAAAGCAGTTCAGCCTCTTGCATCAGAAAGTGCAAAGAGCTTTTTCAAATTGTTGAAGGGACAAACAGAAAGAGGTGATTTTCGCATGCCTTCCATCATTTTGCTTCTTATTTGTGGAAGAATTTTGAGAGGCTGGCACCAAGGTGGTGTAAACTGGACGTATCTTCCAGATATTTCAAAGTGGCTCGAACAGGCTGGGGTTAACCATATGAGATCAATTCAGCTAGCCTCGGGACTGCTAGTGATCAGTTTAAGCATATTTGCTTTGTTTTTATTTGGATATAGGAGAAAAATCATTCAATTAGTTGGATTTTGCTTTCTTATATGTGGATTGCTGGTTTTATGGCATCTTTATCACAACAATGCATTTGTATCAGCCGGTTACGATGCTGCTACACTGGTGCAGATAATATATGCAAGTCTTGGTATTGCTACAATTGGTACTGTTGTAGCTTTACCATGGCTCATACCTCTTCGGTTCCCTGGTACATGTTCAACAAATAATGTGAAATCAAATTTGGTTTCTTTTGACGGGCAAGGCATATTTCCATTGGTGGAATTCAGAGATTGTTCATATTCAATTGGGTTGGCATATATAATATGTTGGTGTCTTCTGCAGCTGTTGCTTCAGCAGCCAATCAATTCAATGCCCATCTTTTTGCTTCTCATGCAGATCTTCTCAACTATGCTCTACTTTTCTTGCACTGGGCTACAGCATATTGAAGTGGAGGTTAGTCCCTATATCATTTCTTCTTATAACTGCCAACTGGACATTCCAGCATGCAAGAATCAGTTGAGTATCACTAATATATATCACATAGTTTAGTCAAACGTCTCGAGAACCAGATAAGTGATGCTTTTTATTAACCTGAAGCTCAGATATGAATTTCATCATTATTTAATCTTAACACAGAAAAGAAGTGAGAAATTTTTAACTTGCAATTGGGTGATCCACATTTCAATTTAGCAATTTAAAATACTATGCAGTTTAAATCTCCATTTGTGGAGAATCTTCCACTAAAAGTTCACTAGTATTAGCTGATATGCAATTAATTTTAGTGGGAACTAGATCTTTCCACTTCGAAGAAACTGATAGCTGCTAACAATCGTGTGAATAGAAGGGAGCTGTTTCTTGTCTAAATTACCTTCAGATCTTCACCTTGACTGATCTGTCAGTTAATAATTAAGTTCTTTCCTAGGTTTACCTTCTGTTCTTTTCTCTGAATCTATGACCAAGACTTAATCCATTCCATTCTTTTTTTCATTATATCCAAGAGCTGTGCCTGTTCTCGCGAACATGTTAAATACATCAAAGAATGCATATTCATTTCTAGGAAATTTAGATTTGAAGAGAGAAGGCCTTGAGTCATAAACGATCAATTTCTGCATATCTGTGTTAATCCTTTATTGTCTTACTCTATATATTCATTTTTTAGAGTTTTCATTGAAACAAAGATCACAGAAATGAGAAACAGGTTGCAGCTATAACTTAACGAAATGCAAATATACAATTACGAGCACCTGTCTTTGATATCTTAATCTGGACAGGTGAAGGAAGGTTTCCGTTCTCAAATAAAGTCGAAGGATTTTATCCATAGTGTGTTTCATATAATACTCGCAACTTGTTGACATGTATGTGCTTTTGATAATTTTGTGCCAATGGAACCAGTAATTTCATTTCCTTATAGGCGAACTGCATTTTCAAGTACTAATGTTGGGCATCCATTTTTTGTCCTCTTAGGTTGCTTTGTTGTACTATATGGGAATGGCTGGCCATTTTGCTCTCGGGAACAGTAATACTCTAGCCACTATAGATGTTGCTGGAGCTTATTTTGTACGTTCTCTTACCTTGCTAGTGTAGTTGATATATAGTCTCTCTTTTTCAATATATAGTTTAATACACAGATGTTGCTCTCTACTATATTTTAGATTCATGGGGCCACGTCCAGTGTAATCTCAAACATTGTTTTACTCATTGTCAGGGCCTGTCAAGTCACTCAACGTTACTTTCTGGCATTTTGATGTTCATCATTACCTACGCCTCCCCAATGTTATTTCTTCTTAGCATGCTGATGTACATCTCAGCGAAGTGCACAAGCTATCTTGCAAATCTTCAGAATGTAGATTTGGGGCATCTTGCGAAGATGATGCTTGGCTTTTCTTGTCTGGTTCCATTGGGCTTGAATTCAATTCTGCTGACTTCATACACTATTGTATTGCTGTTAATGAGGAACCATTTGTTTGTTTGGAGTGTCTTCTCTCCGAAGTAAGTCTCACTCTCAATAGCTTGCAAAATGTGAAAATACATCGAGGTCCCCTCATTTAATAGCATCTGAACTGGGCTGGCACAATTTACTGAATTTTCTCTAGCTTTAGCGACTTGCTTAACAAATTATAATCCTAGAATGATTTCCTTGGAAGACGAATGATTTGTGGTTTAAGAGATTGCTAGAATGCAATCTATAATGCTATATGTTGTTTATTGTAGACTAATGGTGTGTTTCATTACAGGTACTTGTATGCTTGTGCCACAACCGTTTGCATCTATACAGGGGTCTTTGTAGTGGCTGCCACTGAGATTTATACATATTGGGTCCTGGCACTGCGTAGAAAGAGGCAGATCTCAAAACGATAAGAGCTTTTGCACGCCGAGATGGCCGGCGGTCATCATTTTTCCGACCATCACTCTAGCCATTTATGCATCTCTTTTCAATATTCACTAATCAGTTCTCTATCGTCCACTTACTTTTTTTTTCTTTGCTAGTATGGGCTACAGAGTTACCATCTCTGGAACAGTTTTTTCAGCGTCCACTCCTTAACATGGGCTTTTAAATCAGGTGCGTCTTAGCAAATCAGACCAGCCTTCTTCCAGCCCAATTGTGTCTTCGCATAGGTTTTCTGAATCAAAGTTTTTGTTTTTCTTTGATTCTTGAATCAGAGTCAGTATTGTCCAACAAAATGATTGTAGTTTTCTACGTCAACTGTTCTTGTAGCACTGCCAAATTTCTTCTTTTTTTCCAGTAAAAGATAAGCAGCTAGTATCTTTGCGCAACTGTTGAAGAAGTAGCAATTTACATGTCTCAACTTGCTCTTTAGCATCCATTTTCTCGTCCTCAAGCATTATCATGTTTGATACCCTCATTTGTGAAACTAAATAAACGGAAATTTGCTCCCTACAACCCATCCAAGCTCGGAACTTTAACCATCACTGCGAAAGGAATAAAAAAGAAGGAATTTATTTGCTACTAATGGGAGTATTTTCTTAGGGCTAGATGGAAAAAGCAGAAATCTAATTGATCTATATTTGGTTATGAGTAGATTTTTATCCAGCTGTAACTGTACGTCTACTTATCATCACTACCGTCTATTTTTCAATCTACGGTCCAGATTTTTACAGTATAAAAAAATTACATCACTGCCTTAATAGTTACTGGTTACTCCCTGCCGTCCTGCGCTGTCCCTTAAAATTCCCTTCCCAAAGAGAACCCTTCTCTTTCTATTTCTACAGATTAAAGGAAAGAAAGCCAAACCAAGGGCAAAAAAAAAAAAAAAAAAAGGGATGGATTTTGAGGGGAAGAGGAGGAGGCAAGAGAGTTTCTGGACAGTGTGTCCGTACTGTTACTACATGTATGAGTACGAGGGTTTGTACGAGGATTGTTGTTTGAGGTGTCAAAATCAAAACTGCAATAGGGCTTTTCATGGGGTTTCCATGCCTCAACCCTCCGCCGACATGTTGGTCCAAGGAAAAGACCAGTACTACTTTTTCTCTCCTACCACCATGCATATGGGAATGGGGCCCAACCCTACTACCAAAGAAGACGATCATCAGGCTGCTACTCATGTTCATAATGCTGTGGTGGAAATTTCCTCTGATGATGATGATGATGATGCTAGTTTTAGTACCGTGGAAGAAGAGAAGGGAAAGAAGAACAAAAATGGGGACAAGGATATTATTGATGATGATGTGAGCTCAAAAAATTAAAGAAGAGATCAACAATGGGATTATGAGGAGATGCAATGTCAATTGTGTGGCAAGGAACACTAAGAAGGTGACTATTAGGCTTTTGGGAGGAGGAAAACCAAGTGGTGCAACTGGTATCAATATTGGGAGGAGGACCATGAGGATGGTTCTTCTTCTTCTTCTTCTTCTTCATCTTCAGATGGCTTGGAGTTTCTTTCTGATGGGGATGATGTTTATTTAGGTTTCAAGCATGACAGAGGACCAAAAGCTTGTTAATTTTGGTTCTAAAAACCAAACTCTAAAGAAAAATGGTGCTACTCTTTTTGGCTTGTTATGCATGCAGTCGTTGGTTCAACAGTAGATTAGATGATGATGGTGCAGCAAGGATTTTAGGTAGATAGATTATTATTATTATTATTATTATTTATGAATTGGGCATGAAAAAGGGAAGTGAAAAGCTATGAAATACTTGTTTTCTGTTTTGGTTTTGATAAATATGCTTTACAAGTTTTTAGTCTATCAATAAGCAAATCGATTTCAGTTTCGAATTGTAAAATCATATTTATTAAAAGAAATTAAATTATTATTTTCATTTCGAATATGATTAGTTTTATTTTTTACTATAGAATAAGATACTCGGAGGAAAAAAAATTATATTAGTAATTCTGTCAACTAAACAAATGTATTTCCATTTAAGACAGCTGATTATAATTTTTTAAAATTAAAATTTATCCCAATCAATCAACTACTTTTTTTATGATTCATGAATTATCAATATTTTTTTTCATTCTTACTAAATATCGTTATCTATTCTACCTTTCATATTGAATAGGGTTTTTTTTTTTTTTCAATTTAGACAAACTATACTCAATTGATTAAAATTAAAAATGTAAGGGTTTTTTTTTTTTTTTTTTTTTTTTTTTTTAATGATTTGGTGAAAACACAAGATGCAAATAAAAGGCTTAGCCAAAAAATTTCACTTGAGTTTCTTTGAAAGTCATATCCCAAAAGTCCAAAATTTTTGTGTCAATTATTCATTTTTACCTTTATGTTTTTAATTTGATAAATTAATCCTATGTTTTTGAAATTCATTCAATTAATCCTTGTGGTTTCTAAAAGTTTGTCAAATTAACCTAATAGCTGACCTATAGGCTCAATTCTACCATGCATATACAGATATGATATTATTTCATATTTTTATTTATGAGATGACGATTTATATTCATATAGAGACTATTTCATCAAATAAATTATTTATAAAAAATTAAATTTAAAACAATTTATCTAGTGATATAAGCTTTATATGAATACAAAAAATCATCTCATAATGCAAAATATTTAGTTATCAAATAATCAGCAAGCATAGTTAACATGAAGATTTCATAAAAGTTAGCTATTTGATCAATTGAATGAGCTTCGATCATGAAGTTAATTGAACAAATTCAAAAAAAAAAAAAAAAAAAGACACCCAAGGATTAACTGACGAAATTAAAAATAAATGAATAATTGATGCTAAAATAAAAGTAAATTTAAGGGTTTTGCCCAAATCATATTGAATTAAAGTATTTTTTTCTTTGATAATTAAAATTCTTTTAATAAACCTCTGTAACTTTCTCCTCATCTTTGTTGGGATTTGAGAGTTGTATCCAACTTCCATCCAAACATGGCATTAACACCCATACTCTTGTTAAGGTAACTGGATTACATTTTTTTACTTTTTACTGGGATGGGAATCGAATTTGTTTAAGTTTGAAGTTTAAACTTCAAAACTCGTATCAGCACACCCTTTGTACAGTCAATTTTATTAAAGGACTAACTTTCAGAGTCATCAAAACCATAAGGACTAAAATATAATTTACAAAAAAAGGGCATCTGATTACAAGATCTTCGGAGTTAAATTAGAATAAATTGAGCAACGATTTTCCGATTGTGTTAATTATTAGGTTTGATACCTTTTTTCATTGCAGAGGTCATGCACATCTCATCTTATAGAATTGCTTTAAAATGCAATAACCAAGAATCATTTCATACATATTCGCATTTTACAAATTTTCCTATATAAACCTACCTGTGTTTTGATCATTTTTCTTTTTTACACTAGAATGGATACCATTCTTCTCAACTTGTCTTAGCAAGGAATAACTTCAACAGAAGGCAAACTTGTCATGGCCTTGCAACAGGTAGCTCTCTTTTTTCTGTGCTTGTTTGCAACATGTAATTGATTTTCTTCCTCTTCTTAAGAAGATAACTTTCTTTGCATAGCAGATATATGACATGCAACATCTTTCAAGTTATAATACTACAGAAACATGTTCAAATCAAGATGATTTTCGGCAAGCATTACTAAACTCCATCAATGAAACAGCATATAACAAGTCACTGGCCAAACCATTAATATCAGAGGACGACTCTAAACTAATCGCTGCCAAGAAACACAGCATGGCTGAGAGTAATCGCCGGAGTCGAATCAATAGCCAGTTTGCTGCCCTTCGCACCATTCTCCCCAACTTGATAAAAGTATGCAACACGTATCACTGCAATTCAAATATTCACACACACGCAAACACACGCATACACGCCCTCCAAGACAAATATATATGCTAGTGCAACAATATTCCAATTGTGCTTGCTATAAACAGGTGAACAAAGCATCAGTGCTTGAAGAGACAATCCGGTGTGTGAAAGAGCTGACAAATACAGTGTCGGAACTGAAATCAAGATATGGTGGTGGTAGATTGGAATGTGTATTTCCTGGTGGGGCAGACAAGTTAAGAATTGATTCCTGTGAGGGGAGAGGCCAGGAGGTCGTGAAAGTAGCATTCAGCTGTGATGATAAAAGGAAACTAATGTCTGATGTTGCAAGGGCAGTGAGGTCAGTGAAAGGGAAGGTAGTGAGGGCAGAGATGGTGACGATGGGCGGAAGGACCGAGTGTGTTTTGTGGGTACAAGGAATAAATGGCAATGATGAGTTAAAGATGCTAAGGAGGGTTCTAAATGCTGCCACTGAGAAGTCAAATATGTGGAGGACATGTAACAGGGCAAAGCTTACTATGTGATAATTGTGGTGTAAATTTGCATGGAGGCTGTTATTTATGTGAATTTTATTTATAAATAGTAGATAGACGGCAGGGTGCAAGCATGTTATTCTTAAATTGTAAACTTAGAATAGAGAACTAGTTAGTGTATATGTTAGGCTTCACAAGGTTTTACTTTTATATTTTACACTGAACAACAAGAATCTGAAAGAAAGTCTGCTGCTTAATTCTGAAGAGATCTTCCATCCCTCGTATCAGCTGTCTACCAAAATATATTTTTTCAAGCACAAGAAATTTCATTTAGCTTTTTAGTTTCTTAATTCCACTAGACTGCAAGTGTGTATGTCTAAAAAGCATTAAATAAAAACTCAAAAGAGAATATAATAGGGTCAATAGTGAGATGGATTTTCTCACCAACTCAAATGTTAAAGGATAGCTTTTAAAAATATATTTCTCCCTGTACATTACTTGTGTCTAAGCCTATCCCTCCAATAGACAAATCTAGTTGATGAGGACTAAAGGTGAATTAGTCAGTTCTTCTCCATTATATGCTGCTTTCCTTCCACACAGTTCTCAAACAAAAATCCCAATACTGAAAAAGGAGCTGGCTTTTGTTGTCAAAATAATGGCTTCTTTTAAACATTGTTTTTACTTGTGGAGTCTTCTTCTTCTTTTCTTTTCCTGTAATTGCGAATTGTCTTTAATGAACTATTACCATTTTCCACAGATCAATGTGACCCTGGCAGCTAGATAGGTTATTTGGACACACTAGCAACTTCACCACCACCATGACTGCTGGAACTAGCTAGTTCCAACTCCGCCAAACGCAACATTGCCTTCGCTGCCAACAAAGCTGAAGACCATCTCTATTGCCACCATTGCTGTCAACTGCCTTCCACACACTGCCAACTCAACCAACTATGCTTTAATGCCTCCATTTGCAAGCACCAAAATCCCATCTTTGCCAAATATTCCTTTACTGCCCACAGTGCCCACCATCCCAGAGGTGACACTATCACTTCCATCAACTCCACTCCCCATCCCTAAGCTTCCAATTAATCCAACAACTATGTCTGCAACCTCTCCCGACCTCCATCAAATTACTTCAGATGCTACATTTCCTACTGCTGTGCCTCAAAGCTTATAACTACTAGATGGCTCAAGCATCTAACCAACATGCCATGCTGAGACATTGGAGGGCTTACTTTTATTTTCTACTCAGAGATTTGAGTATGCTTTGTCCTCCATTTTTCACTCTTTGTAAATTCAGTTTCATTCTTTAGTGGTGACAGATAAGAGTAGGTATTATTATTCTTGAGATACTATACTTCCGCTGGAAGTATTTGGATGAATATGGTTTCTTATGAATTACCATACACATGATATTATGATGATTAAACCTATGGCACTAAGTGTTTTTTTTTTTTTTTTTTGAAAAATCACATTTTATGGCTTCACATTTGAATACCTTAAAAGATGCTAGTACATAAATGACAGAAAAAAAAAAAAAAAAAAAAACAGATTAAGAATCTTGCATGTATCTTAATTCCTAAGAAATTTATGAAAAAATAAAATTTATTCATTTAAAGAATAGGAATCAAGCAGGACACGTGTGAGTATTCACTCGGTGATTGTTTCCACACCTAGTGTGAGTATTCACTCAGCATTTCTAATGGTATTGTTAGAGTGCATGATACTGAAAATATTGCATCAGTTGGCCTCTGTATGATAGGGCAAGAGACTATAGCCAGCATTAGTATGACATTAAAAACAATTGCACGCAATATAATATGTTCGCAGAATCCAAAATGAGCATTAAGCAATCACAATAAAGCCTAATCTCCACACAGGCTTCAATTTCTATCGAAGACAAGTCATTTTTAGTTCATAATAAGAAGGCACAGATTTATTCAATAGTAAAAGAACAACAGGGCAATCATATGCTTGTCAGCGGGCACATGAGATAATGAATAGTGTAGTTATATTTAACTTCAAAGATGTGTAAATATCCTTCAGTATCATGTCAACTAACAACCAACTTCTTAGCATAACTCAATCTTTATCTTGTATTGACGCCAGGAACCCATTACTGGAATTATAAGAACCCTACAAGAATTGCAGGAGTGAAGATTTATCCTCTACATAATGAAAGACTACACATACCAGTGATGAAACCATTTTCTTCAAGATGAGTTGGCATACGACATTGTCATAAGCATGTATGAATAGCATCAAAATCTGTATCACCGTTTATAAAACACTAGTTGCCGGCTACAATTTGCTTTGACAGTATCCTCCAATTTCTCAACCTGGTCAAAATCAACTTTGAAAGAAACCATGGCAAAGCCATCTTTACCAGTCTCATAATCCTGCTTGATGTCCTCAACTTGAAAATGTTGTAGCTGTGACAACCAAGTACAAGGTCAATATACAAGCGAGCATTCCCATTTCGGTCAATAGAATAAATATTCAGGCATACCAAGAAAATCTGGCACTAGGGAAAAATACAGTGAATCCTAATTCATGAAAAAAGTTCACGGATGAAACAAACCACTATAGCATCCATACTAACTCTCATCATCTCTTTTATTTCTTTTGATGTATTGTGATGGTGATGCACCAAATTAAAGAAATCAAGAATAAAAAAAATGCATAACCTACCGACCTGATGTTGCACGAGTCCTAAGAGATCAAAGGGAACCTCCACTGCCATAGGGACCTGAAGAAATTAAGAAATGGTGATTGGTATTGAAAATTAAAGTGGGAAAGTAAAGAAATGCAGGAAAGAAACCTTAGATTTGACAAGGCAAGGAGGGGCATTCCTCAAGCATTCAGATGCAACCCCTCCATAAGCCCTAACCAGCCCACCAGTTCCTAGTTTGATACCTCCAAAATAGCTGAAGTTATGAATAGTATTAAGAAAAACTGGAGATTGTAATAACTTAAGGGAAAGAAAAAGAGAAAAGAAAGGGATGATGCTATGTTATGGTACCGGATGACAACGACCATTACTCTATCGATATGAGAAGAAAGAATAGCAGATTGAATAGGTTTGCCAGCAGTACCAGATGGTTCACCATCATCATTGCAACGGGAGTGCTGTCCTACCTTAAAAGCCCAGCAATTATGAGTGGCACGTGGATCTCTCACCTCAGAGAGGAAGGAGAAGGCCGATTCTTCATTAGAGATGGGAGCAGCTATGGCTATGAATTTGCTCTTTTTTATTTCTTTTTCCAAACTCACTCTCTCTGTCATGCTCCTGTACTCACCACTATTACTGCTGCTACTAGCGGTGGCGGTGGCGGTGGCGGTGGCGGTGGTTACCATATTCTTGATACTGGTGGAGATTGCTAAAGAGGCGGATAAACCATTCTTAGTCTTTAGAATCAGGTGATATTGATAGGAACTTGGGACTCTTGTTATCACCCCTGACATTGGAGGGTTGAGGCTTAGTTTTGTTTCATGATTACTTTTGAGATGAGAATCTGATCTAAAGACTCAATTTTTATGGCCACTACAGTAGAAAAGCCCAACATTTATTTACTATTATTTTGAACCATGAAGTGGGCTCAAGGCTTTATATATATATATATATATATGAAACTCTAATAGACTATATTTAGTTCTTTTTCTTTAGATAATCATAACTTAATTCCTTGAAAAAAAAAAAAAAACCTTCTCCCTCAATAGAATTCTTTCTTAATAAGTTTAATTCTTCAAATAACGGGGAAGTAGATCACTGGTGATTAAGCATCAATGAACAAATTTTATAATACACCGAGAGTAACTAGTGACATATACGATAGTTACTTCGTAGACCTACTTTGAGGAGAGAGATAAATATACAAAAAGAGAGAGAGAGAGAACAGGAGAGAGAAAATAAAAAAATTTAAGCGAACATGAAAATTTTCTTATCACTTTTGATAAATATAGATGTAATTTCTCTCTTTTTTATGTGTCTATCTCTCTCTCGAAGTAGACCCATAGAATAACTACATCGTACATGCCACTAGTTACTCACGGTGTATTATAAAATTTCTCAGCATCAATGTATAAATGAGGTTTAGAATATGATTTTTATAACCAATATTGGAATATATATATATGTATATAACCAAGATTGTGTATATATATGTATATGAATTTAGCTAGAAACACACCAAGATAAAACTAGATAGGAAAATCGTGAGCCAGATTGGAATATTTTATTATTAATTATCAATTATATTTTTGACAATTGAATACATTTTACCATCATCCCCTTCGATAGAATGCATTTAATTTTAACAAGTTCAGTCTATATATAACTATTTATGACAGGAAGAATTGATCAGGAGACTTGTAAGCCAGATGGAATCACTTGTAACTTTCTCGTCATTATCGTTTCTATGCCAAGTCCACAGTGCATGGGTTGCATTCATAACCTCAAATTGTCCATGTCCAAAGCTTGCCTCTCTGAAAACCGATATTTCTGGCTTTGGATCAATATAACTGCAAAGAAAAGAATGCCAAATGTAGCAATTGACAAGAATATATACAAAACATTTAGCTAGCGAACAATGATAGGTTCACACTGTGATGTGAAAATATGGCTGGTTTGATATCATTTGCCTGTTTTCTGTTTTTATTTTCAAATTTTTTGAAACATAAAAATTGTTTTGGGTTTTCTGAACATATTTCTTAATTGGGTTTTGAATATAATATTTCAGTGATGGAGAGTGAAAATCTTCTCTCTTTCTCTCTTTTCTTTTCTTTTTTTCCAACTTAGAACGGCAAATGATGAAAGCATGAGACTTACTCGTTTGCAAGGCCCTCCCTGTTCCCACCATCCCCAATGTTGATGTACACAGGTCCACAATTGTTAGGTTTGTCTTGGTAAACACGAGTCTGCAAGATATACGTATATATAAGCAACGAGGCATGAAACAATGATCCAAAATGTGCTCATAAAAGAGAAGCAATCACTTGGTTAATCTTTCCTTTCGTTTTACGACTAGATGTTTCTTCGGATTAGCTTTTGTATACCGAGACTAAATCTACCTCATTGATCCGAAACTGACTTGATTAACGAATTGAATGCATGAAGAAGTAAAAAATATGTAGGAAAATGGAAGGATAAATATAAAGAAGGGCTTACAAAGCGCTCGTAAGCATGCACATGTCCTGCGAAAACCACATCTACACGAGCTTGATAAATTAGGTCTTCCATGTACTTCTTCATGTCAACCGATTCAGCTTCACCTTGATGAGCAGTGTTGGAATTGTACCAAGGTGAATGGATTATCGCCACCAACCATGGAGTTTTTGCTCTGTCAACCTTACCTAAATCTGCTTGCAGCCATTTGTATTGCTCTGAATTGGGATCAAAATCTGCGTAAGATCCCAACATGATAACATGGACACCAGCAACACTGAAGGAGTAGAATAGGTTGGAAGTTGACCCGCTTTCCTCAAATGGCATGTGCCATCTAGCATTATAAGCTGTGAAGGACCGGCCATGGAGAAGAGGGATTTTTTCTTTCTCGTGATTCCCTTGTGTAACCATCCACGGGCGTTGGCTTGCCAGCGGCTGGACCAGGCGGCCGAATGAGTCCCATAGAGGTTGATAGAAATCGGCATATGATAAGTCCCCCGGCAGAAGTAACATATCATGATCCAATTTGGATATGTGTTCCAACGTTGATTTCGTCCAACCAGTTTGTCCAAGATCACCTGCATCACATGTTAATACATGCAAGAATGTGGTATTAATTCAAGATATTTTGCTTAACATCTGAAAGCTCAACATGCTTCCAGTTATACAATGGATGTTGTCACTACCAAAAGAAAATTTGGAGGAAAAAGATGCCTACAACAGGTATTAAGTTTTTTAGCGGCATTTTTTATCCTGTCACTAATGAGTTAAAATTTTCAAAATATGACCTTTCTCCCTCCAAGGATAAAAAAATTAACAATGGTTCTATAAAACCGTCATTAATTTCCACACTTTGCGATGGTTTTTATCACCAAAAAAAAGTCACAAATATTCTCTCTCAAATTCCTTTGGGATATCAGAGGATTTAGCGACGATTTTTGCTAACCTTCGCCAATTTTTCTCAAAAACAAGAAATTTATCAACGATTTTTTTAAACCATTGCTAAAATCAATACATTATTTTGGAATTATTGACAGTTTAATTAAACCTTCATTAATTTCAAATTAATTACTTCGTTAACGATCGATTCACTTAAACCATCGTTAAATTCAATCTTTTTGACCGAATTAATGACGGTTTAAAAAATTATCGCTAAATGTCTTTTTCGAAAACAAATTGACTATAATTATATGAAAACCGTCATAAAAAATTGTTTTTTGCAACTGGTTTTTAGTCCGTCGCAAAAATACCCTTGCTAATTTCAGTTTTTCCAACGGTGTGTATTGTCCTCTTCCATCCCTTCTAAAATTGGAACATGAAACCTCCTAGTGTGAAAATCAAGTGATAGCTAGACGTGCATTAAGTAGGTACCTGAAACGGCGAACTTGATTGGGAGCTTAGCTGGTGTGGTTTTGAAACTGAATTCTTGTGCTGAATTAGAGCTGCAACGATAGTAGTACACTGTGTTTGGGGTCAATGGACCAATGACTACATCGTGAATTTGGCCGGAGTTGTATGTGAGATAACGATACGAATAGGTAGTCCCATTTGCAGAATTAGTGTATGCTTTAGGAGATGTGCCATAATCTACAATTGCTGGAGTTGGGCTGTCTGTTATCCATGATATTCTCATCCTGTCGCTACCAACCATAGATATATGCACCTGTCCCCAGAAATAAGTTGTCACAAACTTCTTCTTCTTCTTCTTCTTTTAAATATGGCAATAGGTCATTGAAAGATTTGTCATTAATTCAATATTGCTTGGAATTCAAGTCCCAGGAGAAAATCACATAGATATATGCACCTGTTCATTGTCATTCTCATTTAGCATTTGATCAGTTAATTTTTATCATGTCAACAAAAGTTTCCGTAACTTGCAGCAATTTTATGGCAGTGAATTAAAGTTTCGGTCAATTTTCTCACGCATGCTATATATATGTAAAAATTCTTAAATTTTTAGTCACAACATTTCGTAAAATTTCAACAAAAATATGTTGTTTGAGCTCATTAAATAAATTTAATCTGAAATTATAGACCAACACTTTCTACTCTAAGTATTTATAGTTGGATTTTTTTTTTCATAATAACAGGCACTTTGCTTTCTTTTTTTTTCTTTGGATTTGGTGCTTAAACAAGTCAATTCCCCATTTTATCATATTTTGAATGGAAAAATCCCCAAAAATCACCCTTGCATGTGTTAGCACTAATTCAGCAAAAATTAGACAATTCCATCTCATTGGAAAAAATTGCATTTTATCGTAAGATGACTAAAACTTAAAATTTCTAAAATGTTTAAGGAAAAAATTATTTTTCTTCAAAAAATTAAAAAAATTTCAAAATTGTTTAACGTACCAAAAAAAAAAATTTAAAATATTTCAAAAATTTAAGAAATAAATAATATTCTGACAATACACAAAAAATAAAATTTTTCAAAATGTTGAATAAAGTAATTTTTGTTGAAAAATTTTTTTTTTTGAAAGGAATAAAACAAATTTGAAACTTCTTAATTATCAAATTAATTTTTTGAAAATACTGAAGTAATAAATAAAATTAACTTCTTTTTATAAAAAAATATTTAAAAAATGTTAAAAAATAAAATATTGGAAAATTTTATCGGGTATTAGATTTTTGTAACTATTTCTAAAGAAATGTATATGAAATTATATATCAGATGTTATTGAAAAAAAAGATTTTCAACTCGGATAAATAATTAACCTTTGCAGGTTGCCCCTAGCTTTTTAGAAGAAAAAAAAACATTTTTCCTCAAATAATAGATTTTAATTTTTTTTATTAAATGATGTGTACATTTTCAGATTTTTTTTCTCAACTATTATTTTTATAATTAAGGAAAGATTTCAAAATTAATATCATATGTAGTTAATTCATTTTGTTTTTTTTTAAAAAAAAAAAGGAAAGAAAAAAAGAAAGAAAGAAAGAGTATTAGGATTCTCTCATGTTGTGTAGAACAAGATATACAAATCATGTTTCTTCAATTTAGATATTTGGAAATTAATAGTAGGTGTTTATAAAAGAAAAATAAAAGTACTAGTAGTAGATGGCTAAGATGCAAGTAGCTAATTAATATTTAATATTGTATTTTTGGCTATGTTAATTTTTGCAATAAGATTTTTTTCTTCATCCATGTAAATCTTCACAATTATTAAATAAACTAACTATAAAATAACCAAATTGTATATAAGAAGAATATTATTTTATTTGATAACACCATTCCTATCTAAGATTTCTTTTTCCTATTAACAATATATATACATACATGCAATGAAAACTTTTTGGATCCTTCAAAGGATTCAGGTTAACAAGCTTAAACTAATCTCTCAAACTAATCTCTCGTTATTCTTTGTGACATATAAGATAGGAATAATTATCCAAAGACTTTTTTACATGTATAAAACACTTGAATTCAAAACTATTTACTTAAAAGACTATATAAAGTCTTTTTCATACAAAGCTTTTTAGATAAAATTTTTATTTTATTAAGGATAGATTTCTTTATTTTCTCCCTTTGATTTTGATCCCTTGATAAGTATTATATAACCATTTTTTTTCCTTCTTCATTGGGGGGAGGGAGGGTTGGGGCTAAGGATTTGCTTCCTTTCCTTCTTTGCTTATTTTCTCTCTCCCTTTTTAGATTTTCTCTTTCCCTTTTTAGATTTTCTGTCATAACGTTAAAAATACATAAAGCAAGTATCAATAGAAAATGGCTCGATCGATTTTAGTGATTTATTAAGTAAATATATTTAGCTACTTTAAAACTTAGCTTTTTTTTTAAAAAAAAAAAAAAAAAAAGCTTTTAAGGCTTATATTAGAAGAGCATGATGTATCATATTATAGAGAATATAAAAGGATACCAATCTACAAAGATGATATGTTCAATGAATGTTGAATGCATGTAAATGTATTAATTAATAAATACTGAAGCTAGTTTTGTTGGGTTATTACCTGTTGTGGAGTTGTGGAGTCGTCATCTTCAGACAATTGCACATATATGTTTCTCTGAGGTGGTGGCCGATCATAGGAAAGAACACAACCGAAGAGTCCTGCAAAACCTAATACAAACATGGACACGAGAACCAGCCCTTCCTTCCCCATATTGCCTGTAACCAATTAATTGAAACAATATTCAAAGAAAATTTGATGAAGATGACGATGATGAGAAAGAGGAGAAGGAGCTCTCTGTAGTCTCCTGTACTATTTGCTAAATTATTCTGGTTGTCTGCTTATATATATGTGTGTATACATATCCTATGATATTGAGGAGTCTTTACATCGTACCTGGACGAAAAGGAGCCTTACTGTTGCTTCGTATGGGGTACTGAGTTCTTCCTAATTAATAAATTCTTGGACATATATGTTTCTTGTGGACTAGATTGCTCTGACACGTCCAATAAGGAAATAAATTTGAGAAATTTTCATTCAATTTAATCTGAAGAGTACAATTTATTAAATTGTAGATATTGTAAATTTTGGTAGTTAATTAAAATTTTTTTTGTCTTTTTCATTGATTATAAGAAACATTGCATTTTTTATTTGTTTGATGAAGAGAGTTAATTCATTATTTTTATTTTGGATGGAAACTTGCAAGGATTCGTCACGGTTTAGGTGATTTTTGACTATTTGTTTGTTTTCATATTTGGTTTTGCATTGCGGCCACTGTTACGTTTCGTATATGACAACTTTTATTGAGTTTTGTGCTCTGCTCTGATCCAGTTCTCATTTGCTATTAAAAAAAAAAAAAAAATCCTTTTAAATGTATGTTGTGTCAAAAATTAGGCCTAATCTTTGATAATTTGCACGGTAGGTGCAGGTTCTATTTTTTTTTTTTTTTTTTTGAGATTTTGGAGCTTAATGAGATTATTCTTCATATAAAGAAAGAATTACGAACTCATAAAGAAAACAAAATCAACCACAAGATAGCAACCTGCTAGTAAGAAAATATTGATTTGTAAGCTAAGTTTAATGTTCGATTCTTATAATCAACACTTTTGATAATTTATTCTCAAAATATCTAAAGCCGTGAATTGAGAAGTGCCCTTTAGTCACATCTGAATAGGGATTAGGTCTTGAAGTGCACAAAAATTGATTGAAAAACACCCTTACTATTGAACCAAAAAAAAAAGAAAAGAAATTGGAGCACTCTTATCATTTCTAGAATATTATGTATTGTGTTCTTTTTTTTTCTAAGCATTTAGAAAATAATTAAATGATTCAGATTTTATTAATTAATATTCCGAGTTAATACCCTCACTTGTCCTTATAAAATAGGTCAATTTTTCACTATGTCCTTGAAAAAAAACCTCCAATCTATCCTTATTATTTGAGCTAGTTTTTTTATCTATCTTTTTGGTCAAAATTTTCGACCAATTTTTAAAAATAAATTTTTATATTAGTATATATAAAAATCACATATCATGTGCAAACTAAATAACAAATATAATTTTATCAAATAATATATCATGTGCAAACTAAATGCTTAATTTGGCAAAAAATTTGAACTAAAATGATAGATTAGAAACTAACTCAAATAATAAGGATAGATTGAAAGTATTTTTTTTTATGGATAGATTAAGAAATTGACCTATTTTACAAGAATATGTGAGAATATTAACCATAACATTCCTTATAAATCACTAAAATGTTATTTGGTAACCGAAGCGAATAGCTATAAACGAGAATGACGAGTTAGGGATCAAAATGAAAATCTAAATTCATTTAATGTTTTAGGTATTTTAATATTGAGAATCAGAATGAAACAGTATAATAACAATTACTGTGTTTGACTCAAACAAATAAAATAATGATAATATATTTATCACTATATCCTTCACAAGTCATAATAAATTTTGTCACAAATACAATTAAAATATAAAAAATAAAGTTATATGAAGGTTTTTCTTTTATTATATAAAATGTTCGACAAAGGTTTTGAAGCTGAAAATTTTTGTCGTTTCGATCAAATTATAGGATTTATATCCTTTCCACAATATATGTGAACAACAAATTCTCATCAGCAGAAATGAATCAAGACAGAAAGGCTAGAATTAAAGGCAGATAGGAAGAAAGATGGAACCAAAAAATTACTCTAGTAAATGGTTGATCCTGATCACTTCAGTTGAACACTGAAAACATGTTAAATGCAAGATTGATTGCCCATGCCAAACCGAAATTTCATATGAAAAAAATTACAGTACTCAGACATGAATAGCGAAGCATGTTAAAGCTTTGAATATTTTGGTGTCCTTTATAATATTTAAAGAAATTTATCAAAAACATAAATATTATATAAAATTATGAAATAAATAATTAATTTCATCTGTTAATTTTTTTTTTTTTGCTCTCTCAAATTCTGAAAAAACAAAATCCTAAAATGTCCACTTTTTTCTCTACTTTTTGCTTTTGTTCTTATGTAATGAAAAAAATTTCATAATTTTTTTTTAGATTTAGATTTGAAATAAATTTTCATAATAAATTTCTAAATTTTTTTTAAAAATAATTGCTTATGTTCTTTCTTATACATAAAAAAATTTCTTTTTTTTATTTGAATTTGAGAGAAAGCATAAAAAAAGAAAAATAAGAGATAAAATTAATTATTTATTTCTATACATAAATGTATAGAAAAAAAAAAGGAGCATTTTGAATTTTTTTTTCAGATTTTTTAAAAATTTTTTGGAACTTTTTTTTAACATATCACGTGTCGGCATCCTGTGAGTTTGTTGTCGAAAATTGATGTAGTTATCCAAAATTTGGCCAAATGGATGAAATTAAAATGCAAATTAAAAGTTACTAAACACGATGATTAAAAAAATTAATAAAAAGATACGATTAAGATAAGTAAAACAAGTAGATGAACATTCTAAACCTTTGACCCAAACAAAATTCAATATTATAATTTGTTAAATATTACTAATTTTTAAGATTATTGTAAGAGATATCTATTAATGTTTTTAGTCCATAGGTTTGAATTTACATATTATTATTGACAAACATTTTTGTTTCTCTCTCTCTCTCACATATATGAAAATATTGAAAAAAATAAAATAACATATTTAATAGATATTTATCAATAAATACATGTGGCAGAAATGGGTGAAGCATCTCTCTCTCTCTCACACAGATATATATATATATATATATATATATATATATATATATATATGAAAATATTGAAAAAAATAAAATAACATATTTAATAGATATTTGTCAATAAATACATGTGGCAGAAATGGGTGAAGCATCTGGTTAGCTCAGAAGAGGATAGAAATGTAAAGTGGGCCTAATGGAAAGAAAGTTAAAGAGTGGAAAACCCTAGCAATACCAGCAATTAATCATATTGGCCTTTCGAAGAGGCTTTATCTTCTTTCCACCTCCACCGGTGCCTGCCGAAGTGAAAAAGAAATAGAGCAATGGAGCTGTGCTCAACAACTCAATCGATATTAAATCCCCGCAAAATTCCCTGTCACTTCCGCCCCAAATCCACTCTCATTCTCAAGGAAACCACAATCTCTCTTGCCGGTCGCCGCCTCATCCACACCCGTACGATACGGAACCCTAGGTTTTACTTTGGTTTTTTCCCCCCTTTTTCCCTTTTTTTTTCGTTCGCTTTTTGGTCTTTCTGTCTAATGCCTTGGATTTGTTTGTTTTTCTTGCTTTGAATAGGGATTAGAGCAACAATCTCAGAGGAATCAAATCAATATGTTAAGGAAGACAGAGATGGTGCAGTAGGCGTAGAAGATAGTCCTTTTTTCCTTTTTTTTTAATCGGTTCGGTTTTTGGCCTGTCTGTCTAATGCCTTGGATTTGTTTGTTTTTCTTGCTTTAACTAGGGATTAGAGCAACAATCTCCGAGGAACCAAATCAATATGTTAAGGAAGACAGAAATGGTGCAGTAGCCGTAGAAGATAGTCCACCACCCGAAAGGAATTTGTACAAGTCCGAAATTGAGGAAGAAGAAGCTCCAGTCAATGAGGAAGAAGAAGATCCAGTCAAGGAGTTTTTCAATAACTTTGATATAAAGGTTTGTTTTTGTTTTTTAAATTTCCATTTTCGATGTTTTTCTTTTGAATTATTATTAAAAATGGATTGTTGTGATGATGTTTTTTTTTAAGCTAGTGGAGAGCATCAATTCATGCTTGATGAAACTTACGACAGTAATGTCGATCCTGAGCGGTTACCTGAGCAACATTGTATAATTGTCTTGTTTTCTTGTGGATTTCAGTTTGCTTTTAACTCTTATCTTTTTTTTTCCTTTCCATTCTGTCTTTTTGTGGATCTCTCGTTATTTCTTCATATCTTTTGAGTCACTAGCTGTTATTAGTTAGTGTTTATAAATTCATGTCATTGTAATGCAAAGTGGTTGCTATGATGAGTATGAAAAAGTTGAGATCTTTGATGAAATTCGTACCTGTGCGGTTACCTGAGCAACACATAGTTTGATAAATTGATATTTGTTTTGTCGAACAAATATTTTTTATCCTTTTGTTCTTTTGATTATTTTAAATTGAGTGTTATTCCTTTGTTTTTTTTTTTCTCTCTCTTGTTTCTATGCCTTGATTTTAGGACTTAAGGTTCTTTATTTGCTCTTTTCCTTCCACCAGAACTGGATGTGCACTGCCATGGTCCTAGAATGTAGTCACTCGTAGCTTTGTAATGTGATATAAGTTGGATAATGTCTCTTCTGATGGTGACACTCTTTACAAGTGCTCTTAATCTCTCGCATTAAAGGAAAATGAAGTTGAATCATTGTAAGGTTCACTCGTCATAATGGCTGATTTTCCTTGCCGATGCTTCAATAATCTGAGTCCAATTTTGACTTTTCAATCTATTTTGGTTTCTTTTTTCTTCTTATTTGCTAGCTGCTAACATTTTGAATGATCTATCTTCAAGAATTCATGACTTCAAATGCAAATTTGTTTGTATTATGAGTAATGGAATTTTATATAGGTCATCTATTTACATGTGCTTGATCAAGTTGATCCTTAGTACCACCTGGGCACTCCAGGTTAGGAATCTAATTTTCCTTTCCTATGTTTCAATAATCTTAGGTTGACATTGATGTTCTTCTTTCATTCCTTGTTTTTTTCTTCTCTCTTTTTTTCCAATTTATTAAAATCAGAAGCTTTTTATCCTAGATTTGTTGAGAATGCTTTATTAATATGCATCCCAGTAAAACTTCTCTCCTGGGTCTAACGTGATAGCAAAAGGTAACTGTAGAGGAATGAGCTGTGAAAGGAGATTTTTTGGGACACTCACTTTTGCTTTGTCGGTTTGTTGGATCAGTATATGTAAAATGAGTTGCGCATTGAAAGCTGCTTTTTGGTTGATGTGCAAGCGCAACAAATTTTTACCTTGAAGTCTCTTTTCAAAAGTCACCGTGTTATAGGTTTTTGGGGGCTGTGTAATAAACATTCTCCCTGTCTTGTATGAATTTTTTCCTTTTAATTTTTTTTGGGGATGGTGGGGGGTTATTACTTGAAAATTTTCTGATCTTTGCATTTAGAAATATTGATACCATGGTTGTTTAAAAATTGCAGTTCAACTCTGAAGATACATATTCTGTTCTTCTTTATGCAAGTGGTGCCCTGCTAGCCCTGTGGTTAACTGCAGCTGTTGTTGGTGCTATTGATTCTATTCCACTGGTTCGTTTGTTCATTTATTTGATAGTCTTGGACTACTTGGAACTACTAATAATCTTATTTGATTATGCTTGATTTTCATGACTTCAGTTTCCAAAGTTGATGGAAGTTGTGGGTCTTGGCTACACCACCTGGTTCACTGGCCGATATCTGTTATTTAAGGTAGTCATCTGAAGTTTTTGGAATTTAAAAATAATTACGTATTGCTGATTAATGTCTTGTGCCTGCGTTCTGCAGAAAAATAGGGATGAATTGGCTGCCAAAGTTGCAGAGCTTAGGCAGCAGGTCCTTGGCTCTGATGATGATTGATTGACATGAATTTTACAGGAACGGGTGAATGTGGTTACAGATATATGTTTTCTTGATGTTATTTAGGTATTTAGGTTCCTCCCAAGTATGTGAATAAAAATTTTTAGTTACTTAATTTCATATATTACATAATAGGTTTTGCTTTTGCTCCTTTCCTGCTCCTGCAAGCTTGGTTGCTCAGCTAAAAAATTTTGGACGCTCAGAATAACGAAGAACAAAAAAATAGGCCAACAGGAGTAGGAGTGGGGTTGTTTCATTTGGTAAAATGTGGGCCATTAGAAGTTCTGGAACAAGAATGGCAAAGGGCTGGTATCTGGCTACCCAGGCCCATATTCTAATTTACCTTAACACTGATTTTCTAATTTTCATTTGAGTTATTAAATCTCAAAAAAAAAAAAAAAAAAAAGAAGAAGAAGAAGAAGAAGAAGAAATTTTGTTACTCAAATTTAATGTTTTGTACGAATAAGTGGTCAATAGAGGTTTTTTTTTTTTTTTTTTTTTTTCGGTTTCGGTCCCCGACCAGGTTTTTGGACAAAAAACATTTTAGTCTTTTTGTTAAGAAGTTTTTGCAATTAGATTCTTATATGTCAATTTTATTTTACGGGTATTAGGAGGGTATGAATTTTGTTATATGTGATAGTTTGCACGTTGTTTCAACTAACGTTCTCGATTTTCGCACTCTTTATAGACGTTAGTTTCTATTGAAAAAAATAATAATAAATATTCATCAGATATTATTAGTTTGCCATTAAACACATGCTATGACTTTTTTGTTACTCAAGTTACGAGTAATTGTAAATTAATCTCTTTAGTTTTAAGAAATAAATTTATTATTATTTTTTAAAAAAAACTAATATTTAGTTCTTTTGTGTTTTAATGTACTTGTAACTTTAAAAAAAAAAAATTGATTTTTTTTTAAATAAAAAACATGAAAAAGATTGGTGAGAAAAGAATATATTTTGCAAGATAAAATAATATTAAATTGAATGTGATCAATATTTGTCAAATGGCAAATTGCTAAATAATTAGGTTTTGAAATATGGAAGACTAATTGATTTGTTTTTCAAAATTAGAAGAATTAATTTATAATTTACTCCTTAAATTACCCACAACAACACAAACGACTTGTCGTTCACCTAAGTCAGAATAGCAATCAGGATGACACGTAGTTGACAGCAATCTTCAACAACAAATCCAGGCAAGCAAATGGGCCATATAGAATGAAACTTCTGCAATCAATCTGGATGTACTTGTGCTGTAAAAATGAGAGTTAAAATTGGAGTGTCTTCTAATTAATAGGAGGCGTTAGAAATGTGGAAAGAGCTTTTATATAAATAAAATTTATTCTTTTCATACTTACATATGGTCATCATGCTATTATTCATTCATTTGGAGAATTGCAATGCAAAATAGTTTAATCCATCGAGTTTATTTAGAAGCCCGTTGGTAGAATTGGAGAGACTTATTTAGGTTAGAATGATTGCTTCGGAAAATTTGAAAAAGACAAAAAATAAAGATGGCATAATGTAATTAATAATAAGCATGTGAACCCAAAGAATTTTCAAGAAGAAAGAGACTTTGATGTGGAAAACCATCTTGCCATTCGAAGCAAAGAATAAAAAATATGGCAAATGTTTAGCAAATTGGAAAGGTCCATTTGCGGTATGTTTTAATGGTTGGCTTAAATGGTTTATATGATTGATGGATTTAAGTGATAACATTCATCTCAACGGTTGGTCAGTGGAAAATTTAATAAATTAATGATTTAGAATGTTTTTCTATTGTTTCGTTTATTTTAATCATGTCTATCTATTAATTTTCTTATCAATTACATTTCTTTACTTTTATTTTATTTGCATCTTAATTTCGTCCATTCGTCTAAGTTTTTAGGTGAGAATATCAATCTTCAATGATAAACGCACAAAATGTTGACATGTGATATTTTTTAAAAAAATTAAATTTTTGAAAAAAATATAAAACATCATAAAATGTCATCTTTTTTTTCCCCTCTATCTTTATATTGAAAATTAATCGATTTTGAATTAGACTGACAAGACTTTTAATTTTATGATCCGACGACAAATTAAAAAGATTTCACAATAAATTGTAGTCAATAATGCATGATAAAAAAAGTTACATCTCTATTTCCATCAAGTTTTTTAATTGTTGCATTTCACATCATGCTTTCCTAGTTTGCCTTACAAATCATGCATATTGCCTATTGGTGTAAAAATGCTTAACAAAAAATAAGGTTTTTTTTTTTTTTTTTTGTGAAAATCTTTTTAATTTGACATCGGATCATAAAATTTATGAAAATACTGGTGTCACATTAAATATTAAAAATCTCCTTAATTCGCTTTATATTTTGACTTATATTAGAAATTAATTGATTTTGAATTAAATTCGTGAGACTCTTAATTTTACGATTTCACAATAAATTATAGTGAACTATGCATGATAAAAAAGTTACATCTCTATTTCCATCTGGTTTTTTATCATTGTATTTCACATCATGCTTTCTTAGTTTGCCTTACAAGTCATATGCATATTGCCTATTGGCGTAAAAAGGCTCGTCTTTTCTGATGTCCACACGTGACAAAAAAGGTTGGATTTTTTAATCATGCATGACTAACTACAATTTATTGTGAAATCTCCTTAATTTATCATGGGATCATAAAATTTGTAGAAGTAATGGTGCCACATTAAATATCATTGAATTTCGGCTTATATATATATAAAAATTTGTGGAAGTAATGGTGTTAGTAAGAGATTTTTAATTGATAATTGGTGGAAAATATTTTTCTACCAAAGATTTTCTTTGACCAAGCGCCGGCTGAAAATTGTTTTCAGACAAAACTCAACAAACAGACCCAAACAAAAGCCAACGAAGTAAAAGGTGGAAGTTTAGATTTTTCAAGCTCCGGCCGTTTTCCTTTTGTCGCTATCGCTCTGTCTCTGACTCTGACTCTGAATCTTATTTTACTCGAAAAGACTATTACAAAAGGAAAGAAACATAAAAAAGTTGCGGACTCCGCTCTCTGGGCAGCGCAAACAGAGGAAAAGAAAGTATAGAAATCTCCGTCCGGTTTCAGAGGCGATGGACTCTGTGTCGCATGCCGCCATCATCAGCAGCTCCAGACACTGTTATGTTCGTAGTCTATCTTTCAACAAGCACAAAAACCCACTACTGAATACAAGTGTTGTATCGTTACGAAATTCGAGATCATCATCGAGAAATCTTGGCGTTTTGGCCGCTCAGATTGGGAGCAAAGAGATTGATTTCAGCGATCCTGATTGGAAAACGAAGTACCAAACAGATTTTGAAAGACGGTTTAACATTCCTCATATCACTGATGTCTTTCCTGATGAAGACCCGATTCCCTCTACATTTTGTCTGAAGATGAGGACTCCGGTGAGGGAAGATTTCGCTGGTGGTTATCCATCTGATGAGGAATGGCATGGATACATAAATAATAAAGACAGGGTGCTTCTTAAGGTACAAAAAATAAATAAAAGAACTGCGCAAGTTTGGTTAACTCGTTATGGGATTCCAAAGTCAAATGACATTTTCTTTTTTCTTCAGGTCATAAATTACTCATCGCCTACATCTGCTGGAGCTGAGTGCATTGATCCCAATTGTACTTGGGTCGAACAATGGTAAACTCCTTTATTGGTCTTTGCAAATGGTAAAGCATGCATTTCTTGCCAGTAACTTCAAAAATTATAGATATGAAGGAGGAGCTTTTTTATTCTATACAAATTTCTGTCTTTCATGCAATACAATATTTTGATGCTTATTTCCATCCCATCCCATCCAAGTATCTATTGAACATCCACATGTTATTATTTAAGATTTTAGTATCGAAATTATCAATTATAAGATGGAGAACATCTGAGCAAAAAAGAACATTGAAGCGCATGCCTGAGAAGTGAGGATGTATGTGTGTAAGGTGATGAAGTGTTATGCTTTGTAAGTTTTTACAATTTATAGATCAACATTATCATAGGCTTTCTAACCTTTTTTCGGTCACTGTTTCAGCTACCAAAAGTGACTGTGTTGATCCTCCTAGGTCTACTTGAAGGGCGTCATGCTTTTGCATTCCCTTTCACATAACCCATTGGCATTAAATAGCATATTACTTCCTTACAAACTGTGTTTGTTTTCTGTTATCTGCACTTCTTTTAAACAGGAGATAAAAAATTATCGAAATTCGATATACATTAGTACTTCAGTTCCAGTTTCATTTACCATATTATTTAATATAATTGTGGTAATTGTACATCATTATTGTGTCTGTCTGGCATAAGAAGTATCATCCATCGCTGTAAAGTTATAATGTTACGTGGTTGATATGATGTTGAAATCTTCGTAGGGTCCATAGAGCTGGGCCTCGGGAGAAAATATACTTCAAACCAGAAGAAGTCAAGGCAGCAATTGTTACTTGTGGTGGCTTATGCCCCGGTCTCAATGATGTCATCCGACAGGTTAGTATCATGTACATGCCAATCTGCTTATAAGCCTCCTCCACATGAATCATGTACCCTTCTTTTCATAATCTGTTTTTGTATCCCTATTGCTGTCAAGGTTTGGCAGAACTTGCATTCCCAGGAAATTACATTTTGCTCTTAATTTTTCTTTCCGACGAATAGAATGTTACCATCTGCTGCTCTTGTAATCATCTAGACTAAAATAACATTCTCTCTGGAAATTTATATGCTATTTTTAATGGTTGGGGTTAGTTCTATCATACATTCTTATATTATATACCTGTTACCAGATTGTCATCACACTTGAAATCTATGGCGTCAAAAAGATAGTTGGGATACCCTTTGGTTATCGGGGATTTTCAAATGAAGGCTTGAGCGAAATGACGGTAAATTATCATTACTTATCTGTTAAAGTATCAGATCATATATCGAATATTTGCTATTAGCAATGTACAACTTTTCTTCTCGTCCATATCAAAGTTTAGAGATTCCAATTAATCTGTATAAATTTTGCTTTTATTATCAGCTATCCAGGAAAGTGGTTCAGAATATTCACCTTTCTGGTGGAAGCTTGTTAGGAGTTTCACGTGGTGGACCCAATGTTAGTGACATTGTGGATAGCATGGAGGTGCTCAATTAAACTTCAATTTTCATATTCTTGCATAAAATTGCTAATATTAAAAAGACTCATGATGTTTGATATGTAGTGTTCTAATATACTTTTCCATGACAATACCAGGAAAGAGGGATCAACATGCTTTTTGTGTTGGGTGGGAATGGTACCCATGCTGGAGCCAATGCAATACATAATGAGGTTTGTTAAGCTTGGAACCTTCCACTGTTTTTCTGCAATCTGTAACGCAGAATATAATATATCACACACACATACACAGTTATTTCCCAAACTCTCTGAAGTGTGATGTTGTGGCTCGTATTTTTCTTTATATATATATATATAGTCATTTAATTATAAATGGCTTGGCAGTAAATTCCATATATCACATAAGTAGGGATCTTGTAGGACTCTTCATGTAGGATACCTTTCTATCTCTGGAACTGTGCATGGTTGCTCCATACCTTTGTTTTTGTCTTTTCCTAGTATTTATCTCTTTTGTAAATTTTGGTTTTAGTGCCGTAGACGAAGGATGAGGGTGGCTGTAGTTGGTGTGCCAAAAACTATCGACAATGATATTTTGTTGATGGACAAAACTTTCGGTTTTGACACAGCTGTTGAGGAAGCGCAGCGAGCAATAAATTCTGCGTACATTGAGGTAAAAACCAGTTAAATTATTACTTCAAATAATCTCAATATGAACATTTACCTTTGTTTCTGCACTAAATGTCTTTTCTGATGCTTCTTTATACATGCTTAACTGGTATTTTCCCTCAATTATATGACAGGCACATAGTGCATATCATGGTATTGGCATTGTGAAATTGATGGGTCGTAGCAGTGGATTTATAGCAATGCATGCGTCGCTAGCCAGTGGACAAATTGACATATGTTTGATTCCAGAGGTATCTATACTTGAAATAAAATTTATGTATTGTTTTGACTTTTGAACCAGTATTAATTTAATATTTTCACTTTGAAAGGTACCTTTTCATTTACATGGCCCTCATGGTGTTTTGAGGCATCTCAAATTCCTAATTGAGACAAAGGGATCAGCTGTGATATGTGTGGCAGAGGGAGCTGGACAGGTGTGTTATACTGCTGTTTTCATGTGAAAAGCCTGATGAACATGTTTGAATTATCTATTGTCCAGCATGATGAGAGTCTAGATTTAGACAGCATGCTAATCCATATGGGATGATCAATACTTCTGCATGGTTGCACGGAAACAATTAAGCCCATGGTCGTTGATTGCAAGCATTGTGCTACATGTTGATGAAATGTGTTGCACGTTGTTCTTGGATTTTTAAGAAGATTTTTAGATTGTGGTATTGATGCAATCAAGGAAGTGGATAATTGAAAATTTAACTGTAAATTTATTAGTTTTAGAATTTTGTTATTATTTAGGAATTTATAGGGTTTAAGGGTTTAGGACTATCTACTAGTTTGTTTAAATAGGGATTTTTCTTCCTTTTAGTTTAAGATTCTTTAGGTTTTTTGCTGTATATAAGCACACTATTCTATTGATTTTGAAGTCCTTTTTGATTAACAGAAGTTGAGTTTCCGAAGTTCTTTGTTCTTGAGGGGAAAAAAAAAATAAATAAATAAAATAAAGAAAGAAAAGAAAAGAAAGGTCTTTGTCCTTGTGGAATTGAGAGTGGAGTTTATTGTGGATTTAGGAAGGGACCTTTGTGGATTCAAGGGTTTAGCCTAGTAGCTTAATAGTTTCTAGGTTTTCTATCCTTTTTCCTCAATCCCTTCACCCCGTTCTACATCAGGTATTACAGTAAAAGCACCACAATTGTAGAGAAGCCGTTCTTGACATGCATAACTAAACCATATCAACAATGGTGCCCACACCCTGGAATCCATCATCATTAGAGCATCGCTTTGCCAGAGAGGCAACCTTTTTACTCTTTTTTTGTCTTCAGTTCCATGTCTCTTCGATAAGATATTTTTCTTGGTCTGTATTCTTTGAAATTCTGGCTTTCGACTGCTTTGATTCTCTTCTCACTTTTGTTTCTTTTATGTTGGGAAGTTGGATTCTTCTTGCTCGTTTACTGCAAATCTTATAGTCATACAAGAATTTAATGATTTGGATATATTCCTTTTGCTCGGAGACCTTGGTGATTTAATTTTGATTTGTTGCAGAGCTTTCATTTTGGAAAAAATGACTGTGATCTCTAACTTATTGCAAAATAAGTCGTTTAAACTAAAATAGCTGTTATGTTTAACACTTGAGACATATCTTTTCAAGTCTACATTAGGCTATGACCAGGTATTGAGGTTCTGGAAAGGATAAAGCACGTACACTGGAAGGCCATGTTTTCTCATTCTGATTAGGAAATTACCAAAAGAAGAATTCCCTCCCTAAACTTTCTCTTTAAAATTTGGCTTACCATTTCTTTTATGTTTTTGGGGAAAAGGTCATTTTATGATTTTATGTGAAATAATGGTTCTGTTTTTGTTCTGAAAAGAAATATGTTCTTGATGCAGAATTTTCTTGAGAGAACTAATGCTACCGATGCATCTGGAAACATTGTATTTGGAGACATTGGTGTGCATATTCAACAGGAGGTCAGTGATTGCTTACATCGTGGCTGCTTATGAATTGAACTCGTAGTAGTTAAGTTACATGGGTCATATGGCAAATGAATGATTTTTTTTTTTTTTAAGGACAACAAATGCATGACTGATTGAACTTCTAAATTAATCATCTCAGTGGTGTTCAATGAATATGAGCAAAGTCTCTTTTGGCTTGTAGTTATCACTAGCCAGGTTATAAGAATTCTTCAGCCTTTGCCTGAGCCCAACTGTTTAGTACAGGTAATGTGCATGCAAAAATAACCAAGCCTCAATCCCAAACTAGTTTTGATCGACTTTATGGATCCTTTTGCATCATTCTGTGCGATCATACACCAATCCACCTCAATGTCATTAGATCTTAGATCCTTTGATTTGATTCCATTTTAGCTTAGGTCTCCTTCACCTTTTCCCCTGTACTACTGTCAACTTATTACTTCTCTGAACTTGAAACCCTTGGTCTCTGATGTCCTACGTTGGACCTGGCCAGAAAAGACAAAGTTTAATGCTAGTTGTCAACCTACCGCAACCATCTCTCTTTAACAGGGCTTGGGATAGGAATTCTAACCTGAGCTAGCATAGGCAGAGTTACATGGAATATGCATACTGTTTCATTTTTCACTTCATTTGAGTTGCTTCTTTAATAAAAGCTGCTCATTATGTCTGTTAGGGCTTGTAGTCATTGCTTGCCAGATTATGAGAATTCTTCATCCTGCTTTGTGTGTGCCCAACTGCTTAGGAGTTGGAAAAGCCATCTTATTCCCTTATTTGACTTCATCCAAGTCACGTATTTATGAAGCTATGGGTTAAATATGATCAGTTTCATAGTAAGACATATCTTGTGTGTGATGCTGGACAGCTTCGAGGGCTTTCTGGATCTGAATTTTGAGGTTGTTTAGGGCTGTATTAAAGTGGATTTCTGCCCGGAATTGTAGAACTATTAGAGTCACACTAATAGGGTTTCTAGGAGTCACCGAGAGAATAGAAAAACCTAAGCTTCACGCCTACCTAGGGTTTTAGGAGTCACATATAGGGTTCTTAGGAGTCAGAGAGATTGAGTTAAAAAACAAAAGCAATTGGAATTTTATTCATAAACTGTCATTGAAAATATTGAAAGAAAATACTAAGTCTATGTAGAATAGGAAAAACCTAATAAAGCTAATTACTCCTTAGGACTAATAAAATACTAAATAGAAAATAAAATTTAGACATAGACAAATTTCTAGATTTTCCAGAAATTACAGAAATACCCTTGTCGAAAAAAATACTGAGTTTTGCTTCGTTTGTTGTCCGCATCATTCTCTTCTGGTCGAAGAAAAATCGGCCTGGAGTGAAGTGTTGAAGTGGCAAGAACCACACGTTCCACACCTCATTCCATAGCCTGAAGCCACTCCCTTGAACTTGATATCAATTACCCTTTGCCATAAGCGAAAACAGTGAGGAAAGAAGAACGCCTTTCTCTATAACTGAATCACCAAACTTGGGTGGAAGAAGGAAGTCAATGTGATTGATTTGTACAATTTTCTCATCTCTATCTAGAGTATCCTTGATGTTATGTTCTTGTTCCTTCATGATATCTATTGTCTTTGGACTGTCAATAATTATTTCTTTGACCTTGTCCTTATTTGTCCCCTGAATTTCTTTCCTACATGCTGATTTTCAGTTTCTATTTGCTGAACTTTCTCTTCAGGCCTTCCGGCATCCCTTTGTACTGCTTTTACCTTCATTTCATGGCCCTTAGGTTGCTGGAATTGTTCTTCACATTGTTGTTCAGATTGAATAAATGGCTGCACAGGTTTTGCAGCAAATTGTGTGAACCTTTTTGCTTCCAAAAGTTGCTGACCAGCTTCTTGTTGCAGCTTTTGATTCGAAATGTCTTCCTGCTGCATTAATTTTTCTTTGCTAGGGTTGTCTTTCTCAACATGTGGCACCATCATTAATTTTCCTTTGTTGTTTGCACAACGTGACTGAATCCATGTTGCTTGCCTTTATATTCTTCCTTGAGTTTTTTTCCCCTTGAGTTATCACTACTTTATTGCATGTTTTTGCCCCAGAAGCATATTTGCAAGCTTGATGACTTTTGACATGGGCCTGACTTTCATCTCTGAAAATGACATTCAATATCCACTTGTTTTTACTTTGGGACAAACTGTTCTCATAGAGTTCTTGCTTTTTTTTTTTTATGTACTGAATCACTTCAACTATATATGAGGTTGTTACATACTGTAGATAACATGATTTTGTATGGCACATAGTTCTCATCGAGTTCTTGCTTTTGTTATGTACTGAATTACTCCAACTATACATACTTCAACTATATATGATGTTGCTACATACTGTAGATTCCATGATTTTGTATAGCACATATAGTTTTAAATTGCGTATGTAGTTGTAAAAATGGTTTCAATCGCAATTGCAGGTCGCTGCTTACCGTGGTAGTAAAAAATAACAGTCTCGACAACCAATGTCGTGAATGCATTAGCAAGCTAGCAGCTATTAATAAATTTATTCTAATTCACATATTTTTAATAGTTTTACTAATTAATCATAATAATAACATATCTAATAGTTTAATATCATACAATAATAGCTGAATTTATTACAAAAAAATAATAATAAAAGGGTAATAACACTTCTAATAGTTTAATATCACACAAACAATAATAAAATACAAAAAACCAATTTTTTTTTTTTTTATAAAAAATAATGGCCGTTATTCACCAAATAACAGCAAAGAACAATGTTATATAATGGCAAAGGATGAACACTTGTGAGGTAACAGCAAAGGATAATAAACCATTAACTATACCAGCAGATGGCAGAATCATAAACACTATAGATGAAGCTAGAACTTTTTTAGCTCTTAGCAGCAGGAAATTAGGAGTTTTGTTATTAGTTTTCAAGGTTTTGATAGCTTGTTTGGTTCAGTTTGCAAATTATGTAGAACAAACACCAATTGATGTATAATGAGTAAAGGAATGAAGGAGAAATGATAGATTAACCTAGAATCCAATAGATTACCTGGAATCCACGAGGACAAATCCTTGAAATCCACAAGTTGTGCTTCTTGAATCCGAATGGACTAATCGATGAACGACAAGAAAACAAACCCAAGAGACCAAATTTGGAAGAAAATTCAACATATTAAATCAAACACACCAGGAATGTCTAAATCAGGTGCTTATTTATAAGCATCAAGCCAAAATGAAATAGAAAACTAAATGTATGAAAATCAAAACATAGAAAGACCTAATCCTGAGATAGGATACCTACTAGTTAGAAATGGACAAGATTGCTTATAAAACCTATTTAAATACTCAGTGGTATATAACAATACTTCTAAATAGTGAAAATCTTGAATAATCATAGAAAATTGGAATTCCTGATTGGTCAAATAGTAATTCACAGTTTTGTTTTTCTTCATTTCTCATCACTAATCTTTCCTTTGCCAGGAAATGCCTTGCTTTTATAGATCTCAATTAATGAAAAAAAGACTTGTGTTTTTTCATTTTTTCTTTTGCCCTCATAAATCTGGATTATTATGCATTTGTAAAAGGTATCTTGATTATTATGCGTTTGCAAAAGGTTTTGGATAAATCTTCTATGACACTGTTACTAATTCAATGCTCTTTTTTAATTTTTTATTTTTGTCAGATAAAAAAATATTTTAAGGAGATTGGTGTTCATTCTGATGTGAAGTATATTGACCCAACATACATGATACGTGCATGCCGTGCAAATGCATCAGATGGAATTTTATGTACCGTTCTTGGACAAAATGCTGTGAGTCCCTCTGTCCCTTAGTTTGAGCATTTCCTTTATTTCATAATTGATAAATAGGACAGAAGATATATTGTTTTCCATAAAGTAAACAAGCATTGATTATTCTTCTTGGAACACTATCAAAGATACAAAGATTCTTAAATCTCATTGTTGTGGTAGTATGGTCCAAACTTCCTGATGCATATGCCTTTTGGGCTAACCAATTTTCCACTTTGTGCATTGCATGTGGAATAATCAACACTGAAATTATAGAAACATATTTTAAGTTCTACCAAATTTGCATCACTGATACAATTTGATGTTTCAATTTTTCTAATAGTATTCCTATCTCTGATTATAACTTTTGAGACTTTATTTTTCAGAACAACTTTTGAAGCTTTACATCAAAGACACCATGAATATCGAGAGAAAATTATTCAAGTATCCTTTCCACAATATGTCTTTTTTTTTTTTTTGAATGAAAGAATTTCATTGATCAAAATCAATGAAAACCTGAAAAAATCCTGCATACAAAAGGTCTACAAATTACAACCTCTTCCATTCACCTTCCGAAGCAATAGGCTGTATGGCATGAATCTGCATCATCAGTATTTCTCCCTAACATATAATCTTTGTAATATCCTAACCTTGAGATAGTATCATTCATGCAGTCAAAAGGATCATCGTAGGTTAATTCAATGAATTCCTTTTCTTGAGCTACATCAACAATATTTTCTTTATACTCAACTTCTAGATTTAGTGGCATCATCATCGTTGTGCTTATTGTTTTTGTCATCTAGCTTATCATTAGAATAAACATCATAAATTTGTTCTAAGATGCTACACCTACAATCTTCTTCTTCTTGGTCTGTGGTTGCCGTTACTCTTTGAATCACCAAAGATTCCCTTACTAGATACATATCTGCTTCTTCATTGTCTTGTTTGACTGGTGTTATGGTTAGATAAAATTTGACATCTTGAATCTGAATGGCATAAACAAAACTTAAATATTTTCATTTATAATGACTATTCCTTATAAAGCAGTTTCGTATTTTAATTACCATTAACAATTTGGCATATGTGTACATTGAAAAATTTATTTGTAGTTAAAAATATCTATACATTCCCACAACAATGAACATGAGAAGGTGCATGTGATATCTAATTCCAAAACCCAACCAACCAAATCTACTCAACTTAGAACCCAGCATGAGTAGTTATTTATACATGTGACGTTACTTCTTCACTTCATTAATACATGTCTGATATGGATGAGTTGTTATGGCAGGTTCATGGTGCATTTGCTGGATATAGCGGAATTACTATCGGTATATGTAACACTCATTATGTTTACTTTCCCATTCCGGAAGTAATTTCTTATCCGAGGGCTGTGGATCCTAACAGCCGCATGTGGCATCGTTGTTTAACTTCAACAGGCCAGCCTGACTTTGTCTAAATTAGTCAGGCCTCCAACTTTATACTGCAGAGTTAAAAAAAATTTAAAGGTTGGCAAAGTTCACCGAAGGACAGTATGCCAGCTACAGTAGATTCTTGGTTAGCTTGTCTGTTCATTTTAGGCTACCAAAATAATACGAACTCCAAATGAGAATTCCAATAGAGTAAAGCATTTCTGCGCTAGTTTACAGAATCACAAGTACTTGTAATAAGTTTAAAGAGGACTCAGCCTAGCTATTCTTGCTTGGTTCTCAAGGAATTTGAGACTTGTTTTGTAGTAATAGATTATTTGTTGAGTTCATAACAACGCATATTGGATTCTTTTGTTGAACTCAGCCATAACAGCTCTTTTACCCACCAGCATTGCAAGTGGTGGAATAAATTTATTTTCCAAGAATTCCTATTTTGCAATTTGTTATGATATAAAGTTGAGCAGGGGCATAAATCGGCACAAGCACGGGGTGTGTTAGATAGCATCCTGTGAGTATGTTTCTGAATTCTTCCTTTGTAGATGTTTGATTTTTCATCTGATACTATTTTCATTAACCTTGTTCGCAGCATGCTTGAATTCATGCTTGGTTGAGGGGGTTCCACAAAGGTGGTTTGTTTGGTGAGAGACTAGATAAGAACTTGTGAGACAATAGTAGGTCTTAACTCCTATAATATGCAAGAATTTCTTTTCCTCAATCCTTGCAGGTCGTTGACCGAGTCCATGGATCTCGTTTTAACTGGCAGTCGTGTTAAGTTGGCCATACATCAATTTGGATTTTATTTGATTTGCACTCGAAAGATTTAGATTCGAGTTTCTTGTAATAATAAAAAAAAAAAGGATTCTCATGCGTTGTCTTATTAATTACAAGTCATAATTATAGCTTCTGAAGTCTGTCTTTCCCATCGTAGAGAGTATTCTCTGAAGAGTAACTCCTTGAGGAACTGGTCCTCTATCTAGAGATTTTCTTCTATCCTTTGGGGATAGCCCTCCTTCTCCCAACCCTTTACATCCACTTCTCTAGAGGAAAAGTGATGTAGCGAAAGCTTACAAGAAGGAAATAAACATCATTGATTTGAAAATTCAAATAGGAGTTTCAGGTATCGGTCTATTATAAGTTGTTGAATTGCATGCAAATATAAGAAAAATAGGCATTCAATTCCGTTGATTCAAAAAATGTCGAGAATGGAGATAAAATTGAGATAGTCTTTCATAAAACTTTATTAATCCAAGAAAGTCTGTCGTTTTTCAGCCACTAAATCATCATAAATAGAAAATTTAGTCAAAAAACCTTAACCAACTTGAAAAGAAAAACAAAAAAATGCAAACCTCAAAAATTAGGAAAAATCCCAAAAAACATAAAAAGTTCATTTTGAGGGCCTATATATATATATATTTTTGGCAAAAATCACGTCTACATTATGGCATAGCAATGAGTTTGACTTATTAAACCGTTTGACACCGAACTAGATCAAAAAAATCTCAAAATTGGGTCGACAATTTTTTTCAGCATCTATTACGGTCATACCATTGGCTCGCATAAAAAAGGTCCAAAGCATAGCTCTAGAGTTGTTTTGTTTGGGTCTTTTATTCCTAGTTTTATTCTTTTTCTTCTTGTCTCATCTTGTTTCATAGGTCCAACTGTGTTGGGTAAGGCAATATTTTTTCAATCAATAATGATGAGTATGTATTGTTATGTTGATGTGATCATTTGGTGGGCAGTCTTCTTTAGTTTTTTTAATGTGTGACTTTGGTAGGGTAAGAGGGATGAGGGTACGTTATGAGTAAATGATATCTTTAGAGTAAGATTGAATGAGACAGAACTTAAAAAGGGAGGAAGAGTGGACAATCCTTAGTAATTGTGCTTAAGCAGGCAGTGCACTTGGAGTATACTTTTTGGATAGCAAGGTAAGAAAAAGTTCCTTCTTGTGCACATGAACTATAGAAAGAGGAGTTTTTACCTTTTTTTTTTTTTTTTTTTTGATAACGTGGGTGTCCGGGTCAACTTACACGCACTTCAACTAATCCTACAAGCCCTAAAGTTAACGACCATGTAAGGCTCTAATAGCTATCAAAAAGAGCAATCGGGACTTGAACCTGAGACAACAGGAGGGGTAAACCTCTTGATACCAAGTCCTTGTTGCTGTGTCATCCCTTGGTGGTTAGTTTTTGCTATTTTATACTTGCTGGTCTCGTGGAGATGAGTGTTTTTTTTTTTTTTTTTTTTTTTTTTTTTTTTTTTTGATAATTGGGAAAATGACCCACCTTCCAATAATCAAAACTAGTTTTAGTGGGTAAAATTTGACTTAAAACTAGGAATTCTAAGTTCTCCACACTTTTAAGTTCTTGTGATTGAGAGGAGGGTCTTGTGATTGAGAGAGAAGTTTTTAAATCCATATTTTATATGAAATGAACAAATCAACAGCAGATCCAATGTTATTATTATTATTTTTCTAAGACACACACAGATATATATATATATATATATTCCACTAACTCAAGTAACATACTAACATGATCCAACTAAGATACGCGTCAACTAAATCACCCAACATATGAAAGACAAAAGCTACCTTCCTTTCCTACTTTAAAAGCAAGACAAGGGGCCCCTTTTTTGTCCGAGTAAATTATAAATTAGTTATTCTAATGTTGCAAAATAAGTTAAATAATCTGTGCAGTTTTAAAATTAATTAATTAGTCCTTCTAAGTAGGGATGGCAGTGGACATAGTAGTACAAAATGGATACTCTGTCGAGCCCAATCTATTAATTATTCCTTAAAATATCTTAATGTATAATGGATTAAATATAGATAAAAAAAATAATCATTTATATTAATGAGCATGGATTGGATAAAAAAATAAAAAAATAATTTTTAATAGACAATAAATATAATAAAATATTTTTAATACATAAAGTACGAGATTGAATTAATGAGCTAGATATCCGATCCTCTGCCATCCCTGTCTCTAACTTTGTTTGCACTGTTTGCCTACCAAGTAAGGTTGATGCTCAGCAGCTCAAGGGGTAGAGAGAGATAGAGTAGCAAGTGGATTAGTAATTTTGTGCTATGTGCGCATCGAGAAAGCTATGTGCACCACTTCTTGCGCATAGGGGTTTGTGCTCCTTAAGTGAAAGGTACATGTTTTTTCTTTAACAAAAAATTAAGAAATTTATAAAATTAAAATAAGTAAATTATAGTAGATTTTTTTATGATATTATAAATATTATTTACAAAATAAAAAATTTAACTAAAATTCTCTTTGTATTTTTTTTAAATATAATAAATATTTTGTTTTATACTTAAATTTTTTTATTATTATAATAGAGATAGATTTAAATCTATAAAAAGCTAGTTTGGATAAATAAAAAAAATTTAGCTTCACCTTTTTCTTTAATTTTTAGAGTAAATGACATGATAGATCTTCTATTTTTTTATTTTTTTTCAAAATTATTTATTTAAATTCAGATAAAAAATTAAAACAAAAAATAGAATACAAAGATGAAATTAAAAAAATAAAATTAACATCATTAATCCAAAAATTAATTAAGAAAATGATGGATGAATTTAAAATGAAAAAAAAGTGAAAATACACGATAAAATAATACAAAAAGTCTTCTCGCAAACGAGAAATTTTATAATACTCAATAAATAACTAATGAATATATACGGTAGTTATTCTATGCACTCATTTTTCGGAAGAGAGATAGATACATTAAAAAAATTATATTTATACCCACTAAAAGTTATAAAAATGTTTTCACATCCATTGAATTTTTTTAAAATTTTTTCTCTTTTATTTCTTTCTCCTTCATGTATCTATCTCTCTTTATGAAATAATTTACACTAATTATTTCTTAAATATCATAAAATTTCTCCTCTATAAGACATTATTTTTGGATAAAGGAACTTATCCAAGTAATCCACAAGTTCCTAAAAATCTATAATCTTAATTGTCGGAGCTTCTACCAATATGTTATCGTGCTGTAACGCATGCTAAAGGGTCATATCGATTTTCATGGGTTCAGACTTAGTCTCCTTGCATGTCCTCATGCCCACTTGGGTTTTGGCAGAGGAAACGAATGGCTTAAAAAATTTTGGCCTTTAGGCAGAGTTAAAGAAAATGATTGAATCTCGACACAACACATCAGCCTGGCAATGTCATTATTTTTGTGACGTTTCATTTATTGGGTTTAGCATTAGTCATTTATGGTGCTTGCTTGTTACATTGACTTGACGTTATTACAATTGTAATAACTTCAACTTCAAGCATATTTAACCACTGGATCGAAATAAAAGAAAAAAATATATTTATAATAAAAAATAAATAATAGATTTTGTGAGAAAATAAGGAAGTCTGAAAACGATGATGAATTCATAAAGTTAAGATTCTTTTTTTTTTTTAATAGTAAAACATCTTATAAAATTTGTCAATCTTATATCAAACATTTAAAGTTACTATTATAAAATTATATTAAACTATATACATCAATTAAAGATTTTCTTTTTATCTTAATAGACCCTTCTAGTATCGTTTTGTTTGTTTCCCATAGATTCTAGATCAATTGGACATGATGATGCCGAAAACTTCGTTGTGCAATGAGATATCATTCAGGTTCCAAATGGACCGAAAGTTTCATCTTGGATCCGTTTTATTTTAATTTTAGTTTTAGTTATTTTATTATGTCCTAATTGCTTAAGGATTTTTATTTTATTTGAATTTATTTTTAGTCTTGTTATATTCTAGATTTGGGCTAAATTAATTAGTTTTATTGAATTTGTAGGCCTCGGTAGGATTTGAAATCCATATTTATTTAAGAGTCCATAATTATTAAAACATTCATATTTAATTACGAGTTCATATTTATTTTGGATTAGAGTTGGATGTATTCTTGTTTAGGTTGGAAAGATTGTAGCCGAATGTTTTCTTATTTTTTATGAGATAGTAGCTGCATCTTTTGTGCCATATATGCCTAGATATTCAAGTCTCCTTATGTGTTATGAAAAGGGAAGGGAAGTTTTTGAGTTTTGATAAATAAAAATTGCATGAGAATTTTTTTTTCGTATTTTCCTTTGGCTTTCGCATAATAGCATTGCAATTGTATCCTTAATATGATCAATTAAGATGGTGATATCAATCAACGATACTAAACCTTATACTTACTTAGATTTGCATACATATTTCTTATGCATTGTGTGTATTTATTTTTCAATATACATACTATGCTTGTGGTTATATTGTTGAGTGTTTGACTTGCAAAAATTAATGTTGCTAAGTGTTGTGGATCTAAATGAATTAATTGACAAAGTGAGGTATCTAGAAAATATAATTTAATTAAATATTCCATAAGTGTTGCTAAGTGTTGTGGATATAAATGAACTAATTCACAAAGTGAGGTATCTAGTAAATACCAAATAGCTTGTTAGTAATATTTTCAACACTTAAAATTCAGTACTCAATAGATTCGAGTACTTAATTTTTAATTTATCAAACACCACTTTAGTCTAGAAAATAATCTCCTAATATGGTATCCATATAATATGTGCACATGGTTAAAAATATCTAAGTGTTATTCGTCCAATTTAGGATATGTGTCCACTAGCATTCTTGCACCCTTAAAATTTTGGTCAAAAAAGAATAAAAAAGGAGGGAAAAGCTATTTGGTTTTCATTTGAGAGGCTTAAAACTTGAAAGAATCCTAGATCAACAATAGAGAAAGCAATAGAGAATCAAAATTTGCTAAGAGGAGACAAGCTTGGCCGACAACTAGAGCAAGGAAAAAAGAGGAATCTTAAGGATTTTCAAGATGAATTCTACTTCAATTAAACGTTAAGGTAAGTGTAACTTCAACTCACCATAAGGCTTACGAGTACCTAAGGTTTCTATGTATTTAATTGATGAATTGTGATGATTTGTGAAGATGTGTTTGCGATGTTATGACTTTGTGTTCAATTGGTAGACGGTAAGTGTTCAATGGTTAGTTGTCCATTGTGATGATGATGGATATGTGTTTAATTATTGATTGTACATGTGTAATGGAGTGTTCATGTAAGACCTAGAGTTTCTAGGGTTTTGGGTTAAGTGTAATTGATGATTATATATTATGATGATGATGAATATGTATTTAATTGATGATTGGTCATTGTATTGACATTGGATAAGTGATTAATTATTGATTGAATATTTGAGATGATGAATTTGACTTGATATATGCTTGTGGTACTTATTATTAAAAATTATGGATATGTTTGAGGATGGAATTATAGTGAGGATGCTTGATTGTTTCAGACTTAGCTTATTGATTAAGTGATTGTGTTACTGCTTAACGAATTCAGCTAGGATCCACTTGGGATCCAACTGACTTTTGCTTATTGATTGAATGGTTGTGTGACATTAGATGATATGTTGCTTAATGAATTTGGGTAAGGATTTCTTTGGGTTATGTGGTTTAGTAACCATGTGTTTATGGGATAATTAGACACTTATGTGTTATTAGATGATTTTAGGTTGATAACTATTTAATGACACTCGGAACAATCGTTTAGTCGCTTATTGGATAATTTAATAATTATGTGTTATTAGATAAATTGAACACCTACTTAGATTGAATAATTGAATAATGTTGATGATGTTGGATGATTTGGCCTTGTGATGTCAATTGGAATATGCTCATGAATGGCTTGAGGTTGTTTAGATGTCCTAATTCGATTCTTGCTTATTATTGCTTGGCTTGATAATTGAATGATGGTGTTGTGGCTTGAGGGATTCAATTCGCTTATGGTTACTTGGTTTGGATGGTTGTATTGATGTTGAATGGTTCGACTTAGGTGATCCTTAGAGAATGAAAGATCGTGTGCTTGTTCATGTTAAGGCCTTGACTTATGTTCACGGAATTGATTGATGTTGTTAACATGATAAATTTAGGTTAGGTGATTAATTGAGATCGCTTGATTTATGTTCATGGTCATTTTAGGACTTGATAGCTTCGGCATTATCATGTGATGTGGATTGTGTTCATGAATGGCTTGATGCCATATGAATTTTGTTCATGTAAATGTTCAACATTACATTCTAATTGTATTCATGGTATAAAATGTTTTATGTCATGATTTCAAGCATTCAAGAAAGGACATGTTTATGATTTTATAAAGACAAGCAATCACAACTAGGCATGTTCAAGAGAGGCAAGGAGAAATGATCAACCCTTTATGAAGTTCATGGAATTAAACATGTCTAGTGTTTTTATGGATTTTATGATGATGGTTTTAAAAGAGGCCTAGATATATATACATTCAATAGGGTATGTCCGAAAGATAAAAAATGTATTTCAAGCATGAAAATGATGGTTTTAATTGCATTCATGCATGGTTGCACTTATTAGGATTTAGCTCATTTTGTTTCTCTAATGATGTAGGTAAATAAAGCAATGCTTGAGGATGAGTTAGATGCACTAAGGATGTCGGCTAAAAGTCGTAGAGTTTGTCAAATTGTGTATTACAAGGCTAGATTTGAAGTTTGAAGGTTAAACCATGTTTAGGTTTCGGCCAATTTTGGTGTTGCCTAAATTCAATAATTTTGAGTTGTAAATGATGAATTTTTGGATTAAAGTGGTATGTTAACGTCTACATTTGTGAGATTAAAGGATTATAAAAATTTTGTGTTTCATATGAAAATGTTGAGAAGTTAATATATATATATATATATATATATATATATTAACTTCTCAACATTTTCATATGAAACACAAAATTTTTATAATCCTTTAATCTCACAAATGTAGACGTTAACATACCACTTTAATCCAAAAGTTAATATATATGGATTGATGTTTATGAAATGGTTTTAGTTTTATGCACTTGCACAAAGTTGTTAGTCTTAAATGTTAAATTTAGGAAGCCTTAAACTTTAAACTAAATGAGGATTCCATTGTGCATTGTGATAGAGATTCGGGGTAGAGGACATAGTGTATTGCCTTGCATTCTTAGGTGTGAGGCAACGCAAGTAGCACTCTCGACCTTCCCGTTGGGCCATGGGTGTTACAATACCAACTCGACTATTTATCCTTTTAAGTTTCGACATATACATAGTTAGACCTAAACTTATTTATTTGGATTGAATTGAGGACTTGATCTTGTGTTTAACCTTGTTTATAAGTTATTTGAGTTTTGACAACCTTGACTTATTAAGGCTAGGGTTTCGACCTAGATCAAATATTAGGATTTGGTGTTTGTTTGTGTGGGTTTGTTGTTGCTTGTTTTGTGGTTCAACTATATTGAATCATGGGTGTTTGAACTTTAGTTATTGTTGGTTTCTCGCTTTGAGTTTTAGATTTTAGGTGGTTCTTGTGTTTGTTGGATTTGGCTTTTACATTGTCTTCATAAGATCAATGTCAAGGACAAAACATTGAGAATAAGTCTTCTTCAACCTAGAAAGCTTGACGTGAAAGTGTTTACCGGGATCATGAAGTCGAAGGTCTTAGGCAAATTAAATATGGTGAGGTTGAGAGTCCGGATTTTCACTTAGACGAGTGGTTCAAGATCCATAGAGGTTTAATATTGAAGCTTGGATGTGCATGGTCTAGGCCTATGGGTGAAAACCAATTTAGGCTAAATGGTTCAATTGTTTATTCCTTTATTTATTTATTTTTTCCTAATTGCATAAGAATTTCTATTATGTTTAAGTTTATTTTTAGTCCTTTTATGTTTTGGATTTGAGCTAAATTGATTAGTCTTTATTGAAATTGGATTAGATTTTATTAGTAGTTTATCGAATGACCTAGGGTTGGTTATGGATATTTCTTGTGAATCTTGTTTGTTTAAGAGTCTATAATTGTTAAGGATTCGTATTTAATTAGGATTCCATTTTTATTTTATTTTTTGGATAGGATTGAGTCTTTGATTATTTAAGAAAGGGGTCGACCAAATATTTTCTTGATTTTTAAGAGGAGTTACTGCACTTTTGTACCGTAGTTGGTTGACTTTTTGTTTAGGTATTTAAGTATCCTTCTATATTGTTGAAAGATAGGTTTTTTGTTGAGTTTGAATAAAATTTTATAAGATTTTTTCTTGTACTTTGCGTCTCATTGTGCTTAGCTTAGAAGCGCTGCAATTGTATCCTTTACTTGATTAATTAGAGACTAGTGATATCGATCAACCGCATTAAGCCTTGTGGTTGTTTAAATTTCTGTACATATCCTTATTGCTAGAGTTACAGTGGAGTCTCGACTTATGTCAAAATCAACAAAGGCTTGTTTTATTTTACTCTGTAAGTTTCGAACATAGCTTGACTTAAACTTATTTGTTTTGATTGAATTGTGGATTTGAACTTATTCTAATTTGGTAATAAGTTAATTAAAATTTCGACAACTTGTCTTATTTAGACATTGGGTTTCGACCTAGTCTAAACCTATGGTTTGGATGATTATTCGTTAGATTTGAAGTTTGTGATTTATTATTGTTTAATTAGTGATTCGATTGTTGTTGATTTATGGATGTTGAATTTTAGTTATTGCGGATTTTTTTGGTGGTTTGTGGTTTGGGTAGTTTGGTTGTTTTGTGCTAGTGTTTTGGCTATGACCTATGTTCACAATGTCAAACTATGTTGTGAAGTTGAGATTTGATGTATTTTAGCATGTTATTCAAGGATCATGACTCATGTGATCTAACAGAACATGTCTAGAAAAGCGATTAAGTCAATTAATTGAAGTAGCTAACAAAAAACTACTTTGAATCTCACTAATGATTTATGACTCATTTTCTTGGCAATTATGTTGGATGACAACGTGACATAGTCACAAGTAAAAATACATATAGTAAAAGATGATGCATAGCTGACGGTGGCTTAGTAAAATATTCCTCACCTGTATCTTTCTTGTTTGGTAGTAAGCTCCATTTTTTTTTTTTTTTTATGAAGACAAGAACAAGAGAGATGTCTTATCATAAGGATGAAGCTTTAGCTATGTAGAGGTCCATATTAACAAAAGAAATGAAATCTTGACTGCCAAGTTACACATTAAGAGCTACTTCGGAACCAATCCATGGAGATCCCCTTGCAATAAACATCTTAATTTTGATAATACAATTGATCGTCTGAAATTAATTAGCTTGCTTCTGACCACTTCAATACATGCATGTTTGCTTTCTGTGCCTACAAACATCAACAAAGTAGATCAAATCAAACCCTAAACAATGGTGTGCAATACAAAGAAATACAAGTAAAACCATCACTAATCTTTCATTAATTCTTACCTCTTTTTCCCAGTCGCATCGTAAGGTAATGACAGCCAAGATTAGTGTTTGAATTGCTGTCCCTCCAAAAATCATCCCAGCCCAAATTCCCTGATCAATTGTTTTCATTTTCGTTCAGTTCTGAGACAAATCTTAGAATGCATATCAAAGTTGATATGATGCCCATGATTAGACCTAGGGTTAACAATGAGACGGATACTCTAAACAAATTAATTAGTTTCCTTTTTTCAAAAACTAATTATTTAATCCGTAACGTTTTAATTCTGTCAATAATTTAATAATTTCATCAGCTTTTTGTTCGAAAATTGCTCTTTCTTTGATTTTTTGTTGAGGAGAGAAACAGTGGATTAAAAAGAGTCATAAAACATCAAAGAAAGGACAATTTTTTTTAAAAAAAATCATCAATCTAACGGAAATCTAATGATATGATTAAATTATTAATAAAATTAAACCAAAAGAGATTAAATAATAAGTTTTTTTAAAAGATTAATTAATTCATTTTTTGAAAAAAAAAAAAAACTTATTAATAGTTTACTCTGAGAAGAACGTAATAGGACGTGCATGTTGACTTTTCAAAACACTATATATATATATATATATTCAACCTTTGATTTCTCTGTCGTGTTTAGGACAGTTTCTGATAATGTTTTATATATATAACAATGTACGTATTATGCTACGTACCATAACTCCTTGGTGAATGACCCATCCCATTATGAATCCAAGTGGGACTCCAATCAAATAGTAGCAACCTAAATTTATGTATGCCACATATTTTTGCCATCCTGAACCAACAGCCACCCCTACAAGAAACAAAATAAAACATAATCAGAAACTGTCCTAAACACGACAGAGAAATCAAAGGTTGAATACATATATATATAGATAACCTGAGAGAATTGGCTGAACACTGTTAAGCAAAACTGTGAATGCCAAGAGGACTGAGAGCTTGTTAACTGCTTTAAGAACAGCTTCACTCGAAGTAAATATCCAGGCTAACTTGTCATGGTAAAGCATTATCAATAGCCAGAAGACGAGGCCAATAATCACTGATGTCCCCACTGACACAATTGTCGCAAACCTGGCCCCCTTCCCATTTCCCGCTCCAAGCTCATTTGCAACTCTCACTCTGCAATTTACAGATTACGGAACTCTTTAACAGATACCTACATAGGGTAGCGTGAAGACCTCTTGTAAGGCGTAGACTGTTATGTCTTATGTCAGATTCATTGCGACTTTTTCTCAGCTTTTACAAGCTCTTCTGAATTATAATTGATGGGCTTTGATCAACTCCATTGACCAATGAAATGCGATAATGTCATAAAAAGAAAAGAGCTTGCAGAATACAGAGACTGTCATATTTCACTGCGAAAATTTCCCAGCTTTAACAAGCTTTTCTGAACAACAATTGATGGCTTCGATCGATTCCATTGACCAATGAAATGCAATAATGTCATAAAAAGAAAAGAGGTTACAGAATATAGAGATTCTGTGCACAAGTTTTGAGATGGTAAAATTGGAATTGAGTAAAGAAAAGGCATGTGGGGCATGACGATTGAACGAGTGCAGTCAAATCTCTATCACAAAAGACAGTTAGAAAGAAACAAAGCTCAAATAGGACAATTTGATGACACTTGCCTATCATCAATCTCATCATACAATGGCCTATCATCAATCTGGACATTTCTGTTTCTGTACGTATGGTCTAACTTTGATTGTAGTCAATTCATTCACAGCTAATTCTCAAAAGAAATTAAAAGAAATTGCCCCCATTGCCCAAACCAGAGAGTACTTGTTTAAAGTTGAATTTGGCATATTTATAGAAATTCATCAATCTGAAATGGTAATGAAAACGACTTCTGAGTCTCAAAAGCAAGATAATGAGGGGAAAGACAAACTGAAGACGCGTGCTGACCTACTCTTAACATTTGCAAGCTTTTTAGGTGAAGTAATGGATGAATTTATTTGATGGAGATGCAATACAATAGCCTTATTCTTATTATTTAAAAAAAAATTAAAATAAAACATTCGATTTCAAATTTATCCACATTGTTTATTATCAGATTTAGATACACTATTTATTTTAGCAGTATTTTTTATAATCTTTAAATATTTTTAAAATATTTATTATAAAATTTTTTGTGACATTACACTTTAGTTTTTTTAATTTGTAAATATTTTTTATTTAATTTTGATTACTTTATTCCTTTTTTCCGTCTATTTTTTAATAAAAAATTTTAAAGAAAAAAATGCTTCAAGAAAACAATTTATAAAATTAATTTTTAACTAAAAATTCATTGATTTTGATATTTTTATGCTATAATAAGTTTTTTAGTTTATAAATAAAGATAAATCAATAATATTTTTAATAAAAAATTATAAAAAATAATCAATAAATAAAATTAAATATATTTTTATTTTATTTTGATTTGATTCGATATATTTTTAATACATATAAAATATAATTTTTAAAAAATAATTTTATATATTCGTTCAGATATGTATGCAAGATTTTGCGTATAAAAAAACTATAGTAATCTAAAGGTCTATGAATCTCCCGACAAAAAAAGAAGACAAAGCGAAAACGCTTCTCCAAGCATAGTGGACCCTTCACAGACATTTTTCTACATAATTTACAACAAGTTCTTGGTACTACCATTCTCACAAGAAAATTAATGCAGAAAACAAAACACGTTCACTTTCTTCTCTCTTTTTTAATGGCTATAAACGTTTGCGTACTCGATCAACAGCAGGATATCACATAAGTGTCCCCTACTTTTTGGTCTTCTAGATGGTTCATGCTTGGCCATTAATTAGAAGGAAAAAACAGAAGTAAAAGAAGCCAAATGAAAAACGAAAGCTTATTAATTACCCGGTTGCTGCAAAGAAGGCAAGAGGAATCATCATTTCCCACCCGTTTAAGGTCATGCTGCCGAAAAAAAGTCAATAGAAAAAACCACAAGAAAAAGAAAAAAGAAAATGACACCAGTTCAATTTCAATACTTGAATTAAATTAAATGCTGAGAAATTAAAAAATTGATAAAAAAGAAGAAGAAGAAGCTCATTTCTTATTTCTTACCATACAGACAAAGCATCCACAGCAATCTCTGCATTCTTGAGATTCCCAGTCATTAAGATGAGTATTCTATAATACCAATTCTCCAAGCTAATTAATTTATCACCAAGAAGACATGAAAATTTAAGGCCTTTTGTAAGATCCAACAAGAAAATATATGAGAAGAGAAATCGAAGATTGTAGTAATTGATGATATTAAGTTACCAGAGCATGACCCCAGAAGCAGCAGAGAGTCTGGTGAATTCCCAGAGGCCAGAAAAAGCTTCCATGGAGAAACCAGTCCACGTAAGAGGACAGCCACCACAAATGGTGTAACCTAGATGACCAACCACCAAAACCCACCAAGAAAAGTTCAGAGTCAAGGCTGTGCCGACGACTCCAAGCTGAAGCTGATACACAAGAAGCCAACTGACAAGCACATGAACCAACAGAGCTACAAGAGACACCCAGGCAATGACCATGTTCTTAAGCTGGCTCTGCAAGAATCTCTGCAAGGGGAACTGAAAAGCAAAGCTAAAGTGAAGCGGTATCATCAACACAGAAACCTTCCCTGAAAGCTCTGCTACGTCTTGGGGCTGGCCCAGTAGCTTCAAGAAAGGAGAGGCAAAGAGATAGAGGGGCAAAAGCAGAACGCAACATAAGAACAATACAATCCATGAACGCTGCATGTATACTCCCAACATATAGTACTTTTTTGCTCCAAATGCTTGCCCGCACAGTGTTTCTAATGCACTTGCCATCCCCAACTGTGATACAGAAATTAAACAAAACAAAAACCATCGGTCATTAATCAGTGAAGGTTTAGTTAATTACTAATTAAGCCAGGTAAATTAAGAATAAATCCAAACGAGTTGGGGTTGGATATATGGATCTTTTACAACATTTCGAATACAGGGCGAAGAAGAAAGAACACAAAGAATGTTTCTGGAGTACTTAAGTTAGGATTTCTTACCAGGAGACCAAAGTCGAAGCCAACAATTACATTATTGGCAATGGAGATAGCAGCAAGCTCAAGGTCACCCAAATGACCAGCAAAAGCTTGGGTGATGACAAGCATGGAGTAAGAGGTGAGACGGCTAAAGATTGCTGGACCCACTATTTGCCATAGCTTCTTTGATTCAACCCAAACCCTACGTGCAAGATCTTGATCATCATCGTCATCTCCTTTGTTTTTCCCCTCTAAACCTTGCAACAAAGGAACCTTTGCTTCCTGATTATATTCCTGGACTGCACTCTCACTGTGCATCTCTTTCTCTCTTCTGATCTTGGAAACGTTACTACTGTCTATTTGGGATAGCGCAATTAATGCAGAGAGAGACAAAAAACGGAAAAAAAAACTCGTTCGCCTTTAGCAAGCTACAATGTTTTATAAGATTTAATTCAATCTGAAGTTGTGTATATATATATATTTATTAACACTTGAGAAAGAATTTTTAAGCAAAGATGTTAACTCACGTCTTTTGCTATCGCCAGTTAGCCAACTCATTGTCCTTCATGAGAAGCTATATATATATATCTATCTCTGTGGGGCTGAGCTAGTCGGTTTCTCTGCAATCGAGAGGAGCAAACCTGTTCCATATAATCATACAAAAACGTTTAGGTCATTGCACACCGCAGCACTTTTTTGGGACCATTTGTTACCACCATACATACTGATCACATCGGATCAGATTAGCTTTATACTATAAAATTCATATTACATCAAAATATAAAAATTTATATATTCTAAACAACAGTCAATAATTCTTTTTTTCTTATATCGTATTAAAAGAGGAAACTTTTTTTTGAAAATAACCAGAGTCGTGCAAAAATGGGGAGAAAAAAATTTAAAGTTTGCCCAAATTCCTAAATAATATGAGTACTGTTGCTCACATTTACGGAATGAGAGTTTCCGTAACATAATTTATGTTTCATAACTTCATCAAAAAGATTTATTCCTCAATTGAAATAATAATAACAATAATACACCCATGTGCACTTCTTTCTTTCATCCTAATTCAAGTTTTTACAAAAACTCTAGAGACTTTCTATTAAAACTATATCTAATGGATCATGTATTATATAGAACTATGAAATAAACAAAAATTTTATTTTCTTTCATCTAAAATTCTCAAAATCAGTCATTAAATTAACTAACTATATTAACAATAAGATGATTAGGAGTTACCTTTTACAACACGAGAATTCAAATTAGCGAAAAGAATCATCCAAGCGTCCGATCCGTACCGATGATTCACGCAGCTTAAATGCCTACAAAGAAGCAGCAAAAATTCATAAAGTGCTAGCTCCAACCTTTTCCGATATAAATAATATTTCTTCTCAAAAAAATCTCACTAGGGTTTACGTAATTTTGAAAGAGAGGGTTGCTGCAACTTTTGTGTTTATAGAAGAAACACACGTTTTCTTTCTAACTCGTTAAGATTAATTGTTATTATTCTCTTTTCCTAGGATGAGTTGTAATTTATGTGAGCTTTATTTAATCTTATCGACATAAAACCTAAGCCTTATCCTTTAATACTCAAGATTATCCATCTATTTAAAATACCTTACAAGCTTTTACTTAAACAACTTGACCCACACTCCTTTGGTCTAATAACTCAATAATTAATTTGTACCATCCAAATAAATTATATCAAATATTTTTAGGAAGGTCCACATTAGGAAACAATTTCCTAAGTTATCCTTAAATTTAAATTAGAAAATTGATTTTTATTTTAAGAAACTAATTTCCTAAATAGAAAACTAATTTCTATTTTAGGTAATCGATTTCCAAATTAGAAAACCGATTTTCAAATTAGAAAATTGATTTCGAAATAGGAAACTTTTTTCAAAATTTTTGCTTCTTTTTTCCATGTGAATGTTTAAACTTATGCATATGACTTAATAGGCTTCTATTAGGAACCGATTTTCAAAATAGAAAACTAATTTTCATTTTAGGTAATTGATTTTTAAATTAGGAAACTAATTTCGAAATAGGAAACTTTTTCAAAAATTTCACTTTTCTTTTTCATGTGAATGTTTAATTTTATACGTGTGAATCAATAGATTTTTAGATATGTTGGCAATGTATCAAATATATATATATATATATATATATATATATATATATATATATATATATATATATATGTGTGTGTGTGTGTGTGTGTGTGTGTGGGGTTGAGCTAGTTGGTTTCTCTGCAATCGAAGGAAGCGAGCCTATTCCATATAATCATACAAATACGTTTAGGTCATTGCACATAGCAACACTTTTTTGGGACCATTTATTTCCACCATACATATTGGTCACATTGGATCAGATTAGCTTTATACTATAAAATTCATAAGGAAATTTTCAAATTTACCACCTAATCATTGTCGTAGTCTCAATTGTACACCTCAAGTATTTTTCAAATTAATTGTATCATTGAATATTTTTTATTTCTTAATTAGACCATTTCAGTAAATATAATTAACAAAATCATTTCGATGTGATTCCCACCAAAGAAGAAAATTGGAAGGAAATTTCTTTCTCGCTATCCGTTTTTTTTACAAGGACGAGATAACATCTTTTTTTTTCGAGAGATAGATAACATGTGTGTAAAGTATTTGTTAACTCGCATAATCAAACACTTTATAAAAATATATCTTATATACTAAAAAAAAAAAATTATAACTACAATAGATATACAAGTGCGATAAACTAATGTTAGCTATAATATTGGAGAAATAACAAAAGCAAGGATCTTATCCTTATCACCTTTTGACAAATTGAGCGAGTTCTAAAAACAACGCATAACTTGGATCGAGGTACTCGAAATTGAGTTTTAGATAATGGTTTAGTGAGGATATGTCGACAATTTAATCGATTGTAGACAAGTAGCAGACCTTGAACAAGCCTTAGTGAACCTTATCACGCATAAAATGAAAATCAACTTCTATGTGCTTTAACCAAGAATGAAAAATTGGTATGTTAGTAAGATAAGTAGTTGAGACATTATCATGCCAAATTTATGGTGGTCGGCCTACAAAAATACCAATCTCCTTCGATAGAGGTTCAATCCATTCGATCTTGAAGCAGGATGTTACCAAAGCTCGGTATTCGACTTCGTGGATGAATGGGCAATAGTGCGTTATTTGCGAGAGCACCATGAAATTAGATTTTTACCAAAATAAATTGCATAACCAAATGTGCTTTTACGATCATTAATATCACCACCCCAATCGGAGACTCGTATAAGCTATAAGAGAGAAGTCATTAGATCGTTAAAATTGTAAGCAATAAGTTTTATTGCCTAAAGATAACGAAAGATTCGTTTCAAGGTAGTCCAATGAGCATCCGTAAGAAAGTGCATATATTAAGCTACCTTATTGACGTAATAGACGATGTCTAGACAAGTGATTCCAAGTTACCGTAAGCCACCCACAAGGCCGCAATACAAAGAAGGATTTGAAAATATGGTACCCCTTATTGTATGTAATTTAGTGTGAGGACAAACAATGGTGCTAAGGCTATTAGCTCGATGCATGTTAGCTTTTTGTAAGAGCTCACTAGCATATTTATATTGATGAAGGAACAAACTCGAAGCCCATCATCCAGACTTCTATCCCTAAGAAATACCAAAGCTCGCCAAGATGTTTTACAGGAAAACAAGAATGCAAGGAAAAATAAGAGAGAATATCAAATTGTCATTATTGTCAATAATAACTAAACCATTAACATAAATAATGCAAAAAATGATGTCTTATCCCGAGTATTTATAAAGGAGAGAGACATCGGTTTGGGATCCTTTGAATCCTGGAGAAATCAGCTTATCTATAAGGCACTTGAACTATTGACGAGGCATATGTTTTAAGCCATAGAGGGACTTCTTTAACTCCGCAAACATGTGTGAGTCACTATGGATCAATAAAACCCCGTAGTCGAGACATGTGAATAATTTTCTCCAATGGACCATACAAAAATGCATTTGAAATGTCCGAGTTATTCAACCTCGCCAACCTAAAAAAAAAAAAAAAAACCATAAAAAGAATTACATGCAAACCAATAAGTTTTATAACTGAGTCTGTATATGTTAATGAAATCAACTATATGATGCTAATTAAAACCTTTAGTAACCAATCATGCTTTATAATGATCAAGGGATTCATCCGAATTTGTCTTTATTTTTCATATCCATTTATTATCAATGACATTGTAAGTGGATTGACATGAAATCAACCCTATGTGTCATTGGCGAGGAGGGCTTACAATTCATTTTCATGAAAGCACGTCATTTGAGGTCGGATTTGGTATGTGAATAAAAAGATGAAGCGAGTTAGAGTAACCTTTATGGAGTAGGTGCGAGGCTTTAGATGGCTTAATTTTACATGAGTAACCATGGTATATGAAGGAGCAATAACCATGGTATATGTCTTAGCAATATTTTTGGCAAAAGATATAGGAGCATGCCTTAGAATAAAGGAATCTAATTCGGGTGAGCCATGGGTTGAAGTCGTAGTTGTTGGAGAAGGGACACTATTGTTTCCATGTAGTGATCCCGTGGCAGTGGGGTGAGAGTGTGAGTATGGGAGCTTAACATGTAGGGAAGTGTGTGATTTGGGATATGGAGGAATTACTATGATTTAGGTTGTTGGAGCTGAAAGTGTTGATGGTAGCTTAAAAGGTAGGTTGCATGTTATGAGATCCATAACAAGTGCGAGAGGAGGGTTAGTAGTTATTTATGGTTATGATATATCAATATGGTGCGAAATTAAGTTTAATGAGCCACTCGGAAGATTGATTAAGTTTGGTTGGTAATTTGAAAAATTATTTCCTAATATGGGCTCCACTAAAATACTAGATCCAATTTATTTAGATTATCCAAATTAATTGATAATTAATTAAGCTAAAAGATTTTAGGCCAAACCCAATAGGCTTAATTTAAAAGCATGTAGGATATTTTGGTGGGAGGATAAACTTGAGCCCTGTTGGATATGGCTCAATGTTTACAAAGATAAGATCAAACAAGATCACACATGTTGTAACTCCTAATCCTTGGAGAAAAAAGATGTTGCCTCCCTTATATAAATAAAGGGAGAGAGGCGACAAGGAGGGTGAAGCCATACAAACACACGATAAAAAGAAAAGAAAAGAGAAAGAAAATGTTTCTCTCCCAAAAAGCTTGAGTTATTGTATCCTTCCTTAAAAGCTTGAGTTACTATAAAAAACCTAACTGATTTCTTTATAAAGTAAATCAACTATATAGAAAGATTAAAGTTAGAACTTTATAATTTATATGGCTTCCTTTGTGGGTGTTTAAGCTGCATGGATTATTAATAAAGATCGAATGCTTAGATGGTTCCTTTTCCGTTTGATTGTTTTCTACACTACAAGAGGTAATCTTTTACTTATATTTATATTCATGTTAATGTATGATTAGTTAATTTAATTGCATGATCTTGGGAACCATAGATAGAGAATTTTTTTTTTGTTTTATTTCATATCTCTATAGGATGCATGATCCTTCATAAAATATCCTGTGAAGCTAAGTCCTTTACCAAAAATTTATCAAGTAAGAATTCAATAGAACAAGAATTATGTTTGATAAAGCTACTAACAAATAAGAGATTTTGACTACTTATAGGAACATGCAAGTTATTGTTGAGATTAAATGTATGATTACGAATTTGAAAAGGAGGAAAAATGATATAAGTAATAACAACATGTTTACCATAAGTTAATTGCACCTCCTTCGAGCCGAGTATACTACTCATTATGAATGATAAAGTTTTTCAAATACGTCTTCATGTGATGAGTAGCATCCATGTTTGGAATCCATTGAGAGTTAGGTGTGACGAGAGGTAGAATGAGTAAGGTGAAAAGAGTAAGGTGGAAAGTAGGCTAGGTGTTATGAGTAGAACGTCACGATTTGGGAGATCGGTAAACATTTACAAGATGACTACCGCCATTACAATTATAGCATACCATAAAGGAGAAATCTAAATGCACATCACGAGGGAAATGAGATCTTGAGCGAGAACCAAATAGGGAAGGACACCTACCATGACATCCTCATCCACGTAGTGAGTACCGACGGCTAACATAATGAACTAAAATAGGAATTTTAGCGATCGAACATGGTCTTAGATTTGAAACTCTTCACTAAGAGCAAGACCATAAAGAGTCTCATAAGACACAACCTCGTGACAAGATTCAATCGATAGTACAAAGGGTTCAAATGAAGCACTAAAGCCATATAGTATGGCTTGGACAAGGTCATCCGTAGGATTCAAAGAGCTAAGGAAGTGGAGGACATAAAAAATGGCGTTCCCATGCTGAAAATACTATTGGACGGATTCGAAGTCCTTTGAACAAGATGATAAAGATTACTTTTTAAGTGGTTAATCTAGGTTACGGTGTCAAAACCATAGGCGGTTGTCAATTTTAACCAAGCAACACGAGTTGTAGAGGCCCCAACAATAAGAGGCAAACACAAGATCGAACCAATAATTCAAGTTAAAACAAGTTGATCATGACGTTCTCAATTTACATATAAGGGATTGGATTCGTTATTAGCAAGTGTTAGAGCGGGGTGGAGGATGGGATCCATTAACATGGTGAAGAAGACCATGATAGTGTAAAAGAAGATGAAGTTGTATTTAGTATAAGATGAAGTTGGTGAAAGTAAGTTTGAGGATTGATGGGTTATGTAGATTAGGAAGAGGGGCTAGCACAACGGATGAAAAGGAAGTAGCAAGCAAAAGGTTATGATATGCGATTGTGAGTTTGAAAAAAAAAAATGGTATAAGGTAGATTGTTAAGTCTCTAGAGGCTATGATATCGTACAAAGTATTTATTAATTCACATAATCAAACACTTTACAAGAGTATATCTTATATACCAAGACAATTAGAAAGGATAACTTCAATAGATGTACAAGTGTAGTAAACTACTATTAGCTATAATATTGAAGAAATAACAACAATAGGGATTTTATCCTTATAAATGTGACGTGTTTTTTTTTTAAATAACAATCATAATTATTGTTTGCTCATATATCTTTTTCTCATGTCATTCTAAAAGAGGAATTTTGTTTTTTAAATATTGATACTAAACTATTTCATTAATTGTATTTAATAGAATAATCCAATTGGTCGAGAAATAATAAGTATCAAAATTTGAGAAGATAAAAAAAGTAAATGGTTAATCTATGTTAGTCAGACTGCTCTAGATTTTGGTTCGAAGGGCAAGCATAATAGATTATTCAAATGGAACATGATTTGTCCCTTACCAACTTGAGTATATAAAAAATGTTTTGGATGTATGTATAGTTGAGACTCCTCGAGAAGTTGGAGGATAAATTTAGAGTTTGCCCAAATTCCTAAACAATATGTGTACTGTTCCTTCACATTTACGGAATGAGAGTCTCCGTAACGTAATTTATGTTTCATAACTTCATTCATAGCCATCCAGACAAACCACCAAACCTTATCCTATTTAGCACATGTCAACCCATTATTCGAGCACTTGCCCTGTAACACAACTTCCAATTATTTCACTCAAACCTTGTATGGATTCGCTTAGCTCATCATCTTCTTCAAAAGCTTCTCGCGAATACATCCTTGCGAACTTCTCAATTACTAAACCTTCTTGAATCTCATAGCATATTCACAAATCAGGCTCATTAATCTTATCTTCCATTTCCACGTTTAGGCAAAAAGACTTTTTTTTTTTTTAATCACAATAAGAATAAATAAATTTAAAATTAATAAAAACTACTCTATTTCTTTGCCTTTTTACATAATTTAACAAAGTTATTAATTGTTATGTCATATGAATATTATTTATTTATATTTTCCTAAAGTATTCTTTTTCTTAAAATTATTATTTATCAAATTTAATTCTAAATTATAAAAAATTAAAAAATATTAATTTAAGAAGAAAATCCATGCAAAATTAAGATAGTAAACCAAAGAAAAAATTATTAAACTAATTCACGATCAAGTTTAAAACAATTATAGAAAAATAACATATTAATAAAAATATTTTTCTCCTGAAATTTTGATATGCAATAATGTTGTGACTAAAATAAATATTTTTCGTGTGATAAAAAATTTTTTTTTGAAATTTTTATATCAATATATTTGTATGTATAGCGAGAAAATATAAAAATATTAATTATTTTTTAGTGAAGAACTAGAACAAAAGAAAAAACTGATTTTTTTTTTTTTATCAATGAGAAATATATTTTTTTAAAATAAGTTATTTAAAGTTTTGATCAAATAAATAAAAATAAAAGGAGGAACATTTTTTATAGGACAAAGGAAGTAAATCATTATTTACAAATCAAAACAAGATTACTACTATTATTATTAAAACAATATTTCAATGCATAATAAAATAATCTAATTGCAAGGAAATATACAATTGTATTTTTTATCCCATAAAAGATAAATAGGAATTGAATAAAGGAAGAAGGAGAGGGAACACGATAGATCATTAGAAACTTAAAACTACTGATCCCAGAAACCCTGAGTATATAATATTTTTCAAACTCCTGGTATTGTCACCAGGGTGTAATCATCAAGTAAGAAATCCACAATATATTTGATAAAAACTAAGTTGACTTTGACGACTTGATTCATAGTTTTCTATACAAATTAAAATTTTATAAAATAGATGATTATAAAAGTAAAATATGCTTTGCATGCTATTCATTCTTGTACTACTTTATTACTCATATTTTTAGAAAAATATAAAAAATACATTTTCCTTTTCTTAAATAATATATAAATTTTCTTTATTTTTAATCCAAATCATGACAAGAAAGATGAAGTTTAAGTTCATCATTGTTTAAATTTTCTCCTTACATTTAATTTTTATTAGCTATAAAGAGTGAGAGTAAATTATAAATAAGTTCTTCTAGTGTTGTAAAATGAATTAAACAGTATCTTTAGTTTAAAAACTAATTAATTGGTCCATCATTAGTGTTGACCATGCACAATTTATTATTACTTTATTCCAATGAATGTTTACTTTTTTAAATTAATCTTTCTACGCTATATATTTCTTTTTTTCTTTCTTTTTTCTATTTCTTAAAATAAAATAAATTGAAAAATAATACAAAATAGCCAAAAAATAATCAAGCTACAAATAAATTTAAAAACATCAAAACTAATTAATTAATTTTTAAAAGTAGAGATATTATTTAATTTTTTTACAAAACTAGAGGGACTAGTTTATAATTTACTCTAGAATGTATTGTAGCATTCATTCACAAAGAATCATAACTCTTTTTATAAATATATTGGAGCTTAAATCTTTGGATGAGTTTTACTCTATTTGTAAATTATAAATTAGTTTCTTAAGTTTCAACAAACGAATTATTTTATTTCAAAAATTAATCGTTTAGCTTTTTATTTTTTAATTTAGTTAATAATTTAGTTATTTTATTAATTTTTTGTTAAATTAGTTTTTTTTTCCTCAAATTTTCCTTCATTTAATATTTTATTTTTTTCCTTCAACCATTATTTTTCTCTCTTCTCAACCCCAAAAAAAAAAATAATAATAAATAAATAAATAAACAATTTGAAAATAAAAATCATTAATTTAATAAAAAACGGATTAAAAAAATTAAGTTATTGACGAAATTAAAACATAAAAGACTAAATAATTAATTTTTTAAAAGAAAAAAATTAATTAAATCATTTCTCTAAAGGAGATGGACTAATTTATAATTTACTCATTAAAATGTACCAAATAAATAAATAAGAGTGGCGTGGTTTAAGGGCGAGTGAGGGCATGCACGAGTTCAACTGTTTTTTGAGCGCTGGATAGGCTGCTGCACCTAACGGTCTTTTGAATGTTTGTTGGTTGAAGTTTGAGAAACAGAGAAGAAGGATAAGTGAAAGAAGGTAGTGTATCGATCTCAATCTCAGTCTCAGTCTCTTGCCTTCTCCATTGATCTTAGCTAGCTATCACACTGCTTATGTCCATCACTAATTTGCACTTATGGGATTTCCCAAATTCTTCTCATTCCTCTCTGCAAGTTATCAAAACGGCATCCCTTCTTCCTACAGTCCTCCTCCTATTCAAGAAAGTCTCATCAAGCATCCGACGTTCCCCAAATCTGTCTTTAACTACTTGAGACGCCTTATAGTATCTGGAAGTAAGTAGTAGTTAGTGACCAAGTTTGATTAATTTGACGCAAATATTGATTTATTTAATTAATGAAAGTGCAGATAAATTTGATGGGGGCCTGAGGTCGGAGGAAGAAGAGAAGGTGTATTCTTGGTTATATGCCTTGGCACAATCGGATAAAGATTTGATCTATGAGTACGTTCGGTCCACCGAAAGGGGTGAGTATTTGAGGCTGTGTTGTATCTTATTGGTAAATTATAGACTGAACTGGTGAGGGATCGGATATATATAGATCGAGATAGCGAGAAGAATTGCATGTGGAATCCTTCTTAATCATCTGTGTTGTATTCTTTTGTGCAGGCTTGAGCTTCACTGAAGCTGCGAGGAGGTTGAAAGAAAATGGTCCAAATCTTCCTCTTGAATATACTTTTCCAAGTTGGTGGCATCTTCTGTGGAATGCCTTCTTCCACCCTTTCAACATTATTTTGATTGTACTGTCTGCACTCTCCTACGTAGCCAGTGATAGTTCAAACGGATGCATTATGCTCGCATTGGTTTTTATTAGTGTCTCCCTTCGATTCTACCAGGTACTTTCTGGTTGATTACCGTTCTGTAGAACAAACACTTCTCTAGTGATTCAAAATTCCTATTCACAAATTTTCATTTTATTTCAGGAATACACCAGCTCAAAAGCTGCCATGAAACTCTCTGAGTTTGTTAGATGTCCGGTTAAAGTTCAAAGGTGTGCTGGTAGGGTTGTTCAGACAGAGTTGATAGTTCAAGTTGATCAAAGAGATATTGTTCCTGGGGACATTGTTATTTTTGAACCTGGAGACCTTTTTCCTGGGGATGTTAGACTAATATCTTCGAAGAACCTTGCGGTGAGGTATAGAACCTCTAGAACTTTTCCTGTTTTTTCATTGGCCTTTCTAATTTTATCTTTCACACCATTCCTTCATCTTCTGCTTGAGCTGATTATAGAACAAATTATCTCATCCTGCTCTTCTGAACAGTCAGTCCTCATTAACAGGGGAGTCCTGGATAACCGAAAAAACAGCAGATGCTAAAGAAGATCGGAGAACTCCTTTGCTAGAGCTGAAGAATATTTGCTTCATGGTACGTAAGATTTATTCTCGGTGTTGCTCTATTTGTTGTCAAATTCAGATTCCTATCTCGACAAGGTGAATGATAGAATCGTATCCAGAACTAATCATTTCTGAGAGTACTTATATGCAGGAGTTGGGAAATACAAGAGTTAGGGAATATATGATTTCATTTTTAGTGTCAGGGGATGGCATTGCGTGCAATCCTACTGAAATGGGACTGAAATTTGTGACCTCAAAAGGACAATATTTCAAGGAATTTTGAAACATTTGCGTTGTTCATAATCTGTAGAACTCATGTTTTTTCTCCACTCGGTGTAATGGAAAACTCAAATACTGTTAGGACTAGCAGAGAAAACCAAAGAGGAAAAAAGGGTTTCGAACCTTTATGGTGGTTTTCAGTAGGATTGATTCACAGGCTATGTATGGATTGGATTTAAATGTGCGTGTATGGTACTGAGAAATTAAACATGTACGTACTGGGCTAATCTGATACATTAATTTCAGGGAACAAATATTGTATCAGGTACCGGAAAGGGTTTAGTTGTTTCGACTGGATCCAAGACTTACATGAGCACCATGTTTTCGAGTATCGGAAAGCAAAAACCAGCAGATGGCTTCAGCGACGGCATCCGATGCATATCCTTCGTGCTTATTGGCGTAATGCTGGTGGTGATGGCAATCATAGTACCGACTGATTACCTGAAAACTCACAATATGAGTGAGAGTTTTCTTTTCGGACTCTCGGTTGCATGTGCACTCACTCCGAATATGCTTCCCCTTATTGTTAACACAAGTCTTGCCAAAGGAGCACTTGTCATGGCCAGAGACAGATGCATCGTCAAAAGCTTAGCTGCTATACGAGATATGGGATCCATGTAAGTTCATATGGTCATCTGTGCTTCAAATTTCCAAATTAGGTTTATCAATTCATTCTCTTAGTCAGCATGTATATGATTACTTGTTTACATAGGGATATCCTATGCATCGACAAGACCGGTACACTCACCATGAACCATGCAATCCCTGTTGATCATCTGGACAGTTGGGGTTCCTCCAAAGAAAAGGTTTTACGCTTTGCCTTCCTTAATTCATACTTCAAGACTGATCAAAAATACCCTCTAGATGATGCAATTTTGGCATATGTGTACACAAGTGGATACAGATTCCAGCCATCCAAGTGGACTAAAATAGATGAAATTCCTTTCGATTTTATCCGAAGAAGAGTATCGGTTATCTTGGAAACTGAATCGAGTGCTGCCCGAGGCAGAAATAGCCAAACCTTTGATAGATTCATGGTAACAAAGGGAGCGTTGGAAGAAGTAATGAAAGTTTGTTCTTTTATAGACAATGCTGATGGGGGTGAAATTCTGATTTTCTCTTCAGAGGACTATCAGAGGATTCTGAATATGGGAGAAGAATTAAGCAACCGGGGACTAAGGACAATAGGAGTCGCAATAAAAAGGCTACAAATGGTGTGTCTCAATCTCAATCTCTCTTTTCTTGTCAGGATCAATATTTTGCATACATCAAAGTCTTGACATCGTTCTTCTTCCTCGGCACACAGACTCAGGCTAAAAATATTGCTTACAAGACAAGTAATCACATCCAAATCCAATCATCTAGCTTATCAGCCATCTCATGAGAAATAACCTTGATATGTTTTTTTGTGTAATATTGCAGCAAGGAAGTCATCCGAACATGGCCAATGAGGAGAATAATGAATCAGACATGGTCTTCCTTGGGGTAATAACGTTCTTCGACCCACCAAAGGACTCAGCAAAGCAGGCTCTGTGGAGGCTAGCTGAGAAGGGAGTAAAAGCAAAGGTATTAACAGGGGACTCGCTATCTCTGGCGATAAGGATTTGTGAAGAACTTGGCATCAGAACCGCCCATGTAACAACAGGACCAGAACTTGAGCTGCTAAATCAGGATGCCTTTCATGATACTGTTAAAAGAGCGACGGTACTTGCTCGGTTAACCCCTACTCAGAAACTCAGGGTAGTGCAATCCTTGCAGACTGTTGGTGGACATGTTGTTGGATTCCTGGGGGATGGAATTAACGACTCACTTGCAATAGATGCTGCCAACGTAGGCATATCGGTTGACTCAGGTGCATCAGTTGCAAAAGACTTGGCAGACATCATCTTGCTTGAGAAAGATCTGAATGTTCTTGTTGCCGGCGTTGAGAACGGTCGCCTCACTTACGGTAACACCATGAAGTACGTTAAGATGTCTGTTGTTGCCAACATAGGGAGTGTGCTCTCACTCCTCTTAGCAACTCTGTTTCTGGAATTTGAGCCATTGACTCCAAGGCAGCTCCTTACACAAACCTTCATCTATAGCGTGGGTCAAATCGCAATCCCATGGGACAAGATGGAAGAAGATTATGTGAAGACCCCTCAGAATTGGTCTGAGAAAGGTTTGCCCATCTTCACCTTATGGAACTGCCCTGTGTGTACTCTCTGTGATCTGGCAAACCTTCTCTTCCTGTGGTGCTATTACGAAGGTTACAACAAGGTGTATGTCCAGTTCTTCCATTCTGCTTGGTTTATAGAAGGCCTTCTCATGCAGACCCTAATTTTCCACTTAATCCGAACAGAGAAAATCCCTTTTATTCAGGAGATATCCTCGTGGCCTGTACTCTGTTCAACTGTTGTGATCTCTGCCATTGGAATAGCAATTCCTCTCACACCAATCGGAGAAATCATGGGTTTCACTAAATTGCCATTATCATATTTTGGATTTTTGGTTGTGCTTTTTCTAGGGTATTTTACGGTTGGCCAAGTGGTCAAGAGACTGTATATTTTGATGTACAAAAAATGGTTGTAGGGAAGAGCAGAAGAGAATATTATTCAGAATTACTGTAACACTTTGTAGCTTCTATGCTTTTTTTACAGGATCATTCACATTTACTCTGGAAACTCTTCAGTCTCAAAGTATTATTCACCTTTCAAATTGGCATAACAAATGAATGAATGAATGTTGGAAAACAGCAGACATCTGGGAAAAACTGAACAACAGAAAAATGGTCGCCTGTAGATCTTCCTCCTTTGACTCTTCTTTTATCCATTATCGTATAGAAAGCAGAAAGATCCAGGCAGGGATCAATCCAAGCAATACTAACTTGTCAAAAATTTGCCTGGTAGTTGAATCATCTGCACCAAATAGTTCACATGCTGTCAGGCATGAATTGTACTCAAGATCGGTGCGCCTGTATGCTCGTGCATGCAAGGGCAGAACAGAGGTATGTCATTCTTCTATCTATAAAATGAGAAAATGAGATAAAACAAAAAACAAAAATGAACTAATAATGGATGTTACCCAGTTGGAGATAATTGTTTCTAATGTTCCACTCAAAATCCCAGTGCTTTCTGTCATTTTTGAGAGTCCAATACGCCCATCCAAAGGAAGCTGCATCATAAACCTCAAGTTGCGCCCTACCAAAATCTTGATAATCTGTCTGAGATCCATTTGTCACGTTCCACTCATTCACCCATTCCCCTGAAACCAACACAATTCAAAATCACCTCTTAGGTTCCAAAATTCAAATGTGTCATTTGGGTTTGATTAAAAAAAAAAAAAAAAAAAAAAAAAAAAAAAAACAGTGACTTAAATAAATGCCAATTTGATTCTTAACTAGGTTTCATATTTATACCCGACTCAGAAATTCATTGACACTGTTTTTTCTTTTGTTTCTTACTACAAGGGAAACAGGATGGAGATCTTGCCTTACCAACAAAAACGAGTGGACCATTTGCACTGTTTAGAGCCTGTAATTGAGCTCCCCTGCTCTTATATAGAAATTCTATGTTATCCTTACTGCTCATATTAGCAAAGTAAGTATCAAAAAGATTGTAAAAATGCAAATCCACAACTAAATTATGCGAGCTTATATTCGCCTGGTAAAGTTCCATTGGATCTGCATTGCCAATTCTTTGGCAGATTATTACATAAGCTTTAGAGGAGTATTTTCGAACAATTTCATAGCCTTGTTTGTAATATGGAACTAAAATTTCCAGGGGAACAGAGAAGGCAGATGGTTCATTTAAAAGCTCAATTCCCAGCAAAGCAGGATGTCTTGCATATCTGCAATTCAAATCAATCATAGTGAGGTGTTTCATTTAGATGAAGAACTTACATGATAGTATGCTCATGCAGGATACGTAGAGAAAGAGGAATTCGGATAACCAATCAAAGCACAAACTGCATGACACACAGACATCAAACAGTTATAATTTATGTTATATCTTGTATGCGTAGGATTAATTATGGATTAATGCAAGAAATCACAATCAATTCCTATATTTAATGGGATGAAATCAGAGACAACTCAACTTGTTTTGTGTGCTTGTTAATTATTTGGCTGAATGGATTAATGCAAGAAATCATAATCTATTCCTATATTTAATGGGACAAATCAAAGACAACTCTACTTGTGTTGTGTGCTTGTTAATTATTTCACTGAAGGCAATTTGAAAGAAATAATAATAATATTAATAAATTATGGTGGTTTGAATACAAAAGGGATGTATTGCACACTTGCCTTTATTCAGTCTTCCCTTAATTGACATCAATATTATGATTAAAAAAAATTGATTATAATTGGAGAATAAGAGTTCTTCAGGAACAAAGTGAGCCAAGTTCAGTCATATCGTAGAGGATGTGTTGCACAAAAGATTTAGCAAGGGGTGTGTGAATGATAGATTCATGTTTGGAAAGCTAGCTTTTGTTCAATTTAAATCTCAAAGATATGCTGCTTGCCAGCTCTAGCTAGAGTTCAGATTCACGGTACCTGTGTTTATGGATATTCAATGCAAATACTTCCCTAAGTTCAAATGGACTACAATAACATGTTCTTTGTTGAGACTATCTCCCATCAAACTCTTTCGAAAATTTATGAAGTCACTACAGACCCAAATGTAGCGACATATTTATTTAGACCAAATAAAGAAGAAGGAAGAAGTAACTGAAAGGACAGAAGGGGATCTTATTAAACGAAATGAAGCATGTAGCAGAAAGGGTGAAATCTGTCATGACATTCAAGAGGAAGCAAGATAACAAGCTTGTGAAGAAAAGCACGAAATAATGCAACTCGTAACTTCAATTTAGTAACACTACAAGAGGAATGGCAGCAAAACTGATGCATATTGTAAAATGAGTTGATGGATGCAAATGATAATGATATCATAGCAAGCTTGTCAGAGAACATTGAGATTGTTATGGAACAGCATGCGCACCATTTCGAGAATAAAGAAGTTGAAACAACTGATCTTGTACAAACAACTTTTGAACAAACAAATTGAAGATTCCAACATTCAAGAGTCTAAAGAAGAAGTCAATTACATTGACTTCATCATTCCCTCTAAATTCAGCATTATAATTGAGAAGATATCATATTGCCTACATTGTTATCACCATTGAAGAAGATTAAAAGGTATCGATCACATAAATGTTACTTCTAGTTGTGGATGTCATTGAAGTTCATGCACTGTTTGCTACTTCAGCACTTCTAAACTCATGGCCAAGGAAACCAGGGAACAATGATGGGGAATGAAGTAAAAAACAATAGGAATAGTATGTTAATGTTGTATGATTATTCAAGATTTTTTGTGTTCCTAAGGATTATTAGTATTCACTGTTTAATAGCTAAAATTGAAAAATAGTTTATTTCTTAGTAGGTTTTTCTATTCTTATTTAGCAGGTTTTTCTAACTTCCATTAGGACTTAATGTTCCTATTTCAATTTGGCACGGTGCCTCTAAATAGGCACCCTAGTTAAACATTCAATGTTATTATTATTATTATATATAAAAGTTAAAAAAAAAAAGTTAAACATTAAATTTTCTGATGATTTGAATATTGATTGATCAAATAAATTGTGTTTTTTTTCAGAGAAATGGTTCCCTTGAGTGTTCATTCTTGTATGCATCAATTGGTCTGCATTGCATTGACACCTGCTCTCTCAAATAAATACTATGCTATGCTTGTGGCAACATCCCCTCCGTGGGATACAATAATTCATCTATCATCCTCGAGCTCTAGGTATGATTTGCATCCCCCCCACAAACCCAATAACCAAGAATCTGCACTTACTTTTGTCTTTGGATGAGTAAATTTGAATGACTTCAACTCATAAACCCCAATGATATTCACGTTGCTTAGCTGTACAGACTAAGCAGACCAATTTATGTGCTGCATAGATGCAAGCTATTTATGGACATTGCCCCCCAACAGTCCAGCAGTCATGAAAAGGTTCTTTTAATTGATATTTTTAATGCTTGTGCAATTGATTACCTACTAGGAAGTGGAAATATAAAGAACAGCGTGTCTGGAAACATACCTTGAAGCTAAAAATTCAATAACATCCAATGTCTTTGAGACATAATCTAGAGAGGTAGGCCAGCCTGCTGTACCATCTCTACTAGCGCTATGCTCCATCCCATTTTGAGAGCCAGGAGCAGCATGAAGGTCAATTATACATTTTATATTATAGGCTCTGCAACACAGTTTTCAGGTACATATTAGACAGAAATGGGTTCAAATTGCTAATCTTACAAACAGAAAATAGAGAAAAGCTACACCTACTGTGCCCATGAGAATGCATTATCTAGAGCTTCCAAACATCCCCCAATAAAAGGAGCAGGAGGATTGGGATCGAAAGCAACCCACCAGCCAACAGGAATCCTCACAGTATTTATCCCATGTCTATATAGAAAATTGAAATCATCCATAGTAATAAAACTATTTCTGTGTTTCTGCAGTTCCAAAAGAAAAGACTACTAAATAAACAAAATAGAAACCTGATGACACTATCAATTAGTCTCCATTACTTATCATTGCCAAAACTTTTAGTTTAAACACACAGACAGACAGACACTGTGAGACAATTATCTGTTCCATGTATAATTGCTTATCATCACCAAAAGAAGAAAAAAACGAATTATACAATGAGATAGAAAGAAACTACTTACCTTCAGAACCTCTTTGGCCTGATGATTTCCATATCCATTTGCAAGCTGGTAATCTCCATGCAAGTTATTTGCCACAATCGTCATTTCGAATGTGGCTGCATTATCATCCCATCCTGGTTTCCCTGGATAGTCTGCTGTCAGCAGATTCCCTATTGTAACCTAAAAAAGAAATATATGCTATCACAAAATAGCATTAAAACATTCATTTATTGAGGCAATTGAACACAGAAATCTGGAATTTCATTTAACTTCATCCTTTCGCACATTCATAATTGGCATAATAGACACGAATAAGGTGGTTATGTGATCGTATATTGTAGGAGTGATGCTAAACGTTGAGAAAAAACAAGAAGAAAAATTTCAAGAATACATGAGCCATTAGATTAGTGGGAAACACCATTGGGTCCCCATTAAACGACATGATCTAATGGCTCACAACCTTCCTGAAGTTTTTTTTCTAGTTGTTTTTTCTTATAATTTGTCATGTCTCATAGTATAGCTGTGCTGATGACTGATAGACAGAGAAATCAACAGCTCCTCTCATGGACGCTACACATGCATGTGCAAGTAAACACTCACATAAAAAATGAGTAGGTAAAAGCCTTCTCCAGAGAGAGACAAAAACTGCAAAGTGAAAACTATCCATTTCAGTGCAACTGATCGAGAAAGCGAGAATTTCTGTCTTTCAATTTCTTTCCTGAAATCAGAAGTAATGTGAGAAATTATACCTGCAGATAAGCTCCAGTAGTAAGTTTTATGTGAACTTGACTGTTGTTACTATTCCTTTCAATATAAAACATTTTCCCTTCTGAAGGTGAGTTTACTGTGGCAGAAATGGGGCACCCTTCACCATCACATGTTAGAAAATGGCCTTGCGAGGTGCAAAGCTGAAATTCTGATGCAGAAACTCTCCACAACTGCAGGCATAGCCTCCACATGAGAAAAGGTTAATGCTTCAAAAGCATCATGTATTGATCTGCAAGCTTAACATCAGAATATGAACTTAAACTAGATAAATAAAAGTGAGATTGCACAAGAAACCACAATCAGTTGTGCACAGATGGCATGAAACTTAAGAACTTCAAGGGTCTAAAAATACAAATCACGAAACCAGTAAATTGCTATAATGCCTAGTTACACTCTCCATTCAGTGGATTTGATACAATGCAAGGAAAAGAAAAGGCATGCCCATGCTCAACGATATACCACTCAATAAAGTTTATGAGAGAAAATTTTAACAATTGCAACGGTAACTCCTAATGAAATAGCCATAAACTCTCTTTGTGATTTATAAAAGCTGATCTCGGCATGCTTTATTTCTTTAGAAATACTAGAAATTTCTTGTTTCCATTGCTAATAAAATGAAGAGGTGTTCACTAGATGTACAGAGCAAAGTTATCCATAAAAGCAAGCATAAAAAATCTGGTTGAGCATTTCACCTTGAAGGTTTCCCACGAAAAAGCAACATCTCTGTCCACTGTAACACCCATACCACCCCCATCCTCTGCACTCACATACTTTTGCGATGACACTGACTTAAAATGAACCTCAGTACCATCCTATATTCAACCAATTGCCAAAGAGATACGTTGAAAAGCAACCCAGAAAAAAATATATATAGTAGATATAAAAAGCCAAAATTTTGAAAAGGAGCTCACGAGCATGTCTCCGTTGGGAATACCATCAAAGAGTGATGGCTTAATCCAACCTTCAATCACCAGCCAACCTCCCAAGTTCACTCCCCGAACTTTAGAATCGCCTCTTAGTCCCTCCACTTTTATCAAGAAACAAACAATAGTAAAGGAACTGAGAAGATAAAATAATTCAACAGAAGCAAGCTACAGCAGCTCATCTTATGCAAAAACAAACTCACCTGAGTATGCTCCGGAAAATAACACCCAATAAGGAAGTGCAAAGGCAAAAACCCATTTGCTAAAAACAAGTTCCATTAAGAAAGGAATGCAGGCCGCTCCAGACCAGAATCAATAAGGCCAAAAAATATAGTGCCCATTTGGTCTGGAAGATGAAAAGAATAACTCTCTTAAGAGAATCTTAGTTATCCCTTCCTTACCACTCAATCAATACCAAATTCAGCCTTGTAAACAAACATAATGCAAAATATAAAGAAAGGAGGGAAAGGGGAGGAGGGAGGATGAAGGAGAAAGGAATCTCTGACAAGCTTCAATCCGTACATATAATCCAACAACATTGTATGCATGTATGTTACTACTGAAATCAGGGCAAAAATTGGAAAAAAATAAAAGAAAAGAGGGCAAATAAAAAAAATCATGGTAGAGATTGAAAGGAATTAAGAGAAAAAGGGATGATAAAGAAGAAATCAAAACAAAAATTGAAAAGAATAAAAAGAAAGAGGACTAAAATAATAAGAAAAATAGAAAATAAAGAAAAAGAAAAATACAGGGTTATAATTGAAACAAATTAAAAAGAATGAGAATCAAATAAGAGAAATTTAAGTGGTGTAATTGAAAGAGAAAGACTTCAAAGACCAAAATTAAAAAGACAGATTTTTTAAGACCAACTTAAAGGTTTGATAAGTGAAAAAAGGCTGAAACGGCACAACTTCAATCTTTTTCGCATGGTCTTTCTCCTTCATTATTCGGCTGGATTTTCTTCTCTCTATTTTTAATCTTGCTTACCCGTTCCTATATGCTGGACTTCAAATCTGGCAAAAATATATATATTCACACACACAACGAATGATCCCTTAAACCGGCCTTAATCCTTGCTCTAAGATCATGTCACAGCCAATCCTTGCATGAAATAACTGGAGAGAAAGCTGAAAATCCTCCTCAATTTGACGCCATCAATGTAGGTAAAGATCCTCTCTTGAACACTATATTAAAAGCAAGAACTAAAGCAGAAAGGACACAGCAAAACACTAAAAATAGAGCTAAAAAATCTAAGAAGAGAAGAAAGAAAGGAGGGGTAGAAAGCAGAGAAAAAGAGAGAGGAAGAAGGAAAAATAGATAGAAAGCTTGCTGGGGAGTTGGTAAACAAGAAAAAGAAGAGAAATCAAAGAGAAAAACAAAGATATGAGGTTAAATTCTCCTGTTTAATATGAATGATATATTGTGAGGTTTATGAACATTCATGTGCATATACATGTTTCATATATTGACTCCGATAAAATAAAATGTTTTAGATAAATAAACAAAGTGTGTACGTAAATGATTTTTTACAATAAAAAAAAATATTTTGAATGTATATCAAGATTTTAATTTTAAGAATAAAAGTTAATTGTTGAGATTAGGTTTAAAATGTTGAAGTTGGCTATTAAAGTTTGAGGTTTAAAGGGTGAGACTTGATTGTCAAATATTAAGATTAATGTAATTGTATATTTTCATTGAACCTAGACTATGTTAGCCTAGTGGCGAAAGTTAGGCAACTCATTGACGAAGGAAAAGTCAAATTTAAGGACTGTGATGCACTAAATTGGCATCTTCCATCAAAGTCAAATAAGAAAAAGAATTTTAAAATTAATATATTGATGTAATGAAAGTTTTTTATGTAAAATTATATATAATGTACTTATTGGAATATTCATATTTCACGTTCATTATGTAATGTAAACATCAATGCAAACATTGAGGATGTTGATATTGTTAATGGTGACTAGCAACTCATGTGTTTATCCTTGAATGTTTATAAATGAGTAATGAATGAGTCATGATTTGATGAATGGATATGGAATTATGTATGATTCTTTAAAATTTATGAATAGTAATTGTAAGAATGTTAAGTTTCCGGATGTTAAATTATTGCTTAATAACCGAGTAAGAATAATAAGTTGAAGTTATCTATGAATATTGACCGATAATAAAAGATATTTTTAAAATTTAATGATGAATTTTGGTAATAATGATGAAATAGAGTACAAATGAAATTTTAATAAAATACTTCCACTATGTTAATGAGATGATTATATGGTTATATTATTGATGGCATGTTTTAATTGAACCTTAAAGTTTGTAATCCAGTGGTATTAATCTCTTGCAACAAGAGGTCATAAGTTCAAATTCTAACGGACTAGTTTTACAAATAACATTAGGAGTGTGAGTAAAAAAAAAAAAGATAATTTTTTAATTAATATTTTTAATGATGAATAAAATTAAATTATGAACAAAGTTTAAGTGTAATAAAAGAATATAGGCTTTAGTAGCAACTTGTCCGATCCCGACCCTTCAAGCAAGGCATCTCAAGTGACGGACATTACATTTTCAATAATAATTGGATCATTATTTATGTTTTGATTATCTAATTTATTTATTTTCTTAAATTAGATAATCAATCGAATTACAATTGATACCTATTACTTTCAATCGAGTAACAACTTTTGTTTATATAGTTATTATTAAGTATCTTTATCTAGCAAAACCAAAAACTTCTATAATTAATAACATACAAAATATCGATGATAAATTTAACTAAAAATTGATTTATAATTCCAATGATTTTTCATTTTTGTGATTACCAATCTTTAGAGATTAAATGTGTGTATTTTGTTCCATCCATATATATATATATATTCACCTATTGAATTCACCTAAATAATGTTTGATATGATTTTATGTGCTTTATTATTCATATACATTTTTCCAAATTTTGGAGAAAAGGCAACATACATACATACATATATATATATATATATATATATATTGCTAAGTGATAGAAAGGATCTAAACTATATCTTTACATAAGAATTTTGCTATAGTTGATGTGAAAAAATTGCATATTATTGATGCTTTAGAAAATAAAAAAATAATAAAATAATAAAAGAAACAAAATTATAATCATCCAATCCAATGCAAAGCAAGGATTGGTACCCAGTAGTAAAGAGAGGGAGTGCATTATCCTACAAGAACCTTTCAGAGAGTCAAACTAGCTAGTCGTTGTTTCTCTTTTTCCTCATCAAGTTCCATATTGTCTTTCACACGCTCAATTTTTTCCACAATTTCCGATTCCTTCTTATTCTTTTCAGCCTTGGCTTTTTCCTCATTTTCTATCTTTCTTTCTTTGAGAAATTCAATTAGCTTATTAAGGACGGTCTCATCAACCTCATCACTCCTCATAAGCTGTTCTGCCACTTCTGCTGGGGTCACTTCTGTTGTTTTAATTAGCTCCTCAATCTCTCCAAATAAAACATCGTCTTTAATTCCAAGGTAATTATCAGCAAGAAGTTTAAATCCACATGGAGTGCAATAAGACATGTGAAGATGAACATCCATGCGTCCTGGCCTCAGCAATGCTGGGTCTAGCTTTTCTTTGTGATTTGTTGTGAACACTATAATTCTCTCATCCCCGCAGCTAGACCATAATCCGTCAATAAAATTTAGCAATCCTGACAATGTTACCTGCAAGAAAATTCAGAGTAAATTATAAATTAGTCTCCTTCATTTCGAGAAACAAATTAATTAGCTTTTTTCGCTGTAAAAAACTAATTATTATTTTTTTACGTTTTATTAGTCTCTATTATTTCGGAAAAACAAATTAATTAGCTTTTTTCGACGTAAAAAACTAATTACTCTTCTTAGTTTTTGTTAGATTAGCGATTAATTTGTTTCAAAAAACAAATCAATTAGCTATTTATGTTTTAATTTTGTCGATAACTGAATTTTTTTTATTAGTTTTTCGTTAGATTAGTGATTTTTTCATAAAATTACTCTTCTTTTGATTTCTATTTTTTCTCTTTTTCTTCTTAATTATAAATTAGTCGCTTTAGTTTTGAAAAAAAATTATAATAATTAAATAGTCTTTTTAGTTTTAAAAACTAATTAATTAGTTAATTTTATAATCATTTACGAAACACAATAAATCATGCTCTCCATTATTTAAAAAAAAAACCAGTAAATATAATGACTTCTGGCATAAACAAAAAATACATAGAACAATATACACCAACCATGAAAAAAGATACCCAACCTGGTTGGTGTAGTTATAAATTGAATAAAAGATTAATTTGCTTAAATTCATAAAAAGGAAAAAAAATACTCTAGGGAAATTAAGTTGACAAAGAAAAAAATTAGTAAAATCTGAAGCCTGACCTGTTTTTGTGGAGGCTGACCGAGAGGTTGGGCATCGATTTCTTCGGCCATTCGATTCTGCAATTCAATGGTACAATCTATATCCTCCACCACCAATATTGACCGATTTGCAGTGGCCAGAAGCAACTTCTTGAGGTTAGAGTTGCATCTCACCTCAGTCAACTCCAAGTCATAGATATTAAAATTCAGATAATTCGCCATTGCAGCAATCAAGCTAGATTTACCAGTCCCTGGTGGTCCATACAACAGATACCCTCTTTTCCAAGCCTTGCCAACTTTCCTGTAATAATCTTTCCTCTTAACAAACCTTTCAAGATCTTTCAGGATTGTATCTTTAACTTCTGTGTCCAAAGCAAGTGTATCAAATGTTGCAGGATGGTCAAGATTCACTGGTATCCATGCATCTGCTAAATTTCCATACAATTGCTCAGGATCAAATGTGAAAATCTTCAGTTGCTTCGTCTCTTGCACCATGGATTTTGCTTCTTTGACAATGTAAGGAAGATAAGTTTCAAGAGCCATTTCTTTGTGTTCCTTAGGGAAACTGACTTCAAAAGACCTCACTTCCGATCTTGATGTAGGGCCATGATCAAAAGAGTTGTAGTTTTTTGAGTCAACATAGGAACAAACAAGAACCCACTTGAATTTAACATCTTGAAAGATATCTACTATTTCTTCATTGCGGTCCACTTTCACAAGGATGTTTTCTTTCTCGGGTTTGCTTACTTTGATTCTTTGTGTCGATGGAGACATTTTGCTGCCCAAATAAATCTCCGCTGCCTTGTATATTTCGTTGGAAACGTATCCATCATACTCATCAATGACCATAGTGAGTTCGGATGAGAAACGCCCAAAGAAATTGCGAATTTTATAGAAAAAGTATGCTTGGAATTCATGGGGCAGGAAGTCTTGAGCTATTGATCTAGCAAGCATTGCCGAAGCCGCGACAGAGGCTGCGGTGGATAGAACCATCTTTGCGGTGGCAAGTTTGGTTTCTGCGGATGAAGAGACGTCCATGATGTTATTATGGGTACTGTTGAAGCTTCTGGGAATCTGAAATTTGATTTTGTAGATTTTGATCAGTGTGGTTTCAGTGGTCTTTGGTTCTCTTATATGAGAACCTTGCTAGTAATCAAAACGTAATGAGGAAAACTGCCAAGGATGGAAAGATGGAGGATAGACTATACAGAGGAGTATGAGCCGGTGATGACTTCTGATAAAAAATTACAAATTCATGGAACCATCCTAGGTTCTTCCTTATACACGGAAAACTGACATGGAAGGAAAGACGTGGGAGAATCTATACAGAGGTGTATGAGCCCGTGTGAACTGATGACTTCTGCTAAAAAATGACCAACTCATGGGAACCATCCTTGGTTCTTGTTTTCAATATTCCAAGGCCATCCATATTTGACTCCAAGCATTGACTTGTAAAATTGTATTAAAATAAATTTACAGAACTTACAACTTACAAGGAAAACTTACTCCCAACTATTATTTGTCCCTTAACTACTAATTTTCTCAATTGGCCACACATTTTTTATCCTTTCCTCAATTGAGTTTCTCCATTATTGATGTGGACCAATGCGCTTTCAAATTCATAAAAGGGTATAAACGCGACAAAAGTTAAAGAAAAACAGTCTATTCAATTCTTAGGTTTTATTTTTACCTAATTCAATGCTAGACGGGTCAACAAGCAAAACTCATTGGCTATGCTTATGACTTAGAAGTGATTTTGAAAAAAAAAAAAAAAAAAAAACTCTTTAGGTCCTCAAAATTGACTTTTACTGTTTTTTGAATTTTTTTATTTTGGTATTTATTTCCCTTTTGAGTTGGTTTAGGGTTTTGTAGTTTTTTTTTCCTATTTATATATGACTTGAGGCGAGAAAAACATCACTTTTTCTTTGCTAATAAAGTTTTATGAGAGAGTATCTTAGTTTTCTACTAATTTTTTGCATTCCCTGAATCAACGAAATTGAAGCATACTTCCCGATATTTTTGTGCAAATAAACAAATTATCATAGATCAATATCTAAAATTTATATACGAGTTTCTAGATCAACGGTATTTATTTTCTTCTTGTGAGCCTCTGCTAATCAATTAATATTCGGAAATGAATGTTGTCTAAATTTGTTAAATATTATGCATGTGTTTATCATGTGTCTCACATATCCTAATTTAGAAGGATTATATTAAGAATTATTAATAGTTTGAGATTTTATTTTGGGTAAAAATTCTTTTATTTTTTTTCTTGAGGTTTTATCATTTAAAATTTTCTACCTTCTGGTGGAGAAACGATGGGAGAGGCTTTGTTTTTTAAATTTTGTTTCTACTAATTCTCCATTTCTAGAAGAAATTTGGTTTTTTTTTTTTCAATATAAACGATCTAAAACCGTTTTCTGGATAAACTTATCTATTTTTTTTTAAAAAAAATTCTTCTATATTTTTATCATTTTAAATATTTAGAGTTGATGGCCAAGAAAGGATGATTTTAATTTCTAGCTTTAACTTAATTTAATTTTTTTATTCAAGTTTTTATTTAATATTACTCTTTTGGATAAACTTATCCTTTTTCGGTTAATTTAAGGGTCTATAATCTCAGTTCATGAGATGCACATGACAAACACATGCATATTTACGTTTTAGCTAACATTCATTTACGATAACGAAAGGATAAAATGAGGGGATAATAAAAAATAGGGGACTCAGTTGATAAAACTAATAGTTGGGGGACTAATATGAGGCTTCTTCGAAATGATTCGGATCCGATCCAAGTAAGAGCTGGAAAACCAAGAAGAAGTCTATGGGTCAGCCTTTCTTAATTTCTCGAGTAAGACGTCACTGATTTAATGCATTACCGAAAAGACAAATTTTAACGTGCGACCGGCATGACTTACGGATCTAATAAGTTACAGACTTACAGTGTCCGGTCCCACTAACTTGCTACCACATGAAGCAAGTGCATAAGGTTCTCTTATGGTTAAAAAAACAAACAGATTTAGGAGTAAATTATAAATTAGTCCCTCTTTTGATAAACAAATTAATTAGATATTTTATTTTAAAAATTATTTATTTGATTTATTATTCAGTATTATTATGTTTAATTTAATATTATTTTATTTTTAATATATATATATATATATATATATATATATATATATATTGTGTTTGTTTGTATAAAATGATGATTTATACATGCAAATGGTGTACAAATCATATATGCAACATTAAAAATTAACACATCACCAAAAATTTCATAAAAGTAATTTAGATATCCCATATTTCTAAAGTAAAATCATCAAACTAAGACTTTTTTCATCTGTTTAGATGGCATTAAAAAAAAAAAAAAGGCGAGGGTCTTTTGCTTGCATACTATTAAGATAATGAAAAGGGACCGATCATTTTCTTCATTTATCAAACTTCTTCTATATTTTTGTAAGAAATCATGACAATTTTATTCTTAAACTTAAATTTTGAGGACCATTACTTTCATTTGCAACATAGTTGTATGTTCGTTTTTTTCATTATGTTAAAAAAACTCATCTCAACACAACACAAGTAGACTTAATTTAAAGGTTGTGTATTTAGTTAGCTTTTCTAACGAAATAAGATTCGAGTCCTAATGACTTCAAATTTGTTTAGTGATTATGTAATGGAGAAGGGCTAACCTCCAATGTGTAGCTTAAAAAAACTCATGGATCTCCAATAGTGAATAAAAAATAATAATCTCATATTGAATAAATAAACAATAGATGAATAATATAAAAAATTGAAAAAATCTTTATCGAGACTTAATTTCTTAAATAAAAACCAATCTCAATCATCAAATTCAATATGATATTAGAATTTCAAAGAGAGTTAATAGTCCGAGCAAAGATAAATAATACATGAGTAATATAAAAAGTTGAAAAAAAGGCTTAACTTCCTTGAATAAAATTCAATTTAAAACTATTTTCTTGATAAACATAGACATTTTTTTTAAAAAAATCTTATAGATATTTATCATTTGAAATTTTTAGAGTTGATGGCCAAGAAAGAATGATTTTAATTTCTAGCTTTTTTTAATTTATTTTATTTATACGAATTTTTATTTAATTTTAATTTTTTGGATAAACTTATCCTTTTTCAGTTAATTAATTTAAGGGTTCATGAGATGCAAATGAAAAACACATAACGTTTTAGCTAACATTCATTTATGAATAACAAAAGGATAAAAATGAGGGAATAAGAAAAAAATAGGGGACTCAGTTGATAAAATTAGTAGTTGGGTACTGTGTTGAGAAACTATTATAGTTAGGAGAGTAATATGAGGCGTTCCCTAGAGAAGCCAAGTCAAGGGGAAGCATGGAATTTCCTACTAATGGATGATTTGTCAGGTAGGGCTTACCTGCTTACTCAAATCTCTTTCCCAACCGACCCAAGCGCTACGCTGTTCGAAGAATTCCATTTTGGAGATTCTTTCTCCTGTCTATGACTCCCTCAACGTCTACATATATTCTATTTAGGGTACATACCTCTTAAAGATAGTGATGGCAATCCGTTTCGCCCCGTCCCGTTTGAGACGGGGATGGGGCATAAAAAGTTATCCCAAACAAAGCACGGAGCGAGTATGAATGTTTTTTTATTTGGACGAGGCAGGGATGGGGATGGCAATCCCTGCTCCATTCCGCCTCTTCACCTTTTTAAAAGGTAATTTGACGAGGCCTTGCCCACCCCACCCGTTTGGGGTGGGGATGGGGATGACGATCTTCGTCTCGCCCTGTCTCATTATCATCTCTACTTAAAGATGACAATAAGTGGATACCCTATTCGATAATTTAAATTTTTATTTTATCTATGAAAAGAATATTTTATTTATTATTTATTAAAAAATTACTTTATAAATTTTTATTCAACTCATACTCGATCCATATTAGTTTATTTATCTATTTAATATCCATTAAATACCCTCTAAATTAAATTTATAAAAAATATTCATTTTAATCCATATTTTTTTAAGAAAAGATTTTTTGATCCTTAAAATTTAATTTTTTTATATTTTGGTAATTTATTTATAAGTTTTTTTTCCTCAAAGTTTTTAGAAAAAATATTTAGATTCTTGATTTTTAAATTTTACACAATAAAATCTCTATATGTTAATAAAAAAAATCTAAATAAATTATTTTGTATTAATAGAGTAAAAAATAGGTACCCATATCCCGAAACCATATTAATAAGTATGTATTTTTTTAATCCTTATTCACTTCAATACCCATTCATTATTCTCAATGGACATTTATTGGATCGGATAAAACGAGTATCCGTTTTATATCCAATTCATTATCATCCCTAGCACAGACTCCTTCCTTCTTGAGTTTACGTCGAAGCGGTGAAAGGGATTGATTTTGATAGCCAGGAAAAGAAGGTTCTCGACAGTAGACCTTGTATTTCAATATATTATTTAGATCAATTTTTTCAATCATATAATTTTTTAACCGAAATGTTCCTATTCAAAAAAAAAATATCTAAAGATTTTAAAAATAAAACATACTTGGTCTTGTGATTTTAAGTTTTTTTTTTTTTTACATTTTAATAAATGACATTTTGATAAAAAAAAATTCTATGATAAAAAATTAATAGAAATGACAGATTAAGTATTTTAAAATATTTTAAAAATAAATAAGATGTAATTAAAAATTTAAAGATAAATCAAATATTTTATGTATTATATAAAAACAGATAAATATATTCACTATTTAAATAATTAAAAATATATGATTGAATAGTCAAAAGATTAATTATAATTTCTTTTCCTATAAATAACCGACTTAGTAGATGATCAATTACAAAGTCAACAACTAAAAGCATAGGGTATAGTTCCCACCACCACCACCAACCCCCTAAAAGATGTATATATTTACACAGCCACTTAAAATATACTCAATAAAATTTCCTAAAGAATCAATGCATTCCTTCAACATGTTGGTTTATTTTAGGGAAGCTTCAAGGAAATGATTCGGATTCAATCCGAGTAAGAG